CAGCGACAGTTCTATATTCTCCTTCTTGACCTTGTCCCAGAGCGGCCTCCGACGCGAGGCATGCAGAATAGAGATCTCGTAGACCCGATTTTACAACGGCGCTTTAGAGAGGCTATATCGCCCAACATGTGCATCATATGCGCTAGAATCAACTTTCTCATAATGCATGCGGCCAGTTTTTCGTTTTTATATTTCAATATCATTCTCAGGGTTGGGTAGGTTAATAGGATTTTTTAAATTAAGTTAAGTTAAAGTTAGTTGCTTATCAAATTAATTTAGCTGAGTTAAAAGTTGAAATAAAAAAAAATTAATTTTTTTTTAAATATTATTTATATTAAATTAGAATTTTGATTGTTAATTCTTTTAAAATTTATAATAACAAATAACAAAGAAATTTTGACTTTTATATAGAAATATATTTTTTGGTAATTACAATTGATGACAAATGAACATAAAAATGAATGATGAAATAATTAAGAAAAAAGTTAATAAGTTTAAGGTCAAAAATAACTAGTTGAAGTTAAAAATTAATATATTTTAAACTAAGCTAAGTTAAAAGTTATTAACTTTTTAACTTTTAACTAATTAACTAGTTATTACCCAACCCTGACAGAAAGAAATGAAAATCTTATACCCTACAGTCAAATTATTTCCGCGCGCATCATTTTTTTCAAATTATTCTCATTCGAGAACAAAATTTTATGAGTTTCTCTGATTACTATTTACCACAATAAAAAGATATTAATATATACATATAGTAAAATTCAGCGAACATATTTTCTTTGATTATATTTACACACAATAAAAAATATTAATATGTACATAGTAAAATTAATCAAATATATTTTATATCTTATTGTGGATATTAATATTTTTTATCGTAGTGCAAATATTAATTAGAGAACTCGTATAAAATTCTTCTAATACAATATTGCTCCACGATTAATATGACTCGATACGCAATCATATTGTAAAAGCAAGAAATATAATATGTCATCTCGATAAATATAGAATTAATAAAATATAGATTAAAGCAGATCTATAAGAAATTTAATAATATCGTAAAATTGCGATTATATTTTTTTAATATTATCCGCGACAAAATTTCAAGCTATCTCGTAATATTTGTTTTATTCTTTCAAATATTTTCTGTATTATAACACAATTTTATAATGATATAAAACTATATAAGTGAAATTATATATGAATCATTGCACTAGAATCAACTTTCTCGTAATGCATGCAGTTTTTGTATTTAATATCACTCTATATAGAAAGTTTTGAATACAACTCTATATAGAGAGAAAGAACTGAAAATCTTATACAATCAAAGTAAGCATTAACTTATATTATTCCCGCATAATTTCTTTAATTAATTCTTATTACGTTTAAGAACAAAAAGCAGATCTAAAGAATTTAATAATATCATAAAATTGCGATTATATTGTTTTATATATATTTTATAATTATAAATTATAAGTAGAATTATACATGCATCAAATTTTGTCGCAAACTGTCTAAAGCGAGAAAAGTCTAATACGTAATAATTAACATAATATTAATCCGCAAAAGATGTAATTTATACAATATAAACTATTTAAAAATTTAAAATAATATGCAATATAAACAATTTTTTTCGAAACGTGCATGTAAAGTTTGAATTTTTTATAACTTATCTATTATATGTACGCAAAAATTTAGAATTTAAATATAGATATCTATGAATATATCTGACAGGAAAAGTAATATCCATTTACCAGAATATCTGACATGAGTATCTATCTTCCGAGATATCGAGAAAGTTATCCGAGTTATATATGTGAGATGTCTATATTCGCAAAAGTTACGCAAGATATGCGACACGTCCGGTAGAATTTGTGTGAAGAACTATATTCGAAATACTTATTTGCAAGGAAATTGTAAAGGATTGGAATGTTATAGAAGGAATTGTTTGAAAATTATTGGAGGTCGAAAAAATGTTGCGTAATATAAATAACACGAAAAATGACATATACAATGTATAAATATTTAAATAATTTTGTAAAGAGAAATCTAATAGACTTGTCAAATTTCCTCAAGCGTCTTGAGACGTTTTGTGGATTTATTTGGCTCGAAAACAAACGAGAATTTCATGTTAATAAAATTCAACAAAAAATACATCTAAATCACGGCTCTGTAATATATTAAATATATAAATCACAAATAAGAAAGGCCTAAAGAGCCATACGCGGATTGCTGCGTACATTTCCAACGAAAATTAAGTTTTTGTTGGAAATAAATCGTGCACAAGGCACGTATCGTCAAAAAAATACATGTCTCTCTTTGCGAGAATGCAAAGAGAACATTCGGAACATGTAACATCGGTGAAGATAATCGCGACGATGATGACGAGACAGGTCCAAGATGATGGTATCCTCGATCGAACATTCGAAAGCGAGAGATGCTGCATCGATGACCTGGAATGCGGGACCAGAATTCGGTGACAGGTCGGACCAGGATAGCTTTTTTGTTCCTCGCGAGCTACGTCTTAGCTTCGATGATACCTCGCATCGTCGGAATACCATCGATCTTGCAATCGGATTCTTGTCAGTGAAACGATTCAGATAAATCAGAACTTTCTCGCACAAAACACATGGAATATCTTGGCAGTTTATATATACTAGATAGTATATTAAATAAATCTATATATTCTACAAATTATTAAAAAATTGCAATACGTTTATTTAATTTTATGTATTAAATTAATGATTTTTATTAAAAATATATAATTAATTATATATTAAATGATATTAATATTAATCACTAATTATTGTATTAATACACAGAGAGAATTTTCTTGTAGAATTTACACTGAAAATCATGATAAATCTTGGGACAATATAAGAGTTTCTCTGATTAATATTTTTATATTTTATCACAATAAAAAATATTAACATCTACGTCAATAAGATAAAAAATATGTTTGATTAATTTTACTACATTATATTTTTTATTATGGTAAATGGTAATCAGAGAAACTCAAAGATTTTTTCAAAATTGTCCCACGATTTTTTTAGGATAAATTCTAAGAGAAAATTCTCTCCGTGTACATATTGATTAAAATGAATTATTCAATATATTGGTTAATTTAATACATTAAATTTAAAGGAAGAAAATAAATTATAAGTAATCAATTAAATTTTTAACGGATTCAGAGCTGAAATTAAATCTAAAAGTTTCCATTTTTTAAAAATTTATCTGCATCGCGGATCTAGATATTTTAAATTCGAAATACGTAGTTTACAGTAAGGAACTTTACTAATTATGTACCTATTCTATTCTTACTCTAAGTTTATCAGTCATCTTGCATGCATAAATCACGTGAAAAGTATCAAATTTAAACGGCCTTTCATCAAATCTTGCGATACTGTTGGGAATGATGAAGATATGCAAATTTTATTTTAGCCTCTTTTGCCTCGTATATCTTATCGCTTTCCCAAAGAAGGCGTCGTTAAAAGTAATATGTGCTGCGAGGACATTTAAAAGACGCATTTAATATATTCCGGATGACTTCCTGTCTTTCTTTTAAGTAATAATATTATGTAAATTGAAACCATTTGAAGAAATTTATAGAGAGAAATTGTGAAGTCGCGTGATATCATCTGAGATACACTTGTAACGATTTACTTCTTCGTAATTTCACTTAAAATGAAAGAAAAAGCGCGATGTGTGCGCGTATACATACATATACACAAATATAACATTTTTTCTTAAGAATATATAAAAGTATATCATCAAATTGAATACTTAAAACGTCGCTAGTGGTATTTAAAATAGGAACGATATATTTAATTCGACCCAAACTAGCCAAGAAATTTTTATTTTATTTCCACAACGTTTCGACCATCTGTTTTTGGTTCTTTTCAAGTGAAAAATTCCTTGATAAAAGCGCAGTTAGTTGACACTGTTGTCATGATTATTAAACAATATGATTATCAGAATTTTTTAAAAACATTTGAAAGAACTTTTGAAAGAAAGTAACCGCATCTTATCGTTATGATGGATCGTCAAAAAATCAAAAACAGATGGTCGAAACGTTGTGGAAATAAAATAAAAATTTCTTCACTAGTTTGGGTCGAATTAAATATATCGTTCCTATTTTAAAAGTATATCGTTAATAAGAGTATCGCAAATGATATGACGCAACTTTATAATTTCATAATAAAATTAATTTAATACAAAATTAAATATACGTAATATAATGTTTCAATAATTTATAATTGTATGAATGTGTGTGTTTGCATATGCATATATGTATATATGTGCGCGCATGTGGGATGAAATACATCTCGCGCGTCTCTGAAGGAGAATTAATATGAAAAGCGTGCATCGGCAACGGGAAAGTGAATTAGAAAGGAGCGCACACGTAGCAGAACAATAGACAATAGACGGAACGAAAGAGTAGACGTAAGCGAGGTAGTAGTTGATGCGCTCTCCTTTGACGGAGAGTGCTCCTGATAGAGTTCTAGGATCTCTAACTACCGATCGTTTATCAAAACTTTTCGGGGGGAACGACCAGAATCTCTAACAATAAAACACGGTCTTATATACAGGTCAGGACACTCATTCAAATGCAGTGTACAAAAAAATGTAACCAAAAATAGCGGCCAGCTCTCAGACTTGTCACCTAATAATATATTTATTATAATATATATTTCACTATTTTTAAATAATTTAATAAAACTATTCTTAATATTTCACATTTATTCCGACGGTTTTTTAACCGCGTTTATTTTTAACATTTTTTTCAATTGTACACAAGACCCAACACAAAACTGTCAAAATAAAAAAATCTGCGCTGGCGGACATTAAATAAATCGGCCTGAGTTTGACAGCATGTAACCGATATAGAAAAGCGTCCTGACCTGTATATGAGACCGTGCTCTAAAACCTGACACATGACGTGTCTTTAATATATATAAGTAAGCCGAATAACCGACGACGTCTCTTTTTGTTTTCAGGGATCAGGATGCGGTGGATCGGTTACGTGGCCACGATTCTCTGGTGGTCGGGCATCGCCAGGTCCCTCAGCACGTTGAATCGAGGTCACAGTCAGTAATATGCCTTTTGGTGATTTAAACGCGGCTTCTTCTTCTTGTCGGCTCGGTATCCGCGCGGCATCTCTCTGTAGTCCTTTCGGCGGCGAAACCCTTCCTTCTTCGCGTGTCTCATATATTTTCCGCGTGTATATACTTTCGAACGAGCCGTTTGCAGCTGCCGGTTCTCCCTCTTTTTTTTTTTTTTCTCATTCTTCATTTCTCTTCACTTCCGTCCTCCCTTTTCGCGCAACGTCTCGTTTCTCCCGCCCGAAGGTTCTCTCCTGAAATGCGTGACACTTAATTGGAAGAACTCGGTCAAGGTGCAAGTTGGTCGTGCGCACGAGCGTGAGAGAAGAAAAGCGAAGGAAGGCGCGACTTTCTTTTTTTTTTTCCCCGATATGAATATTTCCGAAAGGGAGGAAAGAGAGACGAGCCTATACTGCTTTTCGCAAATTGATCTCGCGCAGTCGGTCGAGATCAGCTGTGCGATGATGATCGTGCACATCCACAAGATTTTTTCCAGGAGGGATATAATTAAATTTTTTTGATTTTTATTTATTTATTTTTTTTATATTAAATGTGCAAATAAATTTCAGTGTTTATTGAGAAGAAGAGTAAATGCTTAACGTAAAAATTTCACTAAAAAAAATCCTCTTAATTTAAGAGGAAAATTCTCGAAAGAGATTTTCTTATTTTCTAGACATTCTGATTAGATATTCTTAACATGCAAAATATATAATGGAATGTTTTTTATCAGTGTGTGTCATTCGAAATTATTAATCGTGAGATAACAAGAAATAGTCTTACAAACGAACATTTATTATTTATTTTTATTACATGCATATTTTAAATTGTATTCATATAATTGAATATTTTTTATATATTGATATAGTTAAACAGATATCTTTTCTTCTTACATACTATTATCTTTAATATGAATTGATAAACTTAGAAATTTATTATGAATTTAAATAATTCAAATAAGTTCATTTCAATAATTTATTTCAAATTTATTATTATTAATTTATTTGCGGAACTAAAGTTACAAAAAATTGAAGGATATATTTCTTATTTAAATAGGATATTCCAAAAAAGCATCACGTAAAGACGGAAATATCCTTATTCGTTAAAAATATCTATCAAGAGGACTTATAAAGTATATACATTTGAAGAAAGCAATTTTTCAATCTAAATTTTTGATCGATTCCAACGAGGGAAGCAAATAGCCTGCCTCCTTTTACCGGAAGAGACGTGGACGCGTTCTCGCGTGCGAAGAAGACTACGAGAGTGCATTTTAAATCGGGTCGTGCTCGCGATGACTCGCGCTGTCAGGCTAACAAATTGGAAATATCTAGCGGCATAATGCCGACTTTCACAATCTGTAATTTTCGTAACGAGACCCCGTCGCCCTCGAGAAGCAGATGCGAGAGCGAGTAGTCGATCGGGAGAAGACGATTACATCGATCTTCCGAGCCGAACGTCGAGGAAGCAGCAACAAATGTGTGCGCTGCGTGAAGAAAAAAAACCTCTCTTCCCGAAGAGCCTCCCTTTGCAACAACAATGCAGCCGGACACGATCGTGTCGGTTCTCCAAAGCGGAGAAAGCAGCGAGACCACGTCGTGAAGCTACGATGCTCGCGGTCGTAATTCACGTTACCCCGACTCGGTTAATGACACGGGGCCCTCTACGGGTCTACGTACTTCTCTTCCAGCAATTAAGTTTCGTTTCTTTTTTCTTCTTTTTTTTTTTACGCGATCTCTCGCGCAGGCAAGCACCCGTTCTTCGACAAGTAGTACACTTTCACCCGGTTTGATAGACGGCGAGGTAGAGTCCCGCGTGTTGTGCACGTGTATATGTAACGTTGTACATAAGACAGTCTAATTGTCGAGACCGCGACACATGACCTATCGTGCCGGTATATCGCGCGACAGGACGTCACGCGATATTCATTCCTCTTTGGCGCGCATCCATCAGATTTAATGTATGTAATCTCCTAGCCCCGGGCGCATCTCTCCTTTCCCGAAGCATAGAAATGTCCGTTTTTGCGCGAAATTGCAAGTCGTTACATTTGTCGACCGCATATACGATGAACGTCCGATTTTTCATCCCCGTGAAATTAAAGAGTCGTCGACTTATCTCTCAGCCATTTGTTCCTCTTGGAATCGGTAGACAAATTAAGTATTTGCTCTCCTCGTAAATAAACACTGGAATTTATTTGCAAAAATATTAAGACACCAAATCGGTATAAAAATTAAGCATTTGCTCTCCTCGTAAATAAACACTGGAATTTATTTGCAATTTTATTTAATATAAAAATATCAAGATAACAAAATAAGAAAAAATTTCAAAAATTAAGAAAGAATACTAATAAGAAACAAAAAATATTTCAATCCTGCTTCTCCCTGGAAAAAAATCATGTGGACGCTCACAGCATAGATATATACATTCCTAGTTTGGGGTTCTAAAAAGAAACAATTTTTAAAGCTCTCTTTCTCTTATCTTATCCTTCTGCATTTCAGGTTACAAGATCAGTCCGAAGCCCTGCAAGGTGCCCGGTTCCGAGAGCAAGGAAGGCACGTGCATGTTCGTGTGGGAGTGCATCAAGTCCGAAGGGACGCACGTGGGCGTGTGCGTGGACACGTTCATGTTCGGCAGTTGTTGCGTTCACAACACGACGGTGAACACGATAAGCGCGTCGTCCCACCATCCTCCTCATCATCCTTCTCATCATCAGCAGCAGTCTACCACGCTCAGGCCGACTCTGTTCGGCTCGGCGGTGCCGAACGAGACCACCAGACTGACCGCGTCGACTTCCTCCCTCTGGAGCGCAGCTTCCAGCACCGCGAGGCCGAGTCACCATCAGCTTTCGGGGTCTCACGGCTCGACCAGGCCGTTTAAACCGTATTCTGGTGCCGCGAGACCCCTGCAGAAGAGGCCGCACGCGAAGCCGACGTCCGAGCACGACGTCGACAGGCTGCAGACTCCCGCGGTGATGTCCGCTTCCGCATCCTCTCCGAGCACGTGGACGCAGGGAACGAAGAGACCCGGAAGTCATCACGGGAGTCACTCTCATCATCATCAGAAGACGAGACCGCAAGGAGCGGCGAGCGAGAAGCCTCTGTCCGTCCAGCCGGGCTTCAAGGACAAACTGGATACTCATAATACGCTAATAGTACGTTTGCCGGGAAAGGAGCACGCCGACGACGAGGTCGCCGGCTCGAGCAAACCAGCGAAACCGGGTAAACCGAGCAGCCAGAGGCCCTTCGAGTCGAGACCCGACGACGGGAAGACCGGCGACGTCGATCTCAGCGTGCAGGAGACGATCAATCGGCCGAATGTCAACTCCGTCGTTGAAAACGTAAGGATTTTTCAGATTTTTAATTATCGAAATAATTTAACATTTTTTTCTCTTTATTATATATATATATATAAATAAGAGGACTTATAAAATATATTAAAAAATATTTATATAAAGATAGAAGTAATTGAAATCATGCAGTCTTGTCCAATTTTCACGTTAACGAGCGTTTCTCTTTCTCTATTTATTTTGCAAATCAATTAAAGGTGAAAAGGCAATGCTCGATAGAAGTATCCTTCAAATGCGGCAAAGTATCTTGCGACCGATGTTCTTCGCGCGATGAAAGCACCATCGAGTTTAATGGAATATTGATTTTCCCATAGGAACCGGCGAAAGAGCCTCATCCGAATTTGAATTTCATACATACCGAACGACCGCACTGGGCAACCAAACCAGCGCAATCGAAACCGTCGTCGACGGATTTCCCGAAGCCGTTCTTCTCGGTCAAAACGACTACCTATCGACCGATCTCGATAAGTGGTCAGACGGATCAGAGGCCGAATTTTATCTCGAAACCGAACGTCTGGATACTCTCTACGAAAACGTCGACGACGACTACTGTCGAGCCGATCTACGTCAAACAACCTTCCACCAGGTATGCAATTTGTCTTCGAGTCAGAAAAACAGTGTAAAGATGCCTTTTCTAACGCAGCATGCTGCAGCAGCAAATCAGTCACGTGATCAAAATTCATTAGAACATATACGTATTTCTTTGTTCTCTTATTATTTCAATGTTAAAATTACGATTTTTGCTTTTATATTCTTATAATAATCTATTTAGTCTTAAAATCTATTATTTAACTAATTTATTAATAATAATAATTAGAATCAACTAGTCGCGTGATCTTCTGCTTCAATCGAACTTCACCAATAGCAATAAACCGCTGCGGCAGCATGCTGCACATGAAATGGTACTTTTATTCTGTAGATATTGCAAGAAGGTATTTGTAAAAATGTTTATTACACGTATTTGTAAAAATGTTTATTACTCGTATTTGTAAAAATGTTTATTACTCGTGTAAATTACACATCGGACTTGACGTAAAAGTTGTCTTTCATTCTAGCGCAGCCGGATCCATACCACAAACCTCTCATTGGCAAGTGACTACGGAGCCGGCCTTCGTCACTAAACAGAAACCGTCGTTATCATCGTCCTCACCGTTCTCGTCCACATCGTCATTTTCATCATCCTCGTTTTCATCGTCGCTGTCATCGTTATCGTCATCCAAACCGATGACCGCGATTACTGTACCAGAGACTGTACGAATACCGTCTTCAGGTACGAACTCGCATTTCTGGTCGAATAGCTGGACGCCACCTAGACCGTCCCTGAAACCGCACTGGACGGATAGTCCTGGCTTCCTTCAGAACGGACCGGAAAGCTTTCCGTCGCGACCGAGCTTCAAACCAACCGAGTCACAAGTGCGTATATCTATATTTTCTTTCTTTGATAGATATAAATTATTCGTATAAATAATTTTAAATAATTGTATCTTATCGATATAATATTTATAATCAAGATTTTTGCTATGCAAAGATTTTTATATTCCCTATTCGTTTTGCGTAGAGCACCGAATATCAGAAGCCCCTGGGTTCGGCGCACTACATAACAACGTCCCACTTGGAAACGTCGACCAGGCCGCGACCGACGAAGAAAACCACAATGTTGAGCACAACGTCGCCGACTACATTGATGTCCTCGACAACCGTTAGAGCTACAATTAACCCGACAACCGCGATGACAACGATGACGACTACGGCGAGTAGTACAATCAGCACTAGCACCGCTAGTACCACTACGTCGCAAGGATTGAACGATCGCGAGGGAGCGACGAGCGAGAAGGGAACGGGTTCGGTGATGACGGTTGCGGCCGCCGACGAGAGCAAGAACATGCAGTGCGGAGTGCCTCCGTTGTTCCCGCGACCAGAAACGCGGATCGTCGGCGGCAAGGACGCGCCGTTCGGTCGATGGCCCTGGCAGGTATCCGTTCGTCGGACATCCTTCTTCGGTTTCTCGAGCACTCACCGGTGCGGCGGTGCGGTACTCAACGAGAATTGGATCGCCACCGCGGGTCATTGCGTCGACGAGTGAGTAATCGTCGTTTCTCTCCTGCGAGATATTACTGTCGAGGTCATTTATTGATACTATCGTTGACTTTTAGTTTATTAACGTCGCAAATCCGGATACGAGTCGGCGAGTACGACTTCTCGTCGGTCCAGGAGCGACTGCCCTACGTGGAGCGTGGGGTTGCCAAGAAGGTCGTTCATCCCAAGTACAACTTTTTCACGTACGAATACGACCTGGCGCTGGTGCGACTCGAGAGTTCCTTGACATTCGCGGCGCACATCTCGCCCATTTGTCTGCCAGCCACGGATGATCTCTTGATCGGAGAGAACGCAACGGTAACGGGTTGGGGAAGATTGAGCGAAGGTGGAACACTGCCCTCGGTGTTGCAAGAGGTAATAAGAGTTGTCAGTCTTTTATCATAATCTGTTTTAATTGTAGCCTTTCACTACACTCACATTCTTATAATTTTTTTTAGGTTTCTGTGCCGATAGTGAGTAATGACAGGTGCAAATCAATGTTTCTAAGAGCCGGCAGACACGAGTTCATACCGGACATCTTCCTCTGCGCCGGTTACGAGACAGGAGGGCAAGATTCGTGTCAGGTACGCGCATGAAAACCATAAATTACGTTAATTTCAGGTACGATGCTTTCATCAAGACAAGCTTTTTTATGATTCTTCCATTGCACCCAGGGTGACTCTGGAGGTCCTCTCCAAGTACGCGGAAAGGACGGTAGGTACTTTCTCGCTGGGATCATATCATGGGGAATTGGATGCGCGGAAGCCAACTTACCGGGGGTCTGTACGCGGATCTCCAAATTCGTACCGTGGATTTTGAAGAACGTCACCTGATCTACTCTATGATAAACGCGACTATGATAGACATACGAATGACAGGAGGAAACTTGGTGAAATCCATGCGCGAATAAGCGATTCGCAATATTGGTTCGCGCGATATCGAGAAACCATAGTTGGTCACCTTAGATTCTTCTCGCAAATGAGAACGTGTTTTCTATCATTTGCATTTATTTATTTGTACTTACACTGCCACTTACGAAATAACACATTCTGTAGTGTTGATATATACAGAGAAATATACTCAAAAGAAATGGAATCGAATCAATATACGTACTAGCGACGGTATGCGAAACAATCGTGCAACAATTGTAGCAGCATACACCGAGAACTTGTATTTATATATAAATCTGAGTAAGTAAAATAATATATATTTTCTAAGTTAAGTCTAGTTCTACAATTAAATAATCGAGGGAAGTCTGAGTTGCAATAAATAGATCAACGAAGTAGTCTGGTAGAGACTATAAAGGGAACATCATTCTTGCCACTTTGCTTCAAAAAATGGATAACATAATACTTAAGAAAATTGTGATTTTTGAGATATTTTATATAGATATGTATTAATTATAAATTTATTACGATGTAAAAAATCTGTTTTATTCGGATACTTAAATTTCACAAATTAGATAAATTCAACTTAAGCACAAGTTACATCAGTAATAAATCAATGAACATATATAATTTTTATAATGTTTGTGTCGATTAGCAAGATATAAAGACATTGCCCTTTCTACTCTACGAGTCGAGATAACTCGGAATGTTCTCCCAAATGCTCAATCCTTGCACATTTCAAATTACACTGCCTCTTATCTTTATACTTCTTTATTTACAAATAGGATTTTGTACAGAGCACAATGTTAATTGCGTGTACTTGGTAATAGTTGTGTGTGCGAGCTGGAGAAGTCTATACATTATAAGATATAGCTATTTATAAGTATCGTCAAATAAACGAATGTTTATTTAAAAATCTTAGAATATCGTATAAATTATACATGTCTACAGTATTCTTGAATTAAGCGGGTCGTCCACTCGACCGGCGATTAGACTCACCGAAGTCTCGGTGTCGACGATGAAATAAAAAAAGGGATGCAACGCTGTAAAAGGTACAGGTCCGGCTCTCTCGAACAGACCGTTACCTATAAAAGAAAATTATAAACTTATTATTAAATAAACTTACAGAACGCCATTTTTTAATCATAAATAATATTAGTAATATTTTCTAAAACCTTATATTTTATATGTTACAGAAAATAAAGTAATAAATTATACACTTTTCAGATTAGAATCAACACAAATTTTAAGAAGTAAAACTTGTGCGAAAAAATATTTACAAAAAATTAGATGATTTATGGAATTTGTAAAATTTTTCTACAATTTTTTAATAGAAATTTACTAATGCAATACTTTGGTCACGCATAAAGCTATTGTTTGTGCTATTTTAGTGCAAAGGAAAATTTATTAAATTGAAGGAAAGATGTTTAAATAAATTGATAGAAAATTTTATATAAAAGGCATGCATAGAAAAAGAAAGAGAGAGATGATTTGAATGCGAATTTGCAAGAAATCTTTTTTCTCATCGGGAAAAAATATAATTTTCTTACGTTTGCAAATCCTGAAATAATTTTTAGATCTAATTTTCCTGTAGTTTTACACTTAGACAATAATAATAAATAAAAAATGTTTAGAAACAAAATCTTATCTAAACATTTTTATTATATCGTACCTTATTTATATTTAAGAAAAAAAATGTGCACGGTATAAAATAGACGAAAGAGAACGATTTCGTAAAAACGTTTACAATAGCAGTACGATTCAGAAATCCTTGTCCGGTAAACGTACAAAGAGATGACGCAAGGTCTTCCTATTTCTTTCGCGGTCTTAAACCGGATATCAGCAATTAATTCCGTAAACTGAACAAACAATACTGAGAATATTTCTAAGAGTAATCGATAATTTTATTCAGCTGCGAGAAAATGTAGATGTTGGCTGACTACGTCGTCCTCGAGAATAATGCATTTGCATTTCGCCTTGCTATATAAACGCACATTAATTTCTGATAATGTTTACTTTACAAAAACCTCAAAAAAGATATTCCTGGAAAAGCATCTGACTAAACCGTCAATTTGCCTCTTTCTCGAAGCGAAAGCTACGAAACTGCAATCATTTGTAATTATAATTTTATGACGTTTTGACGAGATAATGATTCGCGTACACGAATAATTATGGCGAGACTTGATTAGTCTAATTGCTCGAGTCAGCATTTGTTCTCGGCGGTTTCTCAATTTTAAATAAGACTCGGAAGCGGCGTCTCCACGTATATATAATTTTGACAAACGCATGATGATTTCGGTAATATATGTACACTTCCAAGCGTGGAAGCTGGTCGTCGAGGATAAGTAGCGTTAAGTAATGAAGATTTAGCGGAACGTAAGAAGAAACGGCGAGCGGAAACGAAGAGGAGACGAGAGAAAGGAAAAGAGCAGAGGCAAGCACAGCAGCCAGTAGTAACAACCGGTCATCGTCGGACGCGTGTTCACGAACGCGTTAAGGAGCGCATTGTCGTCGCGTTGTCGTTTACAAATTATATGCGTTTCCGAAGAGGAGCATCCGAGCCGCGAGCGCGGCGGCGAGCCTTTGCGATTTCACCGGTTATTATAATACCGGATATTGCGTCAACGTGATTACCACCTCGAGCATTTATTCCCGATGCCGCTCGAGGCAGCGAATCGCTCATTTGCGCACGATTTTATTCGTTCTTCAACAACTTCTGATATCACCTGAACGTATTTAACGCGGATTAAATATCCGCTCCACTTGTCCGCGTCCGAGACAGGACTAATTTTCGAATGTTACGAGATAAATTAATACTGTCACGCGATCGTGACGAGCGATAAAAATTTATTCTGGCGGAATTATACGGAACGGTGTGTAGCGAAAACGTTTAAGGTAACGTTTTCAAGATTCGCGGTGAAAAAGAAAAAAAAATAACGAGTAATAAGCAATCGCAAATTATATAACTGTTGAAAATATAAAAAGTCGCAAACTTAGTTAATGAACGGATACGCGGTTTTCATCCGATTATCGTACTATATCATTACATTTGCGAGCGAGAGGAAGTCGCTCTCGGGAGAGCGGCGAGAAAAAGTACAATATATAATTAGGAAATAAAGAAACACACTGTGGGAAAAGACAGAGAGAGAGAGAGAGAGAGAGAGAGAGAGAGGATGCTGAAGAGATTATACGCGTAAAATTATATAAATTGGAATCTTAAAATCAGGACGCGAGCATTAAAGGAATGAAGGATAACGATTAGGTTTATGGAAACGTTCATCGTATTATCGGGGATAATCGAAAGATAAAAGGGGGTAGTTGTGCGCGATAGTGCATGTTAAAGCAAGAGTAAGAGAGAACCTGGCGGCAGGTATCGGTAAAAATCCCTTCGAGGTGGAACGACATTAGGCGACTCACGGGAATGGGTGCGATCGGGTTTCATGTAATTCCTTATATTGACCCCTATACTCTGTTGAACGTCCCGGGCGTATACACCAAGGTCGGATGTCATGGGTGACAGATTGGCCAGTCTCGGCTCGAAGACGTCCACGATTCCCAGCTGCGAAGAAGAAACGGAATGCAGGAAGCGCAAAAAGACACGCAAATACGCACGGCTAATAATCTTCATCTTTTTTTAAATCTTTTTTTATTTACGGGACGTGAGAAAATATATTTCCTTTTCTTCGATATAGATTTTACTTTGGAAGAAAAATATATTCGAAAGTGAACGAGCGCGAGAAAATAACATGAAACATTCATAATTATATATGTTTAAGCAATATTATACAAAATTGTTTGGGTTCTTTACGATGACTTTTTATGAACATTATTGACGGAATAAGAATCTTTGAAAGTAGAGAAAACACTACGTAGGGGAATTACAGAAAATTACTACGTATATTGCTATGCGCGATCAGCTGATCTGTGTAATTTGCTGTCATTTGACATCCAGGGGTATGACGTGTTATTCCGCTTACCCTTTGCAGGAATGACGTCAGTGTGACGAAACCGCGTAGCATGAACGAAGGTATCGTGGCCCTGACCCAAGTAGGCTGTAATCGCTTCCTCAACGATCTCAATGACTTCCCGCTGAGATCTCTCGCCAGACGGTGCGTGTCCGTTTTATCCGTTGGCATAAGAAGTATAATGTTGTACCGGGGATCCTTGAAATTAAGAGAACAAGTCTACTCGAAAACAGCTTATAGGAATTTTTTTTCTTTTTACTTATTATTTTATTTCTAAAAATTAGTATAGAATTAATATATATGTAATAAATTAATATAATTAATTTATTATATATATTCTAAATATTAATTCTATAATTTCTAAAAATACGTCAATTTGACGTTTATAATGACGTCATTAGACGTCAAAATGAGTCAGTCTGCGAAATTAAATTGTGAAATAAATAATTAAAGAATCGTGGAAAAGAGGCGTCTATTTTCGAGAAAAGTGCGGAATTAATTAAAAAATGAAGCTTAACTTAATTTTTTTTCGAACGCAGGGCAGATGAATCTTCGTTTAGACTTACGTCCAGAGGAAACTCGAGCGCGACAGCGTGCAACGATGGGAAGTACGCGAAAGGCAGCACGGCGATGTATCTCGAGGCCGATACCGAGGAAACATCGCAACCGTTCACCAGAAACGATATCTCCGCCGCAGAATCTCCGGCGGGGGATTCGCTCGGATTTACCGGGTTGCTGTACGATTTCCAAATCTCCAGGTCTTGCATCCAGATACCTTCATCTAGAAAGATAAGTCGGAGAAACAAAAGAGAGAAGTTGCTTCTTTTCCAAATGTTAAATATATGCATATATTCCCATAATTAAATGCAGTGCTCTTTCTCTCTTTACAAACTTTATTATAATTTTTATTATAATTCTATTCAGGTAGAAAAAGAGCTCATAAGAGTTCAGGCTGAACAGACTTGTTTTAAAATCTTCTTTATTAAATTTAAACACTCTGGTCCTTTTCTTTGGATCATCTTTAGTAGATGTTCAAAATCTTCGTCTTGTCTTCGATCACTTTGACAGCTTGTCAAAGGCATAAGAATATGGAGCATATATGAATTTTTTGTTAGTCTGCTGAAGATGGTCCAAAGGATGAGGGGGACCAAAACATAAAAAAGACTTTAATTAAAATAAGTTTGGATTATATCTTTATTATATCCTTTTTTCTTTATCTGAATTTATTATTTTATAATTTTCTCTACTAAAAAATTTTTATACAGGGTGCACTGACATAAGGTGTCACATCGAAAATATACAAGTAGATTTTGTTACTTGAAGACAATTTTTCCTCAACAAAAATATTGAGGCATCAATAATTTTCGAGTTATAAGCGATTGAAAATAAAAGGTTTTTCGCAAACTATAAGCCTTTGGAAATAAAATATTAACAAAACCACATTTTCCAATTAATTTCAAGTAGAGTTTACTTTAATAAAATTTTAATTTAAGGTTTAGTTATAAAGATACATGATGGCAAAAATTGGGAACATGCAAAAAATGATGGCTTCCCTCAACATTTTTGCTGAGAAAAAATCGTCTCCAAATAATGAGATCCACTTGTATATTTTCAATATGACACTTTATGTTACTCTGTATATTTCTTTATTAATAATTATATAACTTAATAAGTAATTTGGTCAATTAATCGACGCGCTTTAATTGGACAAGATACTCGATCGTACCTGGATAGCTGGAGAAGTATCCTCGTGGACTCCTCGTCCTGCGTAGATTCGGCGATCCGCGATTTATCGATTCATCTCTAACGGTACCATCGTTCAATACAACTTTCAGATCTGGTTCCGCTCCTTTCTTCTTACGATTCGTCGAAACGGCATTCCCATTCGCCTGATTATCCGTGGAATTGACGATCGCGAAGTCATTCGAATCTTCGACGAGATCCCTCGAAGTCATCGTCGTGTTTATCGCTTGGACGGATGACATCGTAGCGTCGTGATTAACACTAATGATCGGCGTCGTCGCGAGATCCCGTGCAATCATCTCCGGCGTATTTCCGGCTGGAAGTTCTGCCGACACCGATGTCATTCTCGATTGCGAAATAACACTGTTATCCGTCGTCTCGATAACGGGACTCAAAGTAGTTAAGTTCGTAGAATCGGTTAAAGACGTCGATATCGCGCTAATTAACGAATTCGAGGTAACGGGATTTCCATCGGTGATGTCACTTTGTATTCTGTCGTCCGCCAGGACATTAGCCGCCGTAGTTGTCCTATCTGCGTCCTGCGGTGTTTCAATATTCACGTTGGAAGTCACATCTGGCGCATTTGCATCTTCTGCATTCTCTGTAGAATTGGGAATTGTAGTATTCGCGACAATTTGGTCTCCTCCAGCATCCTCGACGACAGTCGAGGAAGCTCGATCGTTTGTTATAATAGTTGTTGATGTTGGCTGGACACTTTCTTCGGAAATGACAGCAGGTGAAGAACCTGGCGTCGATGATGCGCTTGGAACAGCTGATTCTGGTGTCGATGAGGTGCTTGGAACAGCTGGTTCTGGTGTCGATGACGTGCTTGAAACAGCTGATTCTGGTGTCGATGAGGTGCTTGGAACAGCTGGTTCTGGTATCGATGACGTGCTTGAAACAGCTGATTCTGGTGTCGATGAGGTGCTTGGAACAGCTGGTTCTGGTGTCGATGACGTGCTTGGAACAGTTGATTCTGGTGTCGATGACGTGCTTGGAACAGTTGATTCTGGACTCGCGACTGTAATCGGTTGCTCTTCAGTGACGCTTTGTGGAGTAGCTGATGAAGTGATCGTGGTTTCCGAAGGAAGCGTCGTAATGGTTAACGTCGTCGTCGTGTCCGGTTCATTCCTGGTTTCTATCGGCTCCATCGGGATCGTCGAGCTGGCAGTAGACGTTGGAAGTGCGGGAGTTGTAACCGAAGAGTCTTCCGTATTGACGGTAACGTTCGCTTCTTGCTCGATACTCGACAGATCGAAGCCGTAAAACCTCAGGATGTCCTCGTACTCGGGACGGAGTACCGTGTTTTCCTTGCTTAGTGTCAACCCGCCCAGGAAGCCATCGGCATTGAGATAACTCTTGAAATCGATATAAATTCATAAATAATCTTAATAACTTGAATAACTATCATAAATAACTTTTCAAATAATTCATAAAATAATATAAATTTATAAAAACAAAATGTTCCTTTAATCAAAATATTGTATAGGAATTATCTGCTGTTTTTCTATCCTAATATCAAGGATAATATTAAACATCTGATAGAATCCAAAAAGAACGTGAAAAAAGAATGGTTTTCAGATGACTTTATTTAGATTCTTGCTCTTGCTAAGATCTTACTCTCAATCGCCGGTGGATATCCCTGAGACCGATCCTGGTAACATCTCTGGGTGGTAACCTTATGACTTCGGCGATCTGTTGACTTCCCCTACCAGTGGATCCTTCGTAAAGGGCTGCTAATACGAAGGCGATTCCTGTAGGTGAAAACGCTATGTTTCCGTGTCCCGTGTATTGCTGAAGGATCTTTACCCCGAGATCGTTGATGACGTCGGTGATGATGTCTACCGGACGTTCCGTGTCCGCGCGATACCAAGGGTCATATCTATAAGCGAACGCGGACGACACTGCTGCAACATAAGCACAGTCAAAAAATTTACAATTCTATATCATACAGTTTTAGAAACTGACATAGTTTTTAAATTTTTAAGGGTGTATTTTAGGAGTCAAAATAAAAAAAGAAGTTCCTATAAATACGGGACTCCAAAATATTTTTAAAAGCACCCTATATAATATTAATATATAATTTGCTTCTGACTGATTTGAAGCTTCCTTGCAAGCTTCATATCAATTATTCCTTTATTCAATGTATAACCATTTTTCATTCTAATCTCTCTTTAAATATAATTATTAAATTAAAATAAAATTAATAAAATTAATAAAATATAATTATTCTTTTAAATCATAATAAAACTGAAGAAAAATATTTTACTTATCTGTACAATTTTTTTTCATTCTAATTACTCGAACGAGAGGGCTTCGATCATCAAAGCTCATCAAAGTGAAGAACCTGGATCAGCATCATTATCTCGGATCAGATGATCAGATGAGTTTTGACATGATTGAAGCCCTCCATCTCGAGGTCGCAATTAATAAAATTAATAAAATATAATTATTCTTTTAAATCCTAATAAAACTGAAGAAAAATATTTTACTTATCTGTACAATTTTTTTTTTATTTTAATTATTCGAACGAGAGGGCTTCGATCATCAAAGCTCATCAAAGTGAAGAACCTGGATCAGCATCATTATCTCGGATCAGATGATCAGATGAGTTTTGACATGATTGAAGCCCTTCATCCCGAGGTCGAAATTAATAAAATTAATAAAATATAATTATTCTTTTAAATCATAATAAAACTGAAGAAAAATATTTTACTTATCTGTACAATTTTTTTTTCATTTTAATTATTCGAACGAAAGGGCTTCGATCATCAATGCTCATCAAAGTGAAGAACCTGGATCAGCATCATTATCTCGGATCAGATGATCAGATGAGTTTTGACATGATTGAAGCCCTCCATCCCGAGGTCGAAGTTAATAAAATTAATAAAATATAATTATTCTTTTAAATCATAATAAAACTGAAGAAAAATATTTTACTTATCTGTACAATTTTTTTTTCATTCTAATTACTCGAACGAGAGGGCTTCGATCATCAAAGCTCATCAAAATAAAGAACCTGGATCAGTATCATCTCGGATCAGATGATCAGATGAGTTTTGACATGATTGAAGCCCTCCATCCCGAGGTCGAAGTTAATAAAATTAATAAAATATAATTATTCTTTTAAATCATAATAAAACTGAAGAAAAATATTTTACTTATCTGTACAATTTTTTTTTCATTCTAATTACTCGAACGAGAGGGCTTCGATTATCAAAGCTCATCAAAATAAAGAACCTGGATCAGCATCATTATCTCGGATCAGATGATCAGATGAGTTTTGACATGATTGAGGCCTCCCGTCCCGAGGTCGAAATCGAATCCGAAGGATCTTACGTACGCTGCAGAATTACGATCCAGTGCAACGGATGCTTCCCCATCGTTTCCGGTGGCTTGCACGGCGGAGAGTGCCGCGGCGCCGGGTTTCTATTAGCGAGTCTAGTCCTTAGTCGTTCGCGCTCCACGTCGGGGTCGGGACTGGCTTGGATACGCTAGACCGGCGGTCGCCGAGGCCCCGAGGCCCCCTTCGATTAAGGCCCGATCTTGAGGCGCGCCGGAGGAGGCCCGACCCGGCAGCCACCTTGGGACCCGCCGATTATTATTACCGCGACTTCCTAAGCGGCCAAGATCGTAATCCCCGTTAAATTGCGCATAGCTTCTTCCCTCCTCGACCAATTCTCTTCCCTTCTCTTCTCTTGTTGCTGCGAATGCTGTGTGCGTTTCCTCTTCTCTTCTGTATTCTTTCAGAAGCTATCTTCCAGCGTTTCGTCACGAAGACGAGATCCTAAGCATATGATGCTGTATATATATATATATATGTGTGTGTGTGTGTGTTTGTGTGTAAATTGATTTATGATTTACGTACGTGCTATTTTCTCTCTATTCACGCAATCTAATGATACTCGTGTTATGTGTATCTCTATGCACGAGAATAAATATACCAGTGAATGACCGGCCGAAGGACGCTATTACATAATTTTAATATTCCTTATAAATTGAAATGATTATTCCGACATCAAGTTTAAATATTCTAATACCGTTGATTAAAGTCAAAAATAAAAGAATTCAGCGATTCTTGCTTAATCGCTTTCATAAAGTAAATCGACGTGTCGCGCTTTGATTGTATCTCTTTTAATTATTAATATATTAATTAAATGTTAAATAAAAAATAAAAATTAATATATTAATTAAATATTAAATAAAAAAATTAAAATTAATATAATAATTAAATATTAATTAAAGGGATTGTTAAATAATTTTTTTTTTATATTTACAGATTATTCGCTGGTGCGTCGACCCTGTTAATCGGGTGAGCCGAGCATTCCTTTCTCTCTCTCTTTCCCTTGATCAATCGGCGCGATCCTCGCAGATCACGAATCTTCGAAAATATGCGGATATTATCGCACCGCGATAACGGTAGTAGATAGCGGCACGAAGGAAGGCGCGGTGAAGGCGAGGCGAGGATCCGCTTTCGACTGATCCCAAGTGGGAGGATCGCGAGTTCGAGCCTTATGTAATAACGCCGGTGACTTTTACCCGCCACGGGTGGTTGCTTAATTGTGTGCGAGGAATCCGCCGCGCTAACAATGCCAGAAGAATTGCTTCGTCGAGCAATTTACACCGATTCTCTCTTCTCGCATATTCATCCGGACCACCTCTCGTTTCTCGAGACCTCTCGAAACTGATGATTTTATTAAAAGAATGAAAGAGGAATATGTGTATTGCAAAGCAAAGTAATTACTCGTTCTGGATCAAATTAAACGAGCAATTATAGTAGGTGTCAATTAAACACAAGCGCTTTGAATACGAATTTAAACTCTTTAATTAAACATACGAAACGTTTGTGTTATCAGGATTAAACTATGTTTAATTATAAAGAGTTTCAATTTGTATTCAAAGCGCTTTTCTTTAATTGACACCTATATTATTTACTCGTTTAATTTGGTGCAGAACGATTGATTCATTTGATATGATTTTATTGTTAGCTATCCATTTCTGTGTCCCTCTTCGCGATATTAATATCTGTATCCGAGTGTTCGGTGAGCGTGCATATCGAATCGGAATAATTTCAAGGGAACGAGTCGATGATGATGATGATGATGATGATGCTTGATGTCCGATTCGCTCCGACCGGTACTTAAATTATCGACATCCGTTTGCGGACACGATAAGAGAGAGAGAGAGAGAGAGATGGATCTGTCAGTCGATTATAATTGTGCAATGAAAGAATTAGCTGCTACAGTTTTGACTTTTTTAATTGTGCGCTCTCTTTTGACACTTTCGAGACTTTAATGATTTTGGATAAAATATAGAATTTTAATTGCATTATATTTTTATTTTATGTTTATTATATTTTTTAAAAGGCCAAAAAATCATATTTCTATTGTTGATTCTATCCGAGTTTCTTTGACTTGAGGGTAAAACTTGTACAACTTTATTACACGTGTTTTTATCGGTAATATCTATTTCGAACATCGTTTTCTCGAACGTTTCATCCTACATCGAGGAATCTGTAACAAAAAAAGTATCATAGAGGCAGTGTAATTGAAAGCGATCGCATCATCCATCACTATAAGCATGCGAGAACCGCATCCCTGTAATTTTAACTCTAGGGGATAAGCGATAATAATTATTATATAATTACATTACGAAGGTTCGCGGCGAAGCTGCTTGGTAGGAGAGATAGAAGAAGATAGCGTTTACATCTAATTCCGATACTGGATCGAACTCAGGAGAGAAAAGGTTGAATCAATTTACGTCGCTTTGCCACTTGATGTCTGTGCCAGAAAAACTCGCAGCAAAGGAGAAATATCGATCCGGTCACGCCTGAGAAAAGAAGCGAAATGAGAGGAGAATCATATACTTACTTTCTTAAGATAAATTTCTCAAGATAAATATTGTAATAATACTCGTGGAATGTGTGCTTGCGAGGAGTAAAGAAAGAAGCACGTTACCCATGAAAAGCACGAAAAAGATGCCTTGCATATCCGTCACGTTTACTTTACGTTCGTCTACACCTTGATTCAGAGAAATGTCCGAGCATTTGTCCTTCGTCGGTATTTGCTCCGTTATCCACTTGGTCATCAATCCAGATTCGTGCATGCGATGTAACCTGCAAGAATTGACTCTTGCAAATTGACAGTCATCAGGTGATTATTATACGAAATTTTCATTACTATTTCTCGACGATCCTTATAAAATTCGCGAGAAAATTATCTCTGCAGATTGATTGCGAAAAAAATGTATATGTAAAATTACATATGATATATGGTAAAATAAACAAATTAATTTACTCTGCATTGATGATCTTTATATAAGGGCTGTCTTGCGAAATGATCATCGCTATTGGTTCGTCCATAAATTCCTCAGTGCTCAAAGAATAAGCACACTCCTCGGTTAACAACAGATCGTTTCTCATCAAGAATCTATTTGGACAAATTGTTGTTATGTTTATCGAACAGGTTAATTTATACGCGTATAATAAACTGAGGCATTTAAATCTTTAAATAGCTCTATTCCTTATTATACATTTTTAGGATATTATTTATAGAATAAGCTAAAATTGGTAACATTTACATATACATATAATGTTATTTTTCTTCTCGAAAAAATGTCTTCAAGGATGCACAAGTATATCGGAAGCAATTAACAGGGAACTTTCATTTAAATAGCCACTTCGCGAGTTGTAAGATTACCTCAATGTGCTCCTCCAATCGATTAAGGCGTGCTTTCCCGCCTTTACCTTCTTGAGCATTTCCGCCTCTTCCGTCACGTTATGAATTTTAGCTCGCTTCAGCAGAATATGATATTTCTCCTCCTCTGCATTTTTCAGATACTCCTCAAGATAGCTGCCATTAGGAAAGCCCCAGGACATTCTATTCTTATTAGCGATGAGGGCATTCACAGTCAGGATGGCGGAGTCCATATTCGGGAATGTCAGAAATGCGACCAAACTTCCGGAGTAAGTCGCCACCACAACCATCACGACCAACCACCAGATGCCGACCAGCAAGCGGGCACTATCGGAATGAGGTAAGTACATCCCTCCTAAAAGCATTCATGTGTTTTATTTTTTCCCCAAAGAACACGGTCCTTTAATTTTCAAATAAATGTGAAAGCGTCGAGATTTTTTTCTTCGATAAAAATTGGTCGAAAAAGAATTCGTAATGATAAAATCTTTAAATTAAAAATGACTTGGTGAGGACTCGTCTCTCACTTTATATAGGAATGAAAATAAAAGTGAAATGGTATTTACCTTGCTGAAGAAGGGCACCGTAGACGTACCATACACATTGCCAGGACGAGTTCAGCCCCGACGTCTTCGTGCTGCTCGGACTGTACTTGTGAATCAGGTACAAGCTCGGGCCCATTATAATAATAGATGCTGCCAGGCAGGCCCATGTCTGCAAGTAAAACTAGCCCTCTTGAAGGCGCGTTGCGCTTGTTACAAGCGCGTGAAGTAGATCGACCTAACCGAGTGCTAGAAAGCAAGTTGATCGGTGCAACTATCCGATCTCGATAATAAATCTCTACTATTTAAAAAAAAAGATTTAGCCTTACAAAGATCCCATGTTTATATATTTTTAATTTATGCATAATGTAACGTTATTATATTTTTTTTCTATAACTTCACTATATTTTATTAATAATGTGAGACAAATTCAAATATACCAAGTGTAACAAGTATCTAAAATTTTATTTAGAAATTTTTTTCTATTACTTTATCTTGTATTTAACTCTTTACATTACTTATTTATAATAAAATATTAATTTATATTAAAATATAGATTTATATCGAGTCTTGCTCCGGCAGTCATTAGTTTCAACTTTTATTATTTTCGCGTTAGCATATATAGTTTTTACAATTGCAATACGATTGTAATGCAATTTTTAAGTGCACTATTCATTGCACTGCATTCATATGATGTAGCATTGTGCGAACTTAATTGATTACAAATGTAAAGTGTAAATTACCTCCTTGGAGAAGGGCGCAGCGAACAGCAACGCTCTCGTGAGTTGACCCGGTTTCGCGGTCAAGAAACTGTATGTCTGTATAAAAATCGGTAGGGTGAAATTGATATCTTTTTTTCCGATATCGTTCACGGTATAAGCGCAGGCTGCGAGGAGAACTCTTTTTCCGACGACCATATCTATTATTTCCGGCGGCATATCTCTCGTCGACGCCGTTAACACCTATGGAAATATTCGAAACACTCGTCAAAAATCACAACAGTTAATAATTACCATAATAATAATAATAATACAATGTTAATTTGCATTCTGTGAAACGATAGAAAATAACTATTTCTCTCTTCATAAGTTATAATTATATTATTATAAACTCACTCTAAAAAAAAGCAGTACGCTTAAAATTTGGAAAAAATTACCAAATTTCAAATGACGATAACTTTGTAAGTAATAAAGATAAAAAGGTTTGTAAAAAATAAAAATAAAGCTTGGAATCTCTAATTTAAGAATCTATTAATTTCAATGCAGCGAGATAAATTTATTAAAAATGGCGGATGAGAAACCGAGAACATGCAAAATTGAAAAATAATGGTCCGAGTTGTCAAGGTACATGGCGTGAGTCAAATGTCGCAACTCAATGAGATAAAAAGTATATGATAGTACAGAGTCTCCCCTTTAAAATGCTTTTTTATTCATCTCAATATGATGATTTTTCGCTGAGATATTCGCATTTAAATAAAAAGGCCGCTTTTTACTTTAAATATGAATAACTTTGCGAAAAATCATCGTATTGAGATGAATAAAAAAGTATTTTAAAGGGGAAACTCTGTACTAATATATATTTTTATCTCATTGAGTTGCGACATTTGACTCACGCCATGTACCTTGACAACCTTGACCATTATTTTTCAATTTTGCATGTTCTCGGTTTCTTATCCGCCATTTTTAATAAATTTATCTCGCTGTATTGAAATTAATAGATTCTTAAATTAGAGATTCCAAGCTTTATTTTTATTTTTTACAAACCTTTTTATCTTTATTACTTACAAAGTTATCGTCATTTGAAATTTGGTGATTTTTCCAAATTTAAGTGTACCGTTTTTTGGAGTAAGTGTATTATATTATATTATATTATTTAATAATTATTTCATAAGTTTAAACTTACTACATCGGCTTTAGTCTTGTTCCGAGTAAACTTGATGGTCTGATTGCTCGCCGGGCTAAGCACAGAATACGTAAAGTTCAATTTCTTTCCGAGATATTTGACAACGTCGAAAACTAGTCCGCCGTATTTTTTTTTGCCGGAGTTGGTCAAGGAGATGGTTTGCCACGGTGGATTCTGAAAAAAGGGAACGCGGAGCTTATCGTGTAGATCATCATCATCATCATCATCATCATCATCATCAAGGGAGAAAATTTATCACCGCGTTCACCTACGTGATATGTAGCGATCGGTAGGTTGATCCCTCGAAATCCGTGCGCGACGTGCGGAAAGATGACATCTGTCAGATTCAGACCGAGAGTGGGAATCCACGATCCCGAATCGATCAAGTGCGCGGTGCTCTTGCCGTGAGTGAAGAAGTTGCCCCAAGTTATAGCCGAGGCGATTCGCCAAAACAGACATCTACCGCAAATGCCGCCCGTGGCGAAGGTATCTTCGACAAGTTTCGTCTGCGAGAAAAAAATAGTTGCGCTATGAATAGAAAAAATTCATCATCGATGATAGAAATTCGATTTTTTTGCATATATTTTCTGAGCCATTTTTTCTTAAAATGTATTTTTAATTATAATTATTTACATATATATTTACACTTGAAATTTTAGAAGAATGTAGTCTCAAATTCTTTATAAATAAATCTCTATGCAAATAAATTGTTTATTCAAAAAAGCTACTAATTACAAGAAATTATTTTTTATATGTCATCAGCATCTCTAAAAGCTATATAGTCGTCAAATATACAAACCTTGATGAGTTTAAGAATCTCTCGACGTCTTTCGCGCTTGCTTAATCGGATGATTTGAAATTCCTCATCACTCACGTGACTATATAATTCTATTTCGGTCATCAACGATAATTTCAAAGCATTACCCAAAGCCATAATTAACTCGTGGATACGACACATTAAATTGTCCTGGAAAAGGAATAATTTTTCTTCAAAAGTACATCGAGAAAAAATAGAAAATGACAATTTGTCTGCAAAAGATGACCTCTTTGCTTAATCAATTTACGACAATATTCGACCATTTAAATCACAAATTTATATTAGGTGATTGAAATATGTAATCAAGTAAGAAAGAACAATGAGATAGATTACATTGCAATATGAATCGCTGTCTGTCGCGTTATAAATGAAAGCCACGTTGCTACCTTCCGTCAATAGATTGACGAAACTGGTAATGTTTGTAGAATTTCCTACCACGGTATCAGTAATAACATATAACCATTGAGTGTCAGGTTGAGCCATATTCAGCATCTTTGCCTAAATAATATTAAATTAAATCAATTATATCCATAATTTGTAAGACTTCCATTGTAGATAAACGACACATGCTTGAAATAGAGAGAGAGAGAGAGCACATTATATAATTTGTACAAAATTTTGTATTGGAAATTTTAGATTTAAAATAAATTTTATAAATTATGGAACATGTTACTTTATTTTTGAATACTTTAAATAGACATTTAAATGACAAGTAAGACTTTATTTGCGCATCTTACAGCTTCCATAACGTCGGCCGCTGCGTCTATCGTGACGATTACGAGGAAGCATCTTCCCAATTGGTTCACGTGAAAATTTTCAAGCATTTCTTTTATGTAGTATCTTCTGTTACGCTCAGAATCGGCGTGTTTAAATTCAAATATCGATCTGGAGACTAAATTGAGTTTTTTGTTTGGCAACGAGATCGATATAGCTTTTGTGACTCGATTGATTGTGTCTCTATCTACAAAGCGTTAATAAAAAAAAACGTATTTTTAATTTGTAATGGAAATGCGAAATGACGAAAGAGAAAAAGGAAAAGAACAACAGAGAAAAAAGATGATTAATGATTAAATTTATACGTCACCGAAGGTATCGTCATGCAATATATTGACATTGTTCCAGAACAAAGCGTCGGTCGTTCTGATGTCGAAGAAGATCTGAGACAGTTCTTTGCCCGACATTACTAAAGGAATGCTGACACCTTCCGAATCTGGTAACCGTGGACAATCTTGCTCTTTAAATATAAAACAAATGTTATTTAACAACTGTTTATTCTTCGACATTTTATTCGTTATTTCATAAAACACATACATTGAGATTTCTAATAAGATATAAATATTATATAATAATATTAATACAATTATTCTAATAATATTAATAAAAAAATATAAATAATATAATATAAAATAAGCAATTAAAATCAGGCTCAATGTATCACACTGATGTAAAAGAGAATCTCTCTCTGTGGCGAATGAGATAATAGATAACGACTGAAATAGCGAGATAATAGCATTTGCGAGCAACGTATCTCTGATTGTGAGTCATCGGTTATAATTACAGTTGAATGTGTGTATCTTTATGAGCGAAAGAAAATTTTTTACACATTTTTTCTGAGGAAAATCTACATTTATACGTACCTGTTATCGCTAAATGTAGGATTTCATCCTTACGAGCTATATTGTGCAGATTCCACGTTTGAGGACATGTTGCAACTGACAGAAGCGCCGTATAATCTTTATATTAAATAGAGCAAAAGAATAAATTAATTATTAATAATATTAAATTTTTTAAAAATGTATTAAATATTATATATTAAATAAAATTAAATTTTTAATGTTACATATTTAATATACACTTAATGTCTTAATTAAATTTAAGTATAAATAAATTTATATATCGAATAAAGTTAAAAATCCAGGATCTCTTTATAAAGAGGCGATTGAAACATTTCTTTTTGATATGAAAAAAACGTATTGAAGCGAGTGGCGACAATTTTGCCTTGATTTTACTGTAATTTCATATTTTTAACTCTTTGATGAGTACCTTATTACGAATTTTTTTTGCAGTAATTTATTAATATCTTATTTCAACTAGATTGATCAACTTCTATCCGATCTATCTATAACAAACTTTGCGAGGGTGAATCACATTTGATTGACTAATATACTTTGAGATTATATATCGATTGTATCATGCAATATCTATCAAGAACCATACAATACTCCGAAATATTCTAGATTTATATAACATGTAATAGGAAACACAAAGTAGTGTAATTATTTTTTAAAAAATTATTGCGCATTCGCACTCTTACCTCGAAAATTATCTATAATCTTCGTGTCGCGAAAAATGTGCACGTCGATGTCAGCCATATGTATGTCTTCTTTTGTAATGTTCGCGATGAAGTTGTAAATGTTTTTCACAACATCCCGATATTCTGCTTTATTGTCGAATAAACCTTTATCGATAACGACCGCTAGAACGATACAAAATTTGTTTTCTTATTAATACATATGCGACATTATTATAGCTTCCTCATGGAGAAAGCTTTATTTTCGTGAACCTTTTTTTCAGATTTATGTGCCAATGTGTTCAGAATGTTCCAAACCATCGAAAAATCACATTTTTGATAAATGTCCTTATGTGTGTGTACATACATGTGTATGTGTGCCCATCCATTTTTATTTAAATTTAAATATCTCAAAAACTATTTGATTTTACTGTCATTTTTATAAAAATTCATACTGTGTTTTAAATTTAAGATATCGGGATAATTTTTGATGTGAATAGACTATCATTAAAGGATTGTCGGTATTGAGTTTGGCGATGATCGGTGAAAGGGTTCATTTTTTATAAAATTATAAATTTTTAAGATACGTGTATTTTTTAATTTTCGCAAATTTTGAGATATTGCGAGTTAAATTTTTTACATGAATAAAAGATCATTAAAGGATATTTGGTACTGAATTTAGCGAGGATCGGTGAAAGGATTTATTTTGAATAAAATTTTGAATTAAAAAAAAATACACAGTCGTGACATTAAAAAAATTATTTTATGTGAAAAGGTATGCAAATTGGTAACTTGCACATTATTTCCTTACCATATTATTTTACTAATTAGGATGGTTTTTCAATTATGACTTTCTCGTAGAGGAAGCTTAACTTGCACATTGCTTGATCACAATTTAATTTCGCTCGTTAAGAAAGTGTTTAAATTGTGGCAGTTTTTAATAATAGTCCGTACCCATCGATGCATTAGCGGATATCAGCGACGGAAAGTCATTGAAGGCGTCAACCGAATTTGCGATCCAGACGAAGAAGAGGCCGGAGAAGATCATCTCCATCGGTGAGAATCAAGTATTGAAGCACATCGCGTCGACCGATCGATATATAAGGGAGGACATTGTTCAATGATGTACGAGCTCATTACTTTCGATTCATTATTATCGTATCAACCGGAACTTCGTCAAGCTCGCAAGCCGGATCGTAATCGTAGACTGTGCGCACTTGTACTCGTAGACTTGTATCGTATATCTAAATTTGTATCGAGAAAGAAAGGAGAGGAGGGGAAAAAAGGTCGATCCTTGAATAACTTATTAAGGAACGATCGAATCTCATCGCGACTTGAACAGAAATGCATCATTGGCCTACAAATGGACGAGTTGTGTGAGAAATCATTGCGGAAAAGTCAACTTCGATCGATTCTTCCTCAATCCGGCTACCAACTACATGTATATTCCAAATTCGTCTTCTATTAAACATTTCTCTATTTATATGATCGCTTTACGAGATCCGAAATATTTCACTCATATGATGGAAAGATTCTCTGATTGCTAATGTTGGTTCATGTTTGTCAAACATTTTAATTTAATAATAATAATAATAAATTTATTGAATAATTTATCGATCTTGTTGGCTAATGAATTTTCGATTTGCATGGATGTTTTTCATATATTTCTTAAGTCCTTTTGTTAAATTATTAAATTCGCAAATATATATATATATATATATATATATATATGTTTTTTTTATTTTTCAATATTTATCTGCTTTTTTGCTAATGTTAAAAATTTATAATCAAATATATTATTATATTAAACGGATCTTTTTTCCACAGTTTATACAAATAAATTAATAAATAAATCCAATTTAGTAGAGTAACATTTAGAAGAATCTAAAGCATCGATGTTTAAATTTTTATATTATTGAAATCTATGATGATTTTAAGAATATTTGAAAATTTTAAATCAAAGTTTGTCGAAATGAAGAGATATAATGGTGTCTGTGCGTAAATTAACAATAATCTCATGTAGTATATAAACAACGAATATTACATTTTAATATTATTGGTTTTTCTGAAGTTAAATATGTTATTCTCTAATGTTAATATATTTCAATAATATATATTCTACACTCTTGTGAATTTTTTGCAAAAAGAATAGTTTTCATTATCATAAAGTATATTATCATAAAATAAATCTGTCCCGTTTTTTCTTGCTTTATCTACATTCTTATTATTTATTGCGTCTGTTTTTGTTTCTATTTTTATTTCTTCTTTTTGATTTTTTGATGAAATTTGAGCAAAATGCAATTGATATTAATGTTGTATATGAAGAATTTATTGTATATGAAGAAGATATTTATTATAATTAATTTGACATCAACAGAGAGACATCTTTATCTTAAGATGGAGGAATATTCTCCATTTTCTTCTTAAAATTGCACTTCAATCTTCGGTCTCTTAATAGCTAGAGACAGATAGCTGTTACAGTTGGTTACAGCGGCGTCGTGCGGATAACATTCTTCTAGCATTTGATTTGGTACATAATGCATGCCCTCAAATTTACGAAAATAACGTCCTATTTCGGAATTGTTGATCAATCTTGGAGTGGTTGAAATTATAGCATCTAAAATGAGAAATACAAATAAAAAATAAATTTATGACAACTAAAGATAAATAAAAATAAATTAGGAAAAGAGGAGAACAAAATAATCCAAAATAAAATATTATTTTATATTGTCGACAAAAAAATAAGCTTATAGAATAAAACATAAATATAATATTAAATAAAAATAAATATGTTTAATAATATTTATACCTTCTTCCACGTGACACATTTTATTAATTTCAGTAAGAATTATATAATTTGTTTGCTGCTTCTCAAATTTGATATTACGATAATGTTTCAATGGCAATTCGTATAAACGACAAGCTGTATTACACATTTCTGTCTGAATTCCATGTGTGGAATATCTCTTGCAGCGTACAAGACCGTACTGTTTGTACCATCCCACTATTACGCCTATACAGTCATCATGTGCAACTATCATTCCTATTGCAAATTTTATTAAACCCACTCTTGTGTTTAACTGATTACTTTCTTTACATTCAAACTGAACACTGAACTGAAAAGTACAAGATCAAACTTTAATTTCTATATGTTTCTATCAAATAAGAAATGGAGTTTTTGTAGCAAGTTAAATTATAGACAATTATACGTATATAATTATATGCATGCGACAAAAAGAATTTTATAGATTTTATTTTATTATTATTATCCATATTAATCCATATTAAATACGAGGCTTGTATATTACTAACATAGTCATGTATCCCGGGAATACTCCATCTATTAACTAATGTAATCATTTCACTGCAATATAAGATACTAGATGTATCCTGTACTAATGCATTAAATATCCCTGTCTCCACCTAAAAAAAAAGGGATTAAACATGAACAGAAGTTATATTGATAGAACTCTATTACAAATAAAAAAATGAAAGAAATGTATAAGTCTGTTTTATAAAATGTCTTTCAATGACATTTTGTCAAAGTTACAAGTTTATATTAATTAATGTTAAAATTAATACAAACTATATATAAATAATTGCTCACATTTCTGATCATTGATGTGACATATTCAAAAGATGGATAAGTTTGAATGAACAACGACGTTTGATCGACAAAACAGTCCGGGAATTTATTAAATCCTATCTTGAAACATGTTGCATTTTGTAAATTATTGACGGCACTGGAAACAACAACAAATTATTTATGTATGAGCGTGTATCTATGATAAAAGTAAAAATACCGAAAAGTTTAGCTAATTCTAAGTGTAATATTTTATACTTACTATGTTGGTTTCCAAAACATACAGTAGCAGGATTGTGTACTATCGTGTAGAACTACTACATCACAACGTAGACCAAGTCTTCTGGCCAAGCTCTGATATATTATTAATAAGATTATTTGTTGACCATATCTATATTTTAAGACCTGTACCAGAAATTAATTAGTGCAAGAATATTTCTAAAATATAGTCATGCCATCAGCATAATTATGTGTGATCATAATTATAATATATTATAAATTTATAATAACTTACATAATCTATACACATATTTTCGAAATCTGTATTATATGGGTTGCACAGGCGAAAGTTTAATACATCAAACATAAATTCGTTTAGTATACTCCTAATCTGATTTGCCTCTAATTCGTTCCAGTAATTATCGTCGACATGGTTTTCTCTCCAAGAGGATAAAATTTCATTGGACGTCGAAAATATCGCATGATCAGGATAAAAATCTCTTAAATAATTCAGTACCTCTGCTGTGATACTATCTAATGATTCTTTTATACGCGAATAAGAGACATCTTTTTCTGGTTGAAGATATTGTGCCGCCATAGTAGCTCGCCACTCTAATAAAATCTGATTTCGGCAAAATATTCCTTTTCTTGCTCTCTCTTGTCTAATATAGTATAATATGTGTGTAATGCAATATCTTTCGGTTAAATCAGAACCAATTGTTCTGAAAAATTTATATATTAAATGTGCAGCCAATATACATTAGTTTACAAAATTAATAACACTATAATTTGTATTGAGAATCTTACAGTGGAGGTGCACACAAGTATTTAATCTCATCAATGAAGAAAGAATATGTTATGAAATTTTCAAGATTAGTGATCGAATCAAGCATCTTTTTCACATGTGTATTTCGACCAATAATGTCCATATATCTTATTAAATTATCGATTGTTCTGTCCCCGGAATTATATTCATGATATATGTTAGAGATACAACTTCGTAATTCTCTCGCATGATTTATGCCTGTGTTCACAAAATCGTTTTTTTTTATCTTCAGCTCCTCCTCAGTCTCTTTTTCTTCATTTTGATTTAAATGCAGGTTCCAAAATTTTTTCGCAGTAGGCCATCTGAAATTGCAACAAAAATATTTTAATTATATTTTTGAAAATTACCATGAAGAGTACAACTGCATCAGCAATAAATTTTCAGAGCAATCATTTTTTAAAAATACATAACATATTCTAACTATCAGTCAAAGTATGAATTCTTTGTGTTTATAGTACAACAAATATAAAATATATATATTATCTTTAACTTTTAATTTTACACTATAAGAATATACAGAATAGTGAATGTAATGGATAAAGTTCCATTGCATATATTATAATCTTATATAATTATAAAAAATTATTTAATTTTTACATTTCATATTTATAAAGCAGTGTACACAATCAGTTAATAAATTAATTATTAAAATATTAAAATAAGTATACAAAATTTATAACGTTTAATACTATTCTTTTCATATTCTATTTTATTATATATATATATATATATATATATATATATATAATAATTAATAAAATATATATATAATAATAAAAAAAATATATATGTCATAATAAATACTGTGGCTATCTGGGTATATATATATATATATATATATATATATACCCAGATAGCCACAGTAATTATTATGACATCATTTTGATGTCAAAATGCATCATTTGTCATCAAAATAATGTCATAATAATTACTGTGGCTATCTGGGTATATATATATATATTGTATTTATATATATTGCATTTATATTTATTGTATATGATATATTTCTTTTTAAATTATACCATCAATTATACTATAAATAGATTAAAAAATGAGCTAATAAAAGCCATGGCATAGAAAGATAAGGTATATAGCTATATAGTAAGTACCTATTTAAAAAAAAAAATTTTAATTAATGTTAAAAAATTAAATTTAACCAAATTTATTTATTTTATAGTTAAAAGAAATAAATGGAACATAATTGAAAGAAATGCTTTATATTGTTAGCCTATACTATTTTCTAACTCATTTTTATATTATATATATAATTATTAGTATTGATTAATTTTAGTTCTAAATATATATTATATTTTTAATAATTTTATATATATTATTTTGATTAAATATACTCTTTTTAGAAGTGATGCGTCTTGAACAAGGTTAATAAAAATTAGGAGTCACAAAAAGTTTATAGACAAAAAAATTACCTCTGAGAAAACTTTTTTTCAAATTGTTGATAATTAGCTGCCCACCAAAATTTCTTGCAGACACAGTTAAAGTTAATGACGTCCTTAATGGTGATATCACTGTACCGTAGAATGATGACTATCAATTCCTCAGGTAAGGACGTTATTGTAATCATAATGAAAAAAAAATTAACACCAAAAAATAATGTCCATTAAGATCGGAACAAACGCTATTCGTGTATAATTAATTAATGCTTTGCTTTTATATAAAAGCACACCAATTTACGGCGATATTGTTCTAATTTATCTGCCTTGTTGAGATAAACACATTTGCCTGTTTTTTGTGCACGTGGAACACGTTTCACTCTCGATGGCTACGTTTTTTCAGAAATTTTGACCTGAGGATCTAACGATCTTGTCCTTTTTTTCCCACTACTATGCATTTGTCACGTGACGTTTGTCACGTCACGTGACAAAGAAATTTAGATACTGAGAACACATTTCGAAACAAAAAAGGTAGAGAATGACATAGTAACAATATAGTACACTATGTTTTCACATTCTAAAATAAAATATTTATTTCACATATTCATTTACATTCTCTCAGCGAGAAATGATAGTTAAATCGACATAAATATGCCTAATTACTGATTTTAAACACTATATGAGAGAGAGAGAGAGAGAGATGTTACTATAAATCTTATTATCATGTAAATTATTTTTAGGAACTTTTTTATTATATTTATATACAACGTTTTATTAATATATGATATATAAAAAATAATTGTACACACACATTGAAAAAATTTTCTTATATATATGTTTCAGGAAATTCAATAGATTTATTAAATACAATTAAACAATAATTCTACTTATATTAAGTGTCTTTTTGTAAATTGATGTTAAAAATTTATGTCATTTTACTTATTTTACTAGGAAAGAAAACTTGAAAATTATATATATTGCTCTGCTGCAAATTAATGCCATTTTCCATATATGTATAAGCAGAAAATATATTATTAATTATAAAATATAATTATAAATTATAATTAATATAAAAATATATCAGAAACGAAAAAGATGTACACAGCGAATTTTTATATATATATATTACTCGGTTTTATTACATTGTCCACAATCACAATTAACCAATATCTTTTACGGCGAAAGGCAAAAGGCGAGACGGAAAAGTGTTATATTATAAATGCACCGTTGCGGTCTACCACTTCTCTCTTCGTTCGATGTTGGCACGTGATAAGAGCGTACAACCCATTGTCTGCCATTCTACTCTATGTAAATGCCTACGCATTCCCATCGGGAATGGATAAGAGAATGCGATGAGTATTGTGGAAAATCATTATTTTGCTAAAATTTTCAAAAAAGAAATTATTTAAATATTTTATAAATTATTTTATATTTATTATTTTTCTCTAATAATATAATGTTTTCAAAATGTTAAACCCTGAAAAAGAAATTTATTTGACAGATCGCAGCAGCTGTAAATTGATCTTGAAATTCTGAAAAAGAAAATATTTTATCATTTTATAAATATTTCACATTTATTATTCTATATATATATATATATATATATATATACATATTGTATAAGAATAATAAATGTGAAATATTTATAAAATAATAACATTTTATTTTTAGAATTTCAAGATCAATTTACAGCTGTTGCGATCTATCAAATAAATTTCTTTTTAAAAAAATATATATATATATATATATAGCACATAATTGTTTTCAAAATGTTGAATCCTGAAAAAGAAACTTATTTGACAGATTACAGCAGCTGTAAATTAATCTTGAAATTCGAAAAAATAAATAAATGCAAATTGTCTTCGAAATTCGAAAAAACATATATCGATATATCGATCTGTCAGTCGATTGGCCATAGCTGCGGCGATTCGAACGACACGACACGACGCGCGTGCGTGTGCGTGCGCGATCCGCGCGCGGCGCTATCGGGGGATAGTCGGGTGCGAACGTGTCGGATAAGTGGAGGGTCGAGAGGAACGCGCGCGTGTAATTGTGTATGTCGTACTAGGCGCGTACATCGCGCATCGTCGTCAATAAGAGCATACGGCAGCGTATATATTCCTGGAAACACGTTCGTCATATCGACGTGCCTCGTGTCTCCGACTTGTCAAATGTCAAGCGTCGTCCTAGCCTAGTTACCCGCGAGCTGAACGGAATAGCTGTCAGATTGCGCACACGAACGAGGAAGCGAGAGAAATCACACGTTGAGAAGCGACAGGGAAGCCTAAAACAGGAGGAGACGCTTCGACGAAGAGTCCAAGAAGAGTGGAAAGAACGAAATCACCGCGAGAACAAAGGATACGCCCGCCACGAGGTCCACGAAGAAGCATCTCCGAGCCGATGAACTCCCCTTCGATCGCCAGCAATGGAGCCCGAGGAGCCTCTGATGCAAGGGATTCTGCTGTTACCGCCGCAGGGAATGCTAGGCCAACTCAAGGTTGATCTCAAACGAGAAGATAACTAGCGGATGCGATAACGCACGAATGCTTGTTTATCTTCTTTCCTATTCTCCAGTTTCCTTTTATTTTGTTTTATTTTTTTTTTGACCTTCTTTCTGTTGTGGCTGCTTGGGCTTCCGCGGAATATCCCATACACCATTAATTATTCAATTATATCGGTCAAAATTGTAAGATCTGAGTCCTATGATTTCAAAAATTTTCCGTTAGTACACAATTCAGAAGGTCCTGAACTAGCTTTTTTTTCTTTTTTTTTTTTTTTGACCGCGTTTCTTCCATTGAACGTGCAACAGGTGCATATGTGCACGACACGCTCGCAATTTCTCTGGAATTTATTTGGAACAATCATTTAGAAAATGTATATCACAGAGTAACTTGGAAAGATGTTTCTTTGGCCATCTCTATTATCAGTCTCTATTTATGCAACGTAACAAAAGTTTAAAATGAATATATATGCATAGAAATTTATTTTTGTTTCTAGAAAACATGGCACAAGAGATTTTGCCAGCTTTTCAGAACCAGCAACTATGGAATCAAGCGTGTCGAGATCTATGACAATCAGGAGGAAGCGGTATTACAATCTCATACTCCACGCATCATCACGCTAGATGCCTGTATAAAAATTGCACCCAGCAATCAATCGCATGTCTTCATTGTAAGTATTTATTTCTCTCCTCTTTTGCATTTCTGTCACATCACTGTTCAAACTTCATTTGTTCTGGCGTTATCTTGACAAATGAATCATTTATATATTTGTTTTACACAGGTGGTGACTAAATCAGGAATACATTATTTCGGCTGTTATTCAGAAATTGAAATGACTCAATGGATTACGGCATTTCAATTGGTCGCTTTCAAAGACAGTGTATCGAATCAAACAATAGAGGAAAATAATGATCTGTATTGCACTAGTGGAGAAGGTGTATTTTCTGTGAAAGTTGTTGAAACCGATGCGTCTAGACGGTGCGGACTCGAAGCAAGAAATTATACGTTAGTAATTGCCACCGTGGATATGAAATTGATGGACGGTGACAATGTGCTATTCACATGGCCGTATAGGTATATTAGAAGATATGGATACAAGGATGGGAAATTTATTTTTGAAGCTGGAAGGAAGTGCGAATCCGGCGAAGGTTCCTTCCGCTTGGAGCACAGCAGCCAACAAGAGATCTTCCGGTGCATGTATTTGAAAATGAGATCTATGAAGAAGCTACTAAACGAAGAGAGCAATCCAAACATAGAATGCAACGACGCTCAGTATCACGCGGCTTTGTCCATGGAAGCTGGCTCCAGAGCGGCTTTACCTCCCTCTTCGAATAACTCTAGCAATCTAATCGACATAGATTTCCCTACACCTCAGAGTTCTCAAAAACCATCGACCACTTCATCGTCGAGTATGGATTCTATCACCTCGTCGAGCAGATCGATAAACAAGCCTAAACCTGCCAAGCCACCGCGAAAATACTTTGGTAATCTGCTGGAGAAGAAAAATCTCGACTCGGAATTTCTAGATTTACCCACGTGCGGGGAATACAGAACGTTAAGCCAAGCTAATTCCCCGGAATTATCTCACAAATCCATCGGCGATGTCATGCGCAACGAAGAGGAGAAACACTCGTACGATATAGTGGAAATAAGAAACGACGCGTGGAAGACGCACGGGATTGATAGCGTGCATCACACCGAAAGGGTAAATTCGATTTTACCCGTGGACCGAGATAAGGAGAACGACAGCGACGATTTGCAATACGAGATTATGATGCCGATACGGAATCACGACACGCCATCGATACAGAATAGAGACGCCAAGACAGACGAGTCGGATTACGACAAGTTGGAGCACTTTGGATCCGCGACGAAACTCGGTCCGAAACCTCCTCCGTACAAGTATACGAATTCCTCGCAAATCATACATTCCAGCATATCTCACGGGGAAAGTTCTAATCTGATTAATTCAGCGTGGTCCAATTATGATATCGTCGAAGATATGTCCGCCGTTAGATTAGCCGACGACAGTCATCTGGGTTACGGGATTATCCGGAAGAAGCAGGATCCTCCCGAGACGACTTCCGCCAGTGGTCCGCAACATAAGGTTTTCAACAACAGCGAATACGCGATTGTATCAAAACCAAAAAGGGTATAAGAATATCCGAAACGTTCGAATATTACTTTCCAAGTATTACGATTGCGCGACAAATTTCTATTTAAATTTACATTTTCAAAATTCTCGTTCTCTTTTGTAATTAATTGTAAGGATGTGAAGAATATGCTAGTCTGTGCCGCACACGGCACAAGTAAATTTATTTCTCGCTTTACAAAATTAAATTATAAAATTATTAACGTATACACAGATGTTGAAAAAAAGTAAAATATTTTAGGAGAACTTAGTCTCAAAATAAGTTTTAAAAAAAAGTCTTAACATGGTCCACGAATGAGCCATTTTTTAAATATTTCAAATGTCTCATAACTTACTTATAATATATAAGTATATTAATTTAATTTACTTTACTTATATTTATATGAATAAAATAATAAAAAAATATATAAAAAATAAATAGTATATAGAAAAATTAAAAATTAAAAAAATTAAAATTAAGACTTAAATCTCCTTAAAGTAGTTTACTCTTTTTTTCAATATCCTGTATATCGCGAAACGATACAAAAATGATGCAATATTATTTCCGCCCGGTATGCGTTTTTATTCGCTTTTAACATCTTTAATTTACATTATATAGGGATAAAGAGAAAAACCTAGTCTTTTTTTATTAAAAATTTAAACGTTTAAAAATTCCACAAAAACGCAATTGTGCCTTTTCACGAGATTTTATATTATTATTATTATTATTATTGATTAGGGAAGGCTCAGCGTGATTAAGATTTTATCTAATTGCATTCGACTGATTTATAAAAATATATATGTAGTGCCTTACGAAAACATTTTAATTGATGCCAAAATGACACTAAACTATCAGAAGCACATGCATACATGTGTTAAAATTTTTATCAATATTAAATATATATATATATATATATATATATTGGTGTACTTAGAAAAATTTATTATTATAATTAAGATTTTAAGATTTTAACTATTATTGCTTCTATTCTCTATCATTATATTATTGCGTGTATTATATAACTGCTGCTATAATATGAGTAATTCATGATTATATATTTGTTAATCTTATTGGATTTTTTAATGAGGCAAAACATTCATTTTTATGCAGACTTATCATATAAACTTGGCATATATTTGAACGTAAGATTTTATACAGATAAATGTAAAAGTTCTGATACAAATGCTTTTGTAAGTAGATAATCACAATTGGATAAACTCTTACATAGAATTTAATGCTTACATGTAATATCGCTGCTGCGATTCTATTATATATTGTTATATCACAATGAATATTAGTGCTTTCATTAGCCATAAAATCAATTTATAGCCTAAATTTAGAGAAAATTAATTCTCTGAAATTTACTTCATTAGATTGAAATTATTCAAAATAATATTATCAGTAATAAGCAAAAAATTTCTATCATGTTTCTATTATACATATAAAATATTACATATAATTTAATTACATTGTTTTAAATATATGTGCATATGTATATACATGTTTAAAGGTGATAATTGACGAGCTAGAGAAATCACTATCATTCATTATGTAAATTAATGACTGCAGGTCATTTGCAATAATAGCATATATGTACGAATGAATAATTAATTACCATACATATATTTTTCTATCTACACAGTTTTTTACAAAATTGTACAGAGAAAGTATCAATAATTTTAACAGGAATTTGTTAAAAGGCTGTTTGTAATATGTCCCTTGTGCCAAACTAATGGTCTGCCATTGGTAGGAATATTCATCCGAGTAATATATATAATATTGAGATAAGAATTGCAATTATATATTTTGAAATAAGAATTGCGCCGAATTCAACGAATTCTGAAAACAACAAATTTGCATGATAAATTATTTTTTAGAACAAGTATTGTCAAACTATATTCTCATCAGATATTTTTAATAGAAATATATTTGAAAAAAATTTGTACAAGATATTACATACAAGATTGATGCTTGCATGTATAATCTTGTATGCATTTCTTTCATTTGTAAGTGTCGACAAAATTTGTACCTATAGAGAGATAAATTTTAAAATAATATTTTTCTAAAATATATATATATATATTTCGATCTGTACTTGTAACGATACAATTATGTAAGTATTTTTAAATTGATATATTATAGTTTCTTTATAATTTTAAAACAATTTACATGCATTTTACATTACATTCAACAATGTTACATGTACAGATGCGCAGATTAAAGAAATAAATTTATACTAAGTTTCACACACTTGTATCAATTATAGTACTCGGTCTAGCTTTCAAACTAGACATCAGCTTTCCTTTGTAACTCCACTTTTTTCAACCTTATCATCGTTGCCCTCGTTGCTAGAGTCTTTCGTTTCATTATCATTCTTCTGAGGTAATTTGAACTCTTCTTTCAACACAGCTTCGAAGTAGCCTTCCTTGTCATCCGCTATCCTTCGCACAGTCTCTCCTTTCAGTGCCATAAGTTTCTCGATATTTGTTCTAGTACTTATTTCAGGGAACCATCCCAAGTTATCAGCAATAAGATGATTGTTCTTGCAACCGTTGCATCTCACTATCACAACACCCTTATTGTACGCCAGCTTGGATATCAGTCTGGTGTTTCTCGTGGAACATCTTTTACATGTGAACATCAGTTTCAGTTTTCCTTCGAGCTTACCCAGCTCCTTGCGACTGTCGTCATTTTCGTGAAGAAGACGACTCTGACTCCGAAGTGCTCCGACATTTTTACACAGAACCGGAATGCGATGATGATATACGGGATATTGATTAAACGCTAAACGTGCAGCGAAATTTAACGCTCGCCGAATGGAAAACATATTAAACTTGCCTCTTTCAACGGGAAAAAAAAATATATATTTATCTTCACTCGAGAAATATTCCTTCCAGTTTTCAAAAAACCATGTGTTCGCAAGATAAATTTTAAGGTTATGCTCCTGCTTCTCTGTAATTTTTATATTATCATAATTTATCTTAATTATTCCAAAAATCATTGGAATATTGAAGAAGAACGAAGATGAACATTTTTTAAAATTTTTAGAGATTCACGTTTGAAATTAATTAAAATGTAACATTTTTGAGGTTATGTCAAAAAATTCCGCATCTTTCGATCCGCGCCATTTGACAGAAGTGCGTTCAAAAAATGCTGCTTCATCCCAATTGGTCGATTTGACGAGTAGCATTTCTGAACACACCTTCCTCCAACAGATGTAAAAACACGAATTTGATTTTATATTATCATAATTTATCTTAATTATTCCAAAAATCACTGGAATATTGAAAAAGAACGAAGATAAACATTTTTTAAAATTTTTAGAGATTCACGTTTGAAATTAATTAAAATGTAACATTTTTGAGGTTATGTCAAAAAATTCCGCATCTTTCGATCTCGCGCCATCTGACAGAAGTGCGTTCGGAAAATGCTTGACAAGTAGCATTTCTGAACACACCTCCCTCCAACAGATGTAAACACGAATTTGATTTGAATCGTCGTTATTCAACGTAAATCTATATACATATATATATATATATATATATTATACAAAACATTTTTCATCGAAGAACCGCGTGGCGATCAGCTGATATCGATCAAAGGGTAAAGGACACCTTCTCCGACTATTGTACACCCGAACGACGCGTCAGATAGAAAAGTGACGCGCATTTGCGCGTCCCTAACCTCAAAAAGCTTCCGTCGTCGACGACAGACGCGAGTGCGAGTATAATAAAGGGTGTCGCATAAATATGTCCAGCTTCCGCTCCATCGTCGATCGCACTCTGGTGAAGAGAACCTGCACGACGATTTAGGAAGCAAAATAAAAAAAAAAGATATTTCTATAAAAATAGAGAGGATGCTGAGGTCGATAGCATGGAATACGATTCGGAATCAAGCTGCGAGGGCGGCGGTTGCTCGAGGGATCTCCCGGACAAGCCGACGAAAGACGACGAGCCGGCTTGTCTGAGGTCCGAGGTCGGGGAGAAATGCGGGCGGAGGTTGGCGGAGCTGAAGACGAGTCTGGGCGGCGACAAGAAGAACCTTTCCGCGCAGGTAATGGAATATTATCGCAAATACTCCGGAGACGCGAATCTGGATCAGTATTTCTCGCTACCCGTGTCGCATACTCCGCAGGAGGCCGTCAACTACTACTACAGCGTGTACGAGGTGAGCGCCCAGGTGGGCACGAACAGGCAGGACTGTGTCGGGGAGGAGGTCTATAATCTAAGGTCTTACGTCCCGAGAGAGAGACGTAGGTGGGTAAGGCCCCCATTGATCGGCCAGTCCTCGAACACGGATCCCGCTTCATCCAGGTACGTTGAAACGTTGACAGATCTCAGGACGTCCCCGGTCGACCTCGCGTCTGAAACGATACACGAGGAGAGGAATGAGAGCCAGGACAAGTTCCCCGAGGTGAACGACAGGAAGCTATCCTCCCCGACCTCCAGCGTGGCGTCTCACAAACCTCTGGAATGGGACAGCGGCGCGGATGTCGGCTACTTCAATTCGCACGTCCTCGGTAAGCAGGAGGACAAAAGGCTGAGCACCATAGAACGTATGGCTCTGGCGAGAGGATGCTCGGCCGCTTTAAGATTGGATCCGGAAGGCACCACAGAATCCGGAATGCAATCGGGGAAGAATACGGCGAAATCGTCCACGGCGCCTGACGCGAATTCCACTCCGTTGATTGCGAACGCTTCGGGGTCGGAGAGCGAGATAGAGATCACGCCTATTGTCAAGAGCCATTTGCCCGGCATCATCGCGGGGGATGATATAAAATCGCATGAGATGAAGTCTGCGAAGCTCCTGGATCTCGAGACTCCTAAGTCGTCGTTTAAGGTGCCGCTGGCGAAGTGCTCGACGGTGGAGAGAAGGCTCGGAAGTTCCAAGCGGAAGGAGATTACGCGTCCCTCGAGCTCGCCGTTGCAGAAGAGCAGCTCGATGAACGTGATACCCGCGTCGTTGTCGAAATCTACCCTTAAGAGAAGCCAGAGCGAAGTGAACTTTCACGCTAAGGAAGGGAAGTCTGTGGTGCCTCTGATCTTTAACTCTACGTCCTCCATCGCTACCGTGGTGAACAAACCAGCGACCTGCGACAAAGTAATACAGACAAGTCTGGACGTGTGCTCCCAGGAATCCGTGGCCGTTCAAGTTTCGGATTTCGAGGAGAGCAAACCGCCGGAGAAAGACCCTAGTTTGCAAACGATACATTCTATCTTGAAGAAGTCCAAGGGCACTTATAAGATTAAAAGTGCGAGAAAATGCGAGGACGCTTCGCGTCCAGCGGACGACGATGAGGTCGGGACGAGCTCGAAGGACGTTGAAGCTTCGAGACACCAGAGCAAGAGTAGCTCGGACATGTCGCAGAACGCGTCGACCTCGATAACCCCGCAGCCCGACGAGGCGGAGAACGTGTCTGGAAGAGCCAACAGCTTCGAGTATTTTCCCGGACACGCTTACGCGAACGTCCCGAACGGGAGGAACAGCCACGCGTCTTCGGATACCAATAGGTCGAACTCGACGTTACCCAACAGCAGTTCCAGCGTGAACGAGAAGATGTGGGGAGACTCGGATAGCCTGGTCCGAGACCTGGAGAGGAGCGTCAACATCCTGAAGAGCCTCGTCGACGCCAACAAGTGCGACAAGCAAGTTAAGAAGCGACTGATACAGCACGTGATCAAACGACTGCTCACCGCAAAGTACACGGATGATAAGATCGAGCATAATTTGGAGGACAATGTCCCTTGGAATCCGGACGACGCGAGGAACAAGGTTTACCGAGCCGAACTGCTTCAGGCTCTGACAAACAAGCACAGCACGACTGAGTCCTCGGACGAGTGGAACTCGCAGAAGAAGGATATCTCGATGCAGAAATCTGCAGGGACCACCAGCGACGTTATCAAGGAGGTCGCGTTGGGGAGCAGCAACAGCGACAAGTTCGATCGTCACACGGATAGAACCGAGATGGACGGTAGAAAGGCTAGATTAGGACTGAGAACTGATGACTGTCAGCGGAGCAGCAACACGGATCGCGATAAGAGCGAGAGCTCCGAGTGCTTCGTCCCTCAGCGCAATCATAAGAATGCTAAGGTGAACGACATCTTTTGCTTCAAGGAGAATTGCAAGCTGCCGCATCGAGAATCGACCACGACCAACAGCATCCTGCCGGATCACAACAGGATCCTACTGGACGCCGTCGTCAACAACAGGAGGACTCTCGTCGAGTCCAACAATAACACAGATAACAATACCGACTGGAGGTTGCCGACCACCTCGTCAGAGAGGCACTTTGAACTGAAGAAATGCAGCATGTCCGAGTCCGGCGATTCCAAACTCGTCAATTACGCCGAGATGGAGAAGAAAAATCAACTCATCTGGATCACGAATGAGATTAGCCATCTCAATAACTTGAAAAAGTATGTCAAGCATGTTTACAGTATAGTAGCATATTTTATAATAGTATGTAGTATAGTATAGTATATACAGAGTGTCTCGTTTTAATATTTTAATAATATCTCTTTCCCTATCTAATCTAAACTGTATTAAATATTGAACGACTTCTGTTCTTTCATAAAGCATATAAATATAAACTATTTAATATTTATATTTTACATCTTATATTTTCTTTACCGATTAGATTGTTGGAGCAGCCCAGACGATTAGAGAGGCCGAAATCCTCGCCGAGGAAATCGAAATCGGCGAATCTCAAGTCGAAGCAGATACTCAGACGGGAGCAACACCCGGACACCGTGCACGGGTAACGCGACACGTTTATATTAATGTAGATGTGAAAAATTCCACGTATCACAATTTTATAAATCTAATTTTATAAATCTCACGCTCTAGGAGTATGTCCGATCTACGGGAGGATTCTGTGAACGAGCCGTGGTCGTCTCACTGCAACCTGGCGACTTGCGAGGCCGCGGGTGACACCCTGAACGTCCAGAGGATGATCATGAAGCGCAACAGTGTCACGCAAACAGCGACGAACTTGGCCAGCGTTCACTCCAAGACCGGAGGGGTGATCATATGCGCGTCGAGGAATCTGCAGAGGTCATCCGGGACGAAGCGCGTCGCTGTCGGGGTGCAAACGTTACCTCAGGAGATGTCCTCGATGTCGCCGATCAAGTCGGGCACCAAATACACGAATTCCCAGAAGCCGTGCTACCAGACCGGTACAAAGTGCAGAGACCAATCGTGCCAAACGCACAGCACCGTCGTCCATGCGTCGTGCGCGCGATGCAACCAAAATCCCGAGTCCGACTCCGCGGCTTCGGTCAGGTCGCGCAAGGGCGAGCCGCCAATTGTCTCGCAGCAGACGCAGACGAGTTACGCGAGCGACGACGCCGCGACGGAACCCACCTGTCGTCGCGCGTCGCAGAATATTACCGTCCAGCAGAAGCAGAAAGAGGCTAAGAATCAAATCAACGCGTCCAAGTCGAAATGTAGTTGCGCTCGCGGCGACGTTTGCTCGTCCATTAAAGATAATAAGAGTACGAGTACGATCGAAGCCAAACCACGAGCTGAAAAACGATCACCGTTTACATGTTCATTGTGTTCCGAGCAGAAATCCGTTGCGGATGTCGATGACATTGTTTATAGTTGCGGCGGGTGTCAAAAGACCAGGTCGGGGACGATTCGCATGAATGCCTGTAAATGCGACGTCGATGTTCCTGTTAAGGAAGTGGATAGGAAGATCATTATCGGCAAATCCCGACAAAACTGCAACGTGCAGACTCAGAACAGACGCAATGGCTCGAGTTACATCGAACAGAGCGACCCTGGAAAGATCTGCGATTGTGTCGCGTGTCGAAATCCGGAGGAGACTGCGACGACGGCGACAGGAATATTGTGCGAACATTGTCAGTCGAGTAATAAAATTGATAACAACGAGTCGAGCCGTTTCCAGGGTCGTTTAGCGGAGCGTCAAGCGCCAAAGCAAGTCTATTCTGAGTGTTCTCAGGACAGTACCCAACAACGTAAAGTACAAAATAACTTATTAAAATGTAATTGTAATGAGGCTTGCTCCTGCAGTAACAATCAAGCAATCAAGGATATCAAAGCGTGCAAGAATTACGCATCAAAAACAAATGTTGCGGATAATGTTAATAAGAAGGAGAGAAATTGCCAGCATTGTCGCGCGTGCGGCACCGCGTATCAAAATATTAGAAAGTGCGGCTGCCGTCAAATATATCCTAAAGCTGTCGCGTACGAGGTGTCCTTTACAAAGGAGAATACCTCGAAAAATGAAACTTCGGATATCGTTCCAATAATGCCAAAAGTTTCCAAGCAGCCCTCGACTGCAGCAAAATTTGATGCCTGTTCTTGCGATATTATGAAAAGGAATAACAAGACTGCTCATCGGACGAATACGCTGCAGGTAAGAAATTCGATGGAAACTCAATCTGTAGACTTATCATTTGAGTGAAATAACTTTTGTATTTGTAATATCAAATATCAACATCACCTCAAAGATGAAACATTACGAATCTTTTGGATCTTGTAACAATTGAAACCGATTTCAGGATTATTTATCCAGAAACAATCCCGAGTTTGTGGGCAATGCGGAAACACGTCGACAATATTTATCGGAAATATGCCAGTTGCGTGAATTGAGAAAGGAGAAGAGAATACAGTTATTAGCGATGGCTAGTTCATCCACTATCGATAAATCCACACCAGTGCGGAAGCCAACAGGTGAGATTCAGCCATGTTATATATTTAAATCAAACTGACTAATCTACATATTTGGAGCAAAATCAATTTGCAAAAATTGTAGCATTATATAATATATATATTCCACAATTTTGATTCTTTCTTTGCACTTATAGCTTGTGCGCAACGAAAAATTTCCGACGATGAGATGAGGGCGCGGTTACGTAAACGGTATCTCCGGTTGAATGAAGTACGATTCAAGCGGCGACAACAGGAACAGCAAGAAGAAGCACGTCGAAACAAGCTCATGGCAAAAATTTTTTGCAAAAAATTGCAGCAAAAGGTTTTGAGAGGCCAAGTAGATTTGTCTCAAAGTGTCAGCGTTATATCCAATTTATAAAGTCCCCTTAGGGGCTATTTGTGTAGAGTGCCTTTCCATTTTCATAAGTCTATGGTCGGAACTATTTCAGGGATTTTATTGAAATTTTATTGTTTTGTATATTATTTTTAACACAAAATTGAAGTTTTTATCTAATTAAAATTCAGTTAAATAGTGTTCGTTACTATAAGATATATAGCTCTGTTCTATCTTATGTCTTATTAATTATTGTTGGTTAGCAACATTTTACATCTAAACAATTTCGTTAAAACTGTTACATCCTAAGAATGATTATGTCTGAAATGAAAAAAAATTAAATTTTAACAAAACCCCAGAGATGGTTCTTAGTGTTATATATAATTCTCATTTTTTATGAATGCCTATTCTTAAAAATTGCAATATCTTTAATTAAAGTAGAGGCATGCATTTTATATTTAATTATATTGTCTCAGATAGATTGTGTTAAAATTTGTATTATCATACTTTTCTTCAGTAAAATTAGAAGAGTGTGCACTCGAATTTATATAATCTATTTATAATTATTGAATATATTACAGAGATAAAAAATTCTGATCTCTTATTTGACGTGCTTAAGTTACGTACACATAATTTTATCATTAATTAATTATTTATCTTTACGAGCACAAATGACATGACTAAATAGTACAAAAAGTATCGAATTTTTTTTATGTGTTTCAGAGAAGCTTTATATATTATAGATACAAAGAGATAAAAGCACATTCACATTCAATGTGATCTGATTTATCTTTTATTTTTTAATACAAAAATATATTGATAGGACCGGAACATAATAATACTTATTACTATTATTATGTTCTTATATCGCGTAAACATGAATTATGTAATCATGTTTACGCAATACATATAATTTATAACAAAATCATTTTCACACACAGTGAAACATATTCATATATGTATATATATCATTAATCGAAAAATGAATGCTTTAAAATAAGACGAATAGTTGTTGCATAGTACCTGAATCTTGTAGTATACCGTAATACTTTTTTTGATACATGAAATAAAATCTGCTAATGAATGAATGAACTTTTTAGAAAAAATACATGTACTTTTTAAAAGGATTATTAAGAATTTATATTTTATTCCTTTTCTTTTATTTATTCTTATCTATAAGAATATACTTTTACGAGCTGTAATATTTTGATGTTACAAACTACATCACACATATAGTTCTAACTATGAAGATTTCACTTTTTTAATTTAAATCATTCGTAATACATGTTTTCAGAATACTTGTAGGATAATTTGATTAAGTGACTGGTATTATTTTTCCTATCTTTATCTGATCTTTCTCGGTTATTGAGTCGGAGTATCTGCGACATGATTGTTGTATAATATGAAATATATTATGCTAATCGATCAAACAACCACACGTAGGGAAGAAGAAAAGATATTCAAACATGAAGAGAAATTTGAACAAATTAATTTCAATTTATTTCTAACTTTTTGTTTCATTTTTGCAAGTTTTCGATATTAATGCTTTTAGAGAAAAATTTAAAATTTGCACACACATGCATACAAAATATCTATTTTTAGATATTAATTTGAAAAATAAAATTAATTGCTTCCTTTTTTTAATTACTACTTTTTCATTAAATATTTTTTTTGCATATACTTCGTCAAAATCGCGAATAAACACACTTGTTTCTTTCTACATTCGAAAAGTGTAACGCAACGCGGTTAAATGGAACAAAACTTTCTATTATTCTGACCACAAGCTTAAATTACTTTTCGCTTTTGCATATAAACGAAATTGGCGAACATTTTGAAAACTCGCAAGGACTTTCAAAATTTTTAAATTAGATTATATTTTCTTATTTGACAGCAAATAGATATATTTTATAGTTTATATATATATATATATATATATGTATTGATTCATCTGTGATTTTTTATACATATAAAAAATTAAAAATATGCAAAACTTCTGAAACTAATTAATCTCTTGTTAATCTATATATTTTCTTAATGAGTAGAGTAGGACCGGGTATAAAAGTAGCATGGAAAAAAACCGAAAATATAATGAATTGAATAATTAATCGGAAGGACATGTCTCTCCGGTCCTCGCCATTGTTGCGAACTGGTTTTCCAGGAAGGCGACAGTGACCGCGACCGGTTGCAGCAGATTCATTTCAGCATCGACTGGTCCCCCCGGTGTTCCCAAGCCAGCAAACGAGCGCATACTTTCTCTCGGGGAATGTACAAGTCGGTCTTGTGCGTGGAACCGCGTTCCGTGAAGGCCGATTTTCCAGTCGCGCTTCCGCCGTGAGAGAGACGACGGCGTGTCAGAGGTACATTTATATACATAGTAGTGTTCTCCACGAATTCATATCATATTTTTCATATACAGAACACGCAAGACATCGCCGTTATTCGCGATCGCTCCGACCCGTTATCCGTGACACCATATCGGACTTATTCATCGGACTTTCGATTCTCGGACTCGCCTGATTATGAGCGCTGGATCGCTACCAGTTGCACATAATTCGTCGATGATTTGTCCGTTCCGTCAGTTTCTCTCAGGGTTTCTTCGTCATCTCTTTAGAAAAGTCAGCGACATGTTCTCCAGCATTTAGGAGGAAAATGAAGCGATGGCGAGTGTCGTGAGAACGAAAAGAACGAAGAGTACTTCCGTGACGTTTTTAGGATGTTTGCTGCTATTTTCCTGTGGTAATTATTATTAGATCTTGTATATTGTGTACGAAAATAAGTATTTGCCCGAAGATTTTTTTAAAAATCATATTGTTTCATCCAGCATCGATATCTCTTCGAAAAACATCGCTTCATCCGGCATCGATGTCACCTGAATAACAAGTCTATACATAATTAAATTAAATGATAAGAATTTAAAATTTGAAATTTGAATTATTCAAAGAATTATTCAAATTAATATTATACACACTTAACAAATAAAAACGTATAGATAAATTTTATCAGGATAATTATATTATAATTAATACATTTTCTTTTTTTAAATATTTTGATAAAAGATAAAATTCTCTTTTATAATTTTGTAATTTATATTATATATCGAATATAAACTAATTTATATTACAGATATTATTTATTGCGACTTAAAAAAATTTTTATCTCTCAATATTATATATACTTATTATTTTTTTTTTACAAGAAATGCTGCCGATTTATAAATATCTGTTCATTATGCTATACATTTGTTAAGTCTAATAAATATTTCAATGTATGATAGTTTATGCGCAAGAAGATAATGGAGAGTATAAGGGAAAATATTTGGGAAAATTAAATCCGTATCATCATCAAGTTTCTGGTGACGTTTGGGCTGTGGATCAGTACACCTTATTATTAACTTCCTTTAACTACGATGGTAATGGAGCTGACACGTTTTTCTGGGCGGGGGCATCAAATAGACCGGGTCCGCAAGGATTTATCGTTCCCGATGAGTGGGGCAAGTAAGCTGTATTTCTTTCTATAAATGTTTAAAAAGAATCTCGAAATTAGATTCGAGCATAAATCATTCAGTGTTCAACTCTAATAATTGCTTGTTGTTTAGGACAAATGTATTGGATCGGTATTTCAACCGGGATTTTACACTCAACCTACCGGAGAATAAGAAAATAACAGACATCAAATGGTTTGCAGTGTACGATTTACAAAGTCAGGTACCATTTCTAAGAGCATATATCTTATAATTTCATGCTATTGCTAGATCAATAATAAGATCTATTTAATTTAAACGTAACACATGTTCAATGTAAAAAATCTAATAAATTACAGGATCATTTTATACTTCCTGTGAAGCTTACTTTAGATATCACTTCAATAACATTTTCATTGAATGATGTATATTTATCAGGATATTATTTGTTATTATCGTTTTGAAATCTTTTCTTTCAACGAGACATTAAGGTGTCACTTTAGTGGGCTAAAATAGTTTTCTAACTTTAGAACGCCTTCGGTGATGTATATATTCCGGAAGAGTTTGATCCACCAACGCCTCAGAAGATATCGCAGCTGTCGAGAAGATCTCACAACGTCTCGTCAGGACCCATCGTGATTTTGGACTCAAAAACTATCAGCATACCACAATTCGTGTACGATGGACAAGGTGCGGACACATATTTCTGGGTCGGTCTTGGTCCACAACCATCCAGCAAGGGTCAGAAAGTACCCGACGAATATGGATAGTAAGGAAATATAAAATTATAATTTTTAAAAATCTATTAAAATACATTATTTTGTCGCGAATACATTAATATATTCAAAGTGTGCATTTTAAAATGTAAAGAGATCATTTTTATCCACTTTTTTAGCATGGATTCTCTTAGAGTGTACAATGACGAAGACGTCATACTGCAACTGCCAGGCGATATGACGGTCTTCAACATAGATTGGATAAGTATTTTTGACGTAAAAACCAAATCGAATTACGGTTCTGTGATCATACCCGACGGACTCAATGTACCGCCGTCGTTGATCAAAGTTACCAAGCAAACGCAGTCCCTTCCGAATTGCGTCCAGCTGCACAAACGATATCAAGTTGCCTGGGAAATCTTCGGTCCGCAGATCACAATCCAGCTGGTAGGTCAAGTCGGTACGTATACGTGGCGCAAAATTATACATGGATTTTTATTATTTAAAAAAAATGTAGCATAAATTTTAATTATTTTCGCATTCTCAGCCGAGGATGAGTATATGGCTTTTGGATTATCCGGCTCGGAAGACTCCAGTCGAATGGAAGGTGCGGATGTAGCCATTGCATATATGGATGATACCCGTGGATATGCTACGGATTACAACATTACAGCAAAGGCGCCAGTGCGTAAGCCAGGGTTTAATATGATTCTACAAAAGAAGAAAAGGAATGAAACAGTACATTAATGAATACCTTAATGATTCCAGTGTGGGAAAGTTCTCGGTCAGTACAAAGGCGTTTGCAGAGACGAGCTTGTCGGCGGTTTGGATAGCAATCAGCTCTACACCGCAGTAAGGGAGAACGGGCTCAACATTATTACGTATAGACGTACACTTATTTCATGTGAGTCACATACAAAGAAGAGAGATTGCGTGTTTCTCACATATGTAGGCATGTTGTAGATACATTATATTCTTGCAGCCGATCCCGGAGACAAAGAATTCCCTGTGGATAAACCGGTATACGTGGTCTGGGCCTTGGGCAGACTCGATAAGACCAATAACGAACCAAGTTTTCACGATTTGTATCCGAGGAATGATGTGGTACTCGAATTAAATCGTAAGGATCCAGAGAACACTTGTATTGATTTTACGGAGAGCAGCGGCAAATTCTCTCAAAAGTACCTACTAATGTTTCATGTTTTATTTTATACAGGGTGTCTGACATAAATTTGTCGCACCAAAAATATATAAGTAGATTTCATTATTTGGTAACGATTTTTCCTCAGCAAAACTGTCGAGGAAGGCCATAATTTTTGCATATTCCTAATTTTTGCCATCATGTATTTTTATAACTAAACCTCAAACTAAAGTTTTATTAAAGTAAACTCTACTTGAAATTAATAGGAGAATGTGGTTCTGTTAATATTTTATTTCCACAAGGTTTAGTTTGCAAAAAACCCTTTATTTTCAATCGCTTATAACTCGAAAATTATTAAATGCCTCAATATTTTTGCTGAGGAAAAATTGTTTCCAAATAACAAGATCTGCTTGTATATTTTCTACCTTATGTAAGACATCCTATATAATCAAATTACGATTGTCGATTTTAATCTCGCTCCCTTTCCAGAGAACCTTGGCAAAAAACAGAAATATTTGACAGAAGCGTTCGAACTTTCAGAGCAACTATCGGACCTTCCGGAGGGAAAAGGGGATATCAGGGAATCACGGGTATTTTCATGGATCCTAGATTCTTAGCTATATTATTTTACAATACATCGCTTGAACAAAGCAATTTTTCTTTCCAGGGAAACCATCGGTGGGTCTTGCCTGGTACATCGAAGGCGCGCTGATACCCGAATTGTACCTACGTCGTGGATTGACATACAGCTTTCGCGTTCACGGTGGGAACAATCCGCACAGCGCGGACTTGTACCATCCTTTAATAATAACGGATGAGCCTCATGGAGGATACGACACCCTCAGCGATCTTGCCCAAAGTAAGATCAGGGTGTTGGCTGGAATTGAATTGACTAGGAGAGGTCGACCGCGACCGACCGCGGGTTGGTAGACTTCACATTCACTCCTTTTCTTATACAAATTACGTGAATTTTGCGTTTATACAAATGTTATTTTTTCAGTCGGGCCGCTTTGTTTAAGTAAGCATAACGGTCGAGATAGAAGACTGGACGATACTTTTCCGTCGTTTAAAAAATTCAACAGGACCCTATTGCAAACCTGCGAGCCAGGTAAGGGCTGCTTTTCTCAAGTAAATACCCTTTCGCGTTACATTAAGTTTAAACTGACCAGAGTTCGTGTTTTTTGTTATATTATAAAAATGAATCTTAAATAATATCTTAAATAAAAATGATTCTCTTGTTTAGGAGACGGCGGCACTTTGACAGTGACTCCGAACTCATCATGGCCCGATTTGGTTTATTATCATTCGTTCACACACCCAAATATGGGATATAAGATTCACGTAATTGATTCTTACACAAAAAGTAGTGCGATCGCACATAAATTATCATTGCTCGTCGCAATTATGACTGTCCTTTTTCATCTTTCATAAAGTTAGGTAATAATACATGAAAAAAATTGTATCAAATTATTTTTCAACTTACGGAAAGATACGTTAAATCAGGATTCGTTAGTTTAGGATGTATATCGCGATATTTTAATATAAATCACTGTGTACTGCTTTTCTTGTATTATATTAAGCACTTAATATAATAGTTCCTACAATAAGCTGCGTTACACATACATACAAATTTTGTGCGTAATTTAATAAAAAATTAAAATAATAAAATCATCTGTTTATTCTGTTATACTATGAAAGAAATGTTAGATTATCTATTAAAAAAAATAAGCGAATAAAAGAAATTAAGTTGTTGCAATATTCTTTTATTTCATATATTAAGTAAGATATCGTGAGCATATAAAAGACAACATACATTAGATATGTACATACGCAACGCGTCATATTTGTGTTACAGTGAGAAGATCGATGTAAAAAAAAGTATATTCTTAATATTTATATGTATATGCTATAAATAAAATGTCGAGTGTTAATTTAAATATTTCTTTTTAAAAAATATATATATACAGTATGTGCAAAATAATAGCACCGGTTGAAAAAGTGAGGAGTATTTGTATGTTCCCTCTGCCATGTTTAACTGTCTTGACTGGTATATCTAGGATTAAATTTTGACTTTTGTGGTTTTCGAACGAACTGACGAATACCAGGATTTAATAATCACTTTTTGATGGTAGAGGAAATATACAAATTCCCCTCATTTTTTCAACGGTACTATTATTTTGCACATAACTGTACATATATTCTTCAAACAGATATTACACATATATGTAATCTTTTTATCTAACAAAGCATGTGAATTTTTTCTAAACAAAACAAAAACATGTCACTAAACAATAAACAATAAAAGTTATTAATATATTCTTGATGAGAATCAATAAATTTAATTACTAAATACATGTCTCATACACATACCTGTGTGTATTCACAAGTATTTAGTATTTTATAGAGATAAATGAATAAATATCAAATATATTTGTGTAATGAAAAGATTTTATTAAATACTTTTAGTGCAATCCAATGATTTTATTCTAGTAGCCATTGTTGTAAAAATTGTATTTATAAAGTGCCTTTATATCTTATATTAATATATTATTAAATGTTTCTTGTGATAAATCATCTGTTGATTACACCAGAAAATTAAATATAAAAACAGCATTATGTTTTGCAGCACTTTCTTTTCATTAGACAAATCTGTAATAAATATAAAAGAACATCACGTGCAATAATAGTCAATATTTTCGATTATTTTTAACATAGTTTTTAAAACAAATAAATTAATTAATAAATTAAAATATTATTGTACTTATAAGAAATTTTTATCAATTGTCAGGAACGGACTCAAATAGATGAGAATAATTATTGCTCAACTTTAAATGTTATAGACCATAAAACAAGAGCAGTAAGAAATATCAAATTGCTTCTGCGATTATGTATATATATATATATATATATATATATATATATATAAATTGTTTGTAAAATTAGAAAATCCACGTGCAAATGACAATACCTTCTAGAAAAATGATCCTTTTGATCACACAAATTCATCAAAAATCGTTAAAGAAAAGACTTGCCAAATTTCAGATAATTAGAGCATCAAGAACAAGAAATATCGAAAAGAAACAGAATGGCGAAGTTACCGAAAATGAAGACCAAAACATGAAAATAACAAATCTTAAAAGTGAATGACGTGCGAATGCACAAACGCCAGAATTGTTAACAATTTAATAGTGTATAGACATCTGTGAATAATATAAATATTAAATATTAATATATTAAATATTAAATAATAAATATTAATATTAAAGGAGTAAATATTAAATATTAAAAGTAGGAATAATAATAATATTATAATAATATTAGACATATAAAGTGAGAACTACAGATGTAATGGCTTTTTTGGATTGAAAATCTCTTAGTAGTGTATAGATATCTGTTTTTGTGTTTACTCGCGAATGGACGCCATTTTTCAACTAGAACATTGTCTAGATTTTTACTTTTAGGGACTCTAGTTAAAACTAAATCATTATAACAACGATAATATATAGCTCTGCTATATTAAATAATAACTTAGAAAGATAAGATTCGTTGTATGAGCCCACCGCGGATTTACGTGCGCGAAGACAATGAAAATTTAATTTTTCGCCATTTTATATATGTGCACGAAGCACGAAATTTGCTTAGCCATTGCTAAGACTTTAAAGAACAATCTCGTATTTGAGATCTAAATTCCTCAGTTTCCTTTACCTCTCGGAGTAATGTAGACAAGAAAAATAAATCTAAATCATTATATAACTTAAAAAAACAATTAAATTCAAATTCGATTTAAAGTATCTTCGAAATACCTATCTGAAATATTGAAGAAAGAATTAACATTATTTTTGATTTTGCGTATTTATAATCCAACAGCTCCGACTGAATTACTTGTACCACATCGAATTCACGGTGACAACTGACAATTGATAAAAATTTCTTCCATAATTAATATTCTTTTTTCCAGCAAACTTATTGTTTGTAATATCTTTTCAGAAAAAAGTTAAAGAATTTGAGAAAAACTAAAAAGACCCCCAATACTCTTGTAACAAAATATCATATTGGTGCCATCTCTTTTACTTTATAAGCAGCACAGTGTGTGCAATAATATAGATTTCTTTCATTTGTAATAGTTCAAAAAGTTGTGTAGCAAGAACTTTCAATACTTATAATTAATTAATTAAATTATACGAGTCGCTATACAGAAGCATTAAAAAAACAATGTTTTATATATTGCAAAGTATCTAATTGAGAGAATTAGTTTTTATAGAAGCAATCTCTTCTCATTCAGTCTTTTGATGCCTTAAAAACTGCATTCCGTTGCGTTTACATTTTATATCATAATTAACATCTTGCGTGACCAATATTGACTAATAAATTTCTTAATAGCAAGATGTTAACAGTATAGTTAGCACTTTAAAAATAGTACTTTCTTTATAATTAAAGTTTCGATATATTAGTGTATATATATTTCGTTATTTTATACTGTGTTATATTTAAATGCCTCATCTAATTTGCTCATATAATAAGAATATGAATATTAATTATAAATTTATATATATATATAATTGTTCATCATTGCACATGAATTCTTTAATATTGTCATACATTTTGGAATTATGACAAAATATGTTGGAAAATTATTCTCTCAATAAAAGCATCTACAATATAATTTGAGAATTATTGTTACTAAAATTATTCTCGGTATCATTCTCTATGAAGTTCCAGAAAATGACGTAATGTAATAGGCAATTCTGCACTACAGATTCCGTATTTACAAACAGCCTGCGCGGCCTGACACTGAAGACTAGTATAATTAAGAAGATTCACGTTATTTAGCGGATTAGAGGATATTAATCGTACTGGTGTATCTCCCGCCCTATTTGGCGTATCTAAGTGCGCGCCATAATCCAACAGCAATTTTATCAGCTGTTTTAAACAAATTCTTAATGTGAGTCGTAATGCTCGATTGGTAAAACTCTAGAAAATATATAAAGAAAAGTATACTTACAGGATTGTGAAAATTGTATGCGTTACTCGCTATGTGTAAAGGCGTCGACCGTAATGTATTCCTAGCATCAATATATGCTCCACAATCCAGGAGCAATTTAACAACATCCAAACGAGGAAATATGGTCTGAAAATATACATCAAGATGTATTTTATGTATTTTATTTCACTATCTAATAATGTAGTCAATTTTTCAATAATATTTGCGAAACAGTAGTTTTTACTATTACAATTAAAAATTAAACTCTTCAGATATTAACTTTTAAAGATACAAATAGAACTGTACTTCTCAATTAAAAAATTAATATTTATTGAATTAAAGTTGCTTTTATACTTATTTATAAAGATAATTCGTATTGAAAAGAAAAAGATTTTCAAAAATATGATAAATCATAAAGTTTTCACTCTCTTGATACACATGAACTAAAAGTTCATACTTACATGTACATCATCAGCAGAAGTAAAGTAACTAGAGTTGATTGTATTTAAACTAGAGACACAAAGATGAAGCAATGTATCCTCTGTATAAACAGATCTTGGATTTTGTTTTACTAAACCATGGACTAGCTGGTGCATTAAAGCTTTCTCCTCGTCAGAATTCGCTGTTTCTACTAAGAGATAAATAAGATGCGTCACGCATTTTAGAATACGTTCATAACTGTCTCTCTGTCTTTTATGCACGGGACGTTTCTGTAATATGACATAATATAATTAATATAATCAACTCATAGGCCCAACAATTGCAATTATATATAATAATATAATTATAATTTAAAATATATATAATTTGTATAATATGCGCAAATCGTACGCACCTCCAATAATTCTTTAGCTTCTGTTAGCTGGCTAGAAAGTAATTTAAATATCGCTACTACATCGCAAAATCTCGGTTCATGTTTTTGTCGATTACGATGTACCACTTCCAATGTTTTTTCATTTAAATCCACCATAAGCCTTACAAGAGCTTGTGCAGTAAAGCATGTATCTGCATACAAAATCTATAGAAAAGACATCGATAGAATTAATTTTTCATACATAGTTGAAAAAATTAATACGCATATAACTGTATTAAACATTTAATATATTTTACATACCGAATCCTTTTCGATTCTAATTTCTAACACTCGATGCCACAAATCTATGCACTGTTGATATCTAAAAAAAGAAGATACACGATATTAAAATATATTGATGATTAAATACGTTTCTTCAGAAAGTGGATGAATATCTAAGTACCTAAAAGAATCTGCATACGATGCACCTCTAAACATCAGCCGAAAGAGAGTATCCTTGTGATGCGGGCCTAATATTCTTTCGCAGATCAGTAAACTCTGTATTCTTATTGCGTCTAAGTCGAGCGAAATGGCATTTAACTCTTCCATGGTTGAAAATTCCACGGCGTTTTTGTAAATCTCGCGTTTTAGTAACACGGGTCTTTTTGGCAAAGGCACTCCGTCCTTAGAGTTGACTATTCTGAGAGCCATCGCTGCCCTCCAATATTGTAACGCCGTATGTGTATCGCTGTGATCGTCAAAGAATGTGGATCCCATCAGCTCGTTTGCATCTGCCAATCTTTCCGCGGAATATGATACGTTCTCCACTAAATCATAAATCGTGATTTTTAATCGGTATAAGTTTATTATTCTTTTACTTATATATTTACTATTCTTTTTATCTATAAACATCATATCTATACACCCTATATATTATTATTATAATTATTATATTAATCTACTAATGTTTAATTTGTTTAAAAATATCCATATAAAAATCAAATTATATTTATTCAATTATACTATTGTTAATTATAATTAGGGGTTTACTTATTATTTTCCACTATTTTTCAAGATTCATAAATCTGTATCTTTATTAACTACGTTGCAATATTACATCAAATCATTCTTACCCAAATATTCGAATATCTGAATGGCCCCTTTAAGGCAGGCAGTCTGAAGAGCATCATCGTTATATCGAGACCTGAGATGAGGGTCCGCGTTATGTTCTAAGAAAAGTTTGGTGGTTAAAAATCTATGCTCCTGAATGGCGTAATGCAAGGCAGTCTTATTCTGAATATCCGTGGCATTCACATCTGCGCCGTGTTCCAAAAGAAAAGTGCACAACTCCACACTTTGTATGGAATTTATCAAGCATGTTCCACCGTTGTAGTTTGCTTTTAGTATATCGGCACCATTCTCCACTAAATACGAAACAATGTCTGAAAAATAAAAATATGATTTATATTTGTAGCGCACTCGAGATCTTTTCGCGACAGTTAAACCTGTGCGATTGTTAATTTACAGCACAAGAATGAACGTTTCGTTCGAAATACAGCTTAGTTAGCTTAGCACTCCCACTTTCAAAGTGATGAGTAAATATTTTCGACCTATCTACAAGGTGCTTCACAACTCATAACATTCATGTATTGTTTGTTGTGTACATTGAGTGTTTGATGTAAAAAATGAAAAAAAAAATAAGAAAAAGCTTCAAAGAGCGCAAACAAATCAAAATTTATAACTATTATAAGCATCACAAAAGAATAAATGATTGCACAATTAAATCTTGGCACATATAGATTTGACCTACATCTACATATGATTATATTTTTGTTTCAATTTAACAAGAATACACATTGATCTAATTCTAAAATATTCACTTATTTTTCTATCACAAATTATTACTGCATTATTTTTACTTAATATTTTTTTTTCTTTACACATCTTTGTTTTTATTACAACATATTATTATATAATATGTTACAACATATTATTATCTATTATTGTCTATATATTTTCTAATATGAGATAATCTGAATATTTATTAAAATACATGGTCTAGATCATATCATGTGGAAGTTCTTGAAAGAAATGTGACAATTGTTTCTTTGTTTGTCCCATCAATTATGTATAAATGCATAATTAACATGTAATTTGTTACCCATATGTGTCATGAAGCACGCAGATCTAACAGGAGTAGATCCAGAATCAGAGACTGCATTCACATCGGCTCCATGGGATATAAGGCATTTTATAACTTCCAAATTTCCAGATACCGCGGCACACCATAATGGTGTGACACAGTGAACCGATCTATCATCGGGTACTTCGTATCTTCCTCTTTGTTCGATGTCTGCGTCGCATTTCTTTATAAGATACTCGACAATGTCCACGTGTCCCCTCTTGCAGGCGATAAACAACGGAGCACAGCCATCTTTCATGTGAGACACAATTACCTTTCGAACTTCTCTTTTGTATTTCTCCAAACGATTTCTCAAGCCATAGGTCAACTGTGCTCCTGGTGCCACATATTTACATTCGTGTATAAGATCTAAGAATAATTGATCCATAGAAAAGTTCCAACGACGATTATTGCTAATCCACACTGCCCACTTTCCAAAACGATTCAGACGTTGCAGTGCTCCTTCCGATTCAACCTGAAAAGAGAATTTTATTTGTCTCTAAGAATATTGATTTAAAAAGACATTTATATAGAAAGATTTATATTAAAATATTTATATAGAAATTTCTATAGAATTTCTATATAGATTTATATAGAAATTTGCTAAAATACACTAAATATTAGATATCAGACATCTGTTTTAACTACTTTTTGAAATAATATAGATACATTTTTATGCACACAATATTATTATAATAAACATTATTGACTATATAAAAATTCAAGAACGAGTAAGGCGTATAATAGAAAAAAAATATACGAAATAGGAATAAATATTAATAAGCATCAGACTTATTGCACAATACAAAAGTACAGGCAATAGCAACAGGAAATAGAAAATATCCACCAATAGAAACAGATAGTAATATATATTATTCCCTACTTCTATTGTGATGGATATTTTCCATTCCCTGCTTCCTGATGCTTAATATTTATTCCTATTCCTAATATTTAAATCAATATACTGTGCCCAGAACCTAACAAAGTATCCTACGTACGTATGCAAATTAATTTGACATAGACCACGTATACACCAATCCTTTATTTCTTTCAAGGTAGCATTATTATTATTAGCGTGTATGTGTGTATATATATATATATATATATATATATATATATATATATATATATGTGTGTGTGTCATGTAGCAAATAAAGTATATAACCTTCAAAACTGCGTCAAGTCGGGATCATCACGAATGGAATCATTCGTGAATCTCGACTCGTCGCACAAAAAAAGTGGGAGCAAGATGCAACCCCTAAAACTCACCCGTGACATGAATAATCACTCGCGAGCACGAACAAGAGACATTTAACAGTCGTTGCAGTAACACATTATTGTAAATGACAATCGATAAACCACGTGATTAGGGCTGTGTTCGAATATTCTGCTAAAACAAAGTAGTTTTCGATCGATCAATCGGAAGCGAGAGGAGCGGAGGTCTCTTTGCTCCGATTGGTCGATCGAGCGCCCCTCAACCGCCCACACGTCATCGCGATGGATTTTCGAACGCATTCTAAGAAGCTCGCGCGCCTGCGCACTCGAGTCGAGAATCGAATTCGATCCGCGCCAAACTTCCCTCCGTTTCTTCCGATCGGGAAAATGAAAAGGATGCGTGACAGATGACAGGTGACAGACGTGCGCATTTGACAGGTCGACTAATAAATTGTATAATATTATATATAATATATATTATTATTATTATATTGTTATCTAGTAAAATCGATACACTTCTTTAACGCTTTTATCAGTGCTGGAAAATTTATCGTATTAATTTGTACTATATATATATATTATTGCATGGGTTAGGTCTTGTACGAAGTTATGTATATATGAGTCGTGTTGTTGAAAAACAGTATATTTTGTGCACCTGTCACGAAGCAAATAAGTTTATTTGTTCTTTATAGGCATGCACCGATTGTGCAGTATATCGATATAAGAATGCAGCTGGCAACTTTCTCCGAAAGTGAAATCTGTTCGACGAGAAAGTTAATAACGCATCGCAAATAATTCAAACGCGCCTGCAGAAAATGCATTCGCATGCTTTGGATATTTTTGTAATTCACATATATGGTTGATGAAGAATATATATATATATTACATTATATTATATTATTTTTCTCTTTTCTGAATCTTGGTTATCTAGACAGTAAAAATAAGAGATGTAAACAAGTAGAAAATAAATTTTAAGTCCAAAGTTCAAAAGAGAAAACTCTACCTCTGTTTACTAACGAGCAAAACTAGTCTAATGAATATTGTTAAAAGAATCAAGAAAAAGATACATGTACATTTTTGCGATGCATCTTGATCATATTGCTGTTTAAAAAAGGGTAAATATAACTTGACGCTTTCAATATTATAATTTAGATAATTTTTCCGCGAATTTGATGAAAATGATAAAAAAATCCTAATTTATATATATAATATATTCTTAATTACTTTATGTGAAGAATAGAACGAATTAATAATATAAAATATAATTATATATTATAATGTATAATTATATAAATAAATTATAATATATAAAATTATATTTATAATTTATAATATAAATTATATAATTAATTTTATATGAAAAATCAGTAATATTTAAATCGAAAAAATGTATCTATAAATATTTATAGACAAATTAATAGGCAAATATATATATATGCTTTAAATGTATGTACAGGGTACAAGTGGAGCAATGCATGTGCAAATGCAATAATATGGCGAATTTATGTATCCTATGTGACGCGAGCATATATGAAAGTCTCATCGTAAATGGGAAAAAGGAGCAGGACCAGTAAAAAGTAACCCATGGAGTCGTCAGTGGGCCATGGGACACAAACGCGGGTACGAAGGTACGTTCATTTCTCTGCAAGTCGCGTATGCGACAACATCCGGGTGTGTGTGAAAATATACTGCGTATTTGCGTCTTGCATTCGCCAATCTTAATTAATTAATTCGAGAATTCGCATAGCGACTTTCAATAAGAATCGAGTGAGTGTCCGAATTAGTAACATCAGTTTTTCTTTCTCTTCTCTTTTTTTTAATTTATTAAATTTTTTACAGTGGCCAAAGAGTCGTTCGTGTTCTCGATCGTGGAGGACGAGAATGGAGAAAAGTTAGACGAGATGTTTGGGGTGAAGCCGAGTTTCCTGAAAGTCGTACCCGGCTATACCCTACTGCCACCGAAGATCGTCTTTTACGCGCAAAAGATACGCGATTTTACGGTATACGAGGACGATATTTGGATGATCTCGTATCCTCGTACTGGTAATAATTCATAAAATTTTATAAAAATAGCATAACATTATAAATCTCAAAGTTGCTTCAGGAATTTAACACTTTAGACCTGTATATACAATAATATAATATATATTATATAAAATTCTAGAAAGAATATATGCAGCTGGAAAATCAGAATACAAATTTTATAGTTAATTCTGTATTGCAAAATTACCATATATATCTAATTTTTTAAAATATTGTTTTTAATAATTGTTTTTTTAAATATTGTTTTAATAAGATAAAATGATCTTCTAGGCAGTCATTGGGCGCAAGAAATGGCGTGGTGCATTGGACATGATTTCGATTACGAGAATGCTCGCACTCTCTTCATCGTGCGAAGTCCTTTACTCGAGTAAAAATTAATTATTTAATTTTTAATTATTATGCGATAGAATCATCTTAGTAGAGTCGCATAAAAAACCGTAATACTTATATCCTTTTCTTTCAAATTTCTTAATTTTTTTAGAGGTTCGGCTGTCATGGTCAACGGAAATTACGACGAATGGTTTACGAAGCTAGGTGATTCCATTGAAAATATAACAAAGATGCCAAGGCCGCGGTATATCAAATCTCATTTGCCATGGGCCTTATTGCCGACACAGCTTCGTGAGAAGAAGCCAAAGGTTGAGGATAAGATTTCACAAATGTAAAGACGTAAATTTCCTTATCTAAAATGTGATACTTTGCAGATAATGTATGTTGCGAGAAATCCAAAAGATACCTGTGTCAGCTTTTATCATTACTGCAGAATATTCCATGGTATGAAGGGAAGCTTCGACGACTTTGCGGAGTTGATGCTGCAAGATAGTAGTGCGTTGAGTATTTTATAATTATTTTATAAGAAACGCATATGTTTTTATTGCAAAAGAATCGTAAGTTGAATGTGTAATTAGTAACTTTTTTTAATTAGCGTTAAAAGCGTGGAATTTAAGAAATTATATTTGTTTAGCCCCGTTGAGCCCGTTTTGGAATCATATTTTACCCTTTTGGAAGATGAGAGATCAAGATAACATATTATTTATGACATACGAGGAAATGAAAAGGGTAAAACACAAAAGGCACATTTGCTTTTGCAATCGCGATATGGGTCTCTTACTAAAATGATTATATTTTTCAGGATCAGATAGCAGTGATTAAGAAGACAGCAGAATTTTTAAGCAAGAACGTGACGGATGAGCAGATTGTCGGGTTGTGCGAACATTTAAAATTTTCAAAAATGGCGACGAATCCATCGGTGAACTTGGAACTACTGCTGGGAAGCAAGAAGGAGGAAGAGGACGATCCGGATAACAAGTTTATCAGAAAAGGCAAAGTCGGCGACTGGACAAATTATATGTCGGAGGATCTCGCTCGACGATTCGACGAATGGACGGAGAAGAATTTATGCGGAACCGGCCTCAAATTTCATATAGATAATATTGCAACTGATGAAGAATAAGAAGTATACTTCAAATATATACAGTGAACACGATATATACAGAGGCCTTATTTTCAGGGGATATATGTAAAATTGTTATAATTTTGACATTTTTAGATTTAATTATACGATTATATAATTATATATAATTATAATATATATATAATTATATATTCTATATATATATATTTCATTTATCGTATTCACAAAAATACGTATAGCGTAAGTATCTTATTATAATTGATACGATAAGTCTTAATTAAAACGTTGTTGAATATTTTTTGTTATAATTATTGTATATTGCTATATATAATGTATTATTAATATCATTATAATTAATTTCTCTATACATACGGATGTATGTATGACATAAAAATTATAATTAAAGAAAACGCACACATAATATATAGAATATATATATATATATATATATATATAGGTAATATCTTTGTATATTAAAATTTCACAAGATAATATATTAAATATATTAAACACTAAAAAGTGATTATATATATTATAATATATTTAACGAAAATTGTACAAATTTATACTATAAAATTATAGGAGAATGACGGTGAAGCTATATATATATATATATAGATCGAAGTAATATACGCATCGATACTACATACTTCTAGAATATCTTGAGATTTTATTGTTATTAAAGACTATATTATTTGTATATGTGTGAACATATAGTATGAAAATTTTCCGCGCTTTCTAAAAAAACATGAATTTAAAAATGTTTTTGATTGTTCTCCCGCGATGGCCAGTCTAATGTCAAAAATGTGTATCTCGACGCGATGACAGGCAATCTTCGACAAAGATGGCGCTGATTTATGTTATGTCAGATTTTTAAAATTGATTCGAATTCTCGTCGAATCCTTTTTTTTCTTTTCGATAGTATGCTAACGCGAAAATCGAATTTCCCCGTTGTCTATTTTCGAGCTGCTTTTATCGCATGTCGTGTGTCGCGCGACTCCACAACGTAGGCGGAGACGTGCGCGGAAAGTCACGTGTAATATCGCGCGTAGGGTTCGGACTTAACCTAGCCTCGTCGTCGAAACCCCCGAATCAGCGATCACTCGTCAGCGTCGTGAGACTTTTCGGATTCCCCTCCGTGGAATGATAATCGCGAGTTTGGCGTAAGAATAAGCGAAAGAGTTCCATCTGTCAAAATCAGCTGTTTCTAATCGCCGTTTGAAGAGCTGACTGGTCGCACGAGATCCCGAGAAATATATATGCATATATATATGTAGGTAGTATTGTGACAGATCGGACAGAGTTTCGAGAATAAAGCATCTTCGCGAGGGATTTGGATTCGCCCTAAATCCCTCATTCCACATCGCGCTTCTGCATCTCCTGCAGCCTCCCGGGACACGTTCGAGTGAATGCGGTTAAATTTAACGCCTGGCTGAAATGCCGAAGATAAGGATCAAGCAAACGCCGAACAGTCTTTGGTTAAGGCAACGCGAGCTAGGTGTAAAATTCCCGCTCGGCCACAGTGACAATTTTCACAAGACCCTCTATTCCTCGATACAGCCCATCACTTCGTGGGATCACGGGGACAATTTGACCGCCGCAAGACACGGCGGTGTATTTAATTTGGAATATTCGCCAGACGGGTCAGTAATGTCATCTGTAAACTCTTATGTATCCTAATTAATTTTCTTGAGCTCCAAATGCGACGTTTGTTCAAACTTAAATTGTATTTATGTGCTTTGCTGATCTCCGATCAATGTTACAGGTCTCTCCTGCTAGCGGCATGTGAGAAGAAAAGTATTTTAATGTTTGACCCATTATGTAGGAAGTTGATACATGCGATAGACAATGCTCATAATGACTGCGTTAATTGCGTAAGGTTTGTAAGAGCCTCTTATTTAGATTCTTTGTGAGAGAAATCTTGTTTGATAAAGAAACAATGTATAACACGTGATGTTGTCAATGTGACTAGATTTCTGGATCAACGTATGTTTGCAACTTGCTCTGATGATAGTACAGTTGCTTTATGGGATGCCAGAAACTTAAAGCAAAGAATAAGGACTCTTCAGGGACACTCTAATTGGGTCAAAAATATAGAATATAGTCCAAATGATAGTCTATTATTGACCAGTGGGTTCGACGGTAGCATATATACTTGGGATATAAATAGGTAAACACACTGTTTAATTAATATCTATGCAGTTTTTTCCTCATTTACACTTATAAAATGATACAATGTGATAAAATAATATGATTGTAATTGTAATAATGTGTTTTTTGCAATGTATGTTTCACAGTTTTACAGAGAATAGCTTTGTCTTTACTCGTGTATTTCATACAAATGGGCTAATGCGATCAAGACTTACTCCGGATACTAGCAAAATGTTAATATGCACTACTTCAGGATATCTCATTATAATACACAATCTTAAACTCAGTACACTAAGTCAGGATTTGGCTGGATTCAAGGTAAGAGCCCTTATTACCCCTCCATCAAAATCATTTAATGATCTTATAAATCCAATGACCCTAAATTCTTATAATTTTATTCTTGCAGCCAAATATGTATAGATTAATGCAGTTATCGCAGACTACTATACCAGTTGCAGCTAGTTACACACACCTCTTTGCTCACGGCCGTCCCCACAATAGAGTCGAGTTCCTCACCGATTTTCCCGCGGGCGACGACGCTGAAGTAATATCTAGTTTACAAGTTCATCCTCAAGGATGGTGCGCCTTGTCTAGAAACGTCAGCATCGGAGAGAAATCTGAGGTTTGATTTCGGATTATTCAAACCATTCCATCTTGACTGAAGAAAACCCTATTTAACTCATTCTCTTTCACTCTACAGTGGACTTGCATTCACGATATACAGGAACGCGAACCATCCAGCATCGGGGAGCAAGTCAACGAGGGAGAAGAGGGCCGTTTGACGAGCTTGAACGTGGAAGAGTTCGAAGACTTTCCGCAGTCACAGCCGTCACGTTCGGGAATCACGTCTTCCTTCATGATAGAAAATACGAATCGCCCTCGAATAGTACACGATGTATCGTCGGACGTGAGATCGAACTCGTTCGAGCCACATATTCGCATGTCCACGGACGCCGCGCCATCGTCGGTCAGACCGTCGTCGAGGGCGACAGGTTGGCAGACTACAACGACCCACAGAAATCTACAACATCAATCGAGGAACCCTCGTCCGGATAGAAACGCGACGAGGTCGAACTTCGACATGCTCGAGGTCAGTACGAGCTCCGCCAGCGACGCGAGGGTGAACCCGACGAATCACCACGATGACAGATCGGAGGATCGGCACGACGTGGACGACAATAATGACAATTCGGCATCTGCCGACGAAGCGGATCGGGAGGGTACGCGAGAGTACAGATCGCCCAGACCGCACTCTCGGATAGATTTGCGGCGGCGTAACGCGATCGACAACTTTTCCACTGGAAACGTAGAGCTGCATGTGAGTACGGGCGACGTGTGGGAAGCGCTCGTGGCGATCAGGGAGGCGAGACTTCGTAGGGAACGCGAGAGGGAATTTTACCCGGGCGCCGAGAGGAGGGACTGGCTTTCCAGATCCAACAACGGCGTCAGCGTGAATATTCCTCGTTCGTCCCACACGGTCGTGATAATCGGCGATCGGGCTCGGGTGCAGAATCTGCAGAACCGGCAGACTCTACAAGCTATGTACGCGATCCCGAGGAACCACAAGATCCATCAGAACACACCCAGATTGACGCACTATATTGAGGAGCCGAACGTCGGTTCCGGGTATATCAAGGAACTTTGCTTCTCCGCGGATGGCAGATTGATATGTTCGCCCTTCGGTTACGGCGTACGATTACTGGCGTTCTCGAGCGACTGCGCCGAATTGTCTAATTGCGTCCCGCCCGCCAACGAGTCTGTGCAGCTTCATGAATTAGCGACACACACTGGTCATTCCGATATTGTGGTTAGCACGAAATTCTCACCCAAACACTATTTGTTTGTATCCGGCTGCCTCAGCGGGAAAATTGTCTGGCATCAGCCGGTGGTTTAGCTAAATTGATAATTAATCTTTATAGACATACTTTTTGTTATTTTTCATTCATCGCGGTCCCTTGGTAGATACTTGATATACTTTGCAGCTTTAGAAAAGATCGATCTGTGAGAAATTTTTTTGTTAATTATATATAATTATATATTTTATATATATATATGTAATTATAATTATATAATTATATATACAATTATATTATTTATATATATATGTATGTGTATATATATATATATAATATCCATATAATTTGACTTTTATGTACTTGTAATAGGTCGTTCCACATTTTCTACTATTGTAGTTGTATTTCGCACGTTGATCTAAAAAATCAAGTTTTACAAAATAATTATTTTATATTTAGAGAAAAAAAAGTAAAAAAGAAGAAAAGATGCTAAAAAAATTATATTTCTCAGTTCTCTCTCCACATATATAATGCATTTGTGGTTGCATGATTTATATAAATATATGGTATAATATATATTGGATAAACAATTATTTAATGCTTCAATGCTATCTAATAATTGTGGCTAATGGTACAATGACAATCGACAAAAAACAATGCGTTATCAGAATCTTACGTTAATAATGTAATTAATTTTTCGATTTTATTTTCTTACTAAGCAAGCCTTTCTTATGATCTTTTTTTTGTTTGAACAATCGAATAAGAAGTAAAATTGCTTATTTTCAGTTATCAAGATTATCTTTTCATTAGATCTAGCAGTTTTCAACTTTATGTATCAGTTGATTGTATCTTTTTACGTGAAATTTTTCTGGAAAATATATAATAGTTAATTTTTTTCTGATTGCTATTACGCTTAAACTTAAAAGCAATTTATAACGATTGTGTTTACTTCTCGTACAAAATGTGTGGGAATATATTTTCTCTAGTCGTTATTAGAAGTGAATTGAGAAGGGCAAATTTATTCGACTTGCAAAGTTTCAAGTATAATTTTGTTTGAAAAGCGAATGTCTATTACGATTTATAAATATAAAATGTAAAATATTGGAATCGAACTAATTTGTCTTTATTGCGCATTTGACGCTCTAAGCATCAAATATATTATATTGATGTAAATTTATAAGTTATGATTTAAACAATTAGGTTTATGTATATATAGTGACATATTATATAGTATAAAGAATGTTTATATCAGAAGACACGAGTCTATTATTTAACAGAGACAATTTGATCAAGAAAAACTATTCTCTCTGATTTAATTACTTCATTTTATTTGATTTACTTAGAATCCTCACAAATACACTTTATATAAAAAAATACTTTATATAAAAAAAATACTTTATATAAAAAAAATACTTATGTAAAAAAATGTATCTTTTACTTTCATTGATGAAGTACAAAGATTGTTATTTTTCTAGTACGTTTAATTTCTTTGAAATTGTATATGTATGCCTGATTAGGAATCGTACTTTTATTTATTAATCAAATATATAGTATATCAATAGAGACAAGCAAAATAAAATGTTCGATCAAATATTGACATTTTATCAAAGATCGCAAAATTTTAATGAAATGAGAAAATTGATTCCACGATTTTTGTTAAAATGTTTATCGTAATATTTATATTTATAGCGCGCGCTTATATTTTTTTACGCTCCATTGTACGTGTATATTATGTTGTGAGATTAATAGAAAGCAAACGAGACTGATTGCTTTGATTGTATTGTATGAACTGTCTATACTTTCAATGAATGTATAAAAAATTTTCTAATTATTATTTTTATTTGCAGAAATCTGAATTAAAATCTCATGAGAGATTATCAAAATTGTCGTATATCTAATAAATTTATCACTAATAATAGTAGAAAATGCGGAACATCCTCTTCTTTGCATGTATATATATATGCATATCTGTTAACTTTCTTTCGAAAACACGCGCATTGACAGATCATAAAAATTGACAACTATATTGTACATGTTATATTACGATAATAGTATAATGTTGATAAAAATGTTTTCATTGAAAGAATCTGTGAAAACAATTTGGAAATCAATTTCGAAAATTTAAATTGCAACTCTTTACAAGAATTATATAATTAAGAAAATATATTTTTCCGATCAATACTGTATATTGAACACCTTTAGAATGTTAAAATTTAAATTTTTTAGAAAGGCAAATTGCAATATACAGTCATGTAATATTGCGATAGATGATATTTTAATATCTTATGGTACTTTTATAAGTGAAAATTTGAAAGGCGTTAAAATTTATAACGCTTATTATTAATCAAGAGAACATGTTTGTTTGCTTTTTTTAAAGATATCTTTAAAATCATAACTAACAGTTTGTTAAGAAGAGAATTCTCATTGAGCATATTTACGATATATACGGAATAAAATTTAAAATTAATTGAGCGAAACATACACATGTACGCAATAGTGCATTATATAATAACATGCAATACTAATTGTAAATGTATAGAAAAACTCTGTCATTTATAGATATAAATTTTATCATCGAGAACGCATGTGTGACTGGGTGTAAAGTTTGTATATTATTGCTTAAAATTGTAAGAAAATAATTAACCGAGTGTTCATATTATATTTGTATAACTTATATAATATTATAGGGATATATAAATATATATCCTATAATATATATATATATATATGTAAATATGCGCGCGGTTACATATATTAAGAATAATCCGCGTTTAAAGTGTTCTATTTAGCTGTTCGATATGTATTCTCTATCCACATATACATACTTTGAAATTTTTTTAAAATTATTAATACAGACACAATACCAGATTATAACGTCAGCAGTGAGAAATTGTGTCTTTCTCTTGTGATATATGTTGAAAAAAGTTCTTTTTACGTTTTATTCTTCCGTTTAATATTATATAAGTATAAAATTCATGAACAAATTCTCTTTCTGTGTATAAATTTAATCTAAAAATATTCTCTGCATTTTATTCTGCTTTGAAATAATTAACTTTATTTTTAATAATTATTAACTTAATGTTATTATTATAATTAATAGGTTTAATTATTAATTATAATTAATTTATAATTATAATTATTAATAATGTTAATTTAAAAATCTGCAGCGCGGACGTGGATATGCCTGTGTGTGTGTGCTTTTACGCTTATATTTTTGCAGAAATTAATCAGATTTTGGTACATATATGTAAAACTATCTATCATTTCCTTTCGTAGGTATGTACTTAAATTCGTGTACGGAATTTCGTAAGAATGTAAAAACGTATGTGCAATAGACAAGGGCATGACGAGACAGTAATTGAAGATTGTGTGTGTATTATTTCTTTTTCTCGATAATTTTTGGTGACAAAATGGCTCAATCTTGGTTTTCGTACATTGTAATTTTAACGTTTTGTGTATCGATTATTTTGTATAACATTTGTTTTCTATTCTTATGGAATAAAATATATCATCGTAATTATGTATATCGCATGAGTTTCTCCTTTTATATCTAATGTCGATTGCAGATTCTATTAAAGCATAACTTAATTAAAGTAATTTTACTGAAATCGCGCGCGGAAGAATGTGTATATTTTTCTTCGATTATTGTTCTTAAAAACTAGGAGCTAATATACGCACAACAATTTGGTGACCTGTGTCAAGATTACCTTTATTAACAAAATTGCTTCAACTTATTTACAGATAAAAAAATTCCAGCAAAACTCAACAAATACCTGTTGCTGCAAACGCCTCCGGCGCTTGGTTCTAAGTTGACATCTTCAAACGTCTCGATCGGATTTTCACACTGTGTGTTTCCAGACATGACAATTCCGTTGTCTAATATAGGAAAACAAATTCGCGCCTCGATCGAAGAACAAAAGGACATATACTTAATCCTTTTTTCCAGATATAATAATATAATATCTAAAAAAGCGTCGTAAAAATGTCTACATAAGCCATACAAAAAAAAAGAAGCCGTCGATTGTACTTTTACATTGTTCACAGTAGCTAGTGGCTACCCAGGTAGCAAGCAAACGCCATTTTGATGTCAAGTAACGTCTAATAATCGCAGGTAGCAAACTAATGTCATTAAATGTCAAAATAATGTACGCTTGCTACTTGGGATGTCAAAGTGACGTCTAATGACGTCAAAATGACGCCTAATGACGTCAGTTTGCTACTTGAATGCGCGAAGGATGTCGAATGACGTCATTAGATGTCAAAGTGACTTCTAATGATCCCAGGTAGCAAGCTAACGTCATTAAACGTCAAAATAACGCACGCTTGCTACTTGGGATGTCAAGTGACGTCTAATGACGTCAGTTTGCTACTTGGGTATGCGAAGAGAATGCGATCGAGAGAGCGATACCAGAAGAGCGAGACGCAAGAGCTCGACAGGCGGATTGTACTACTTGTATAGGAAACCAGTGGGTTTTCTCATAATGTTAGTAAAGGCCTTCCCCAGGGTTAACGCAAGTTGGAGTATATCGTCTATTATTTCTGAACGCGAGTCCTATATTCTCACGCGCGAAAGACGCACTCGGACGATCCTGCGAGGATCCTACTGATGATATGCATATATCTTAATCGGAGAACACGAGGACGCCTTCAACGAGTTCAGATCGCGCAATACGCCACGATCGTCATCAGTACGATAGATCCGAGATTACTGAAAAGCGTCGCTCCTCCGCTGGCTGCCTCGACCTGTTCGCGTTCCCGGCGACCCTGATTGTCGCTGTACGAGTCGTCTCGTTGAAAGTCCGCGCTGGACATCGTTCGACTTCCCTCCGGCGTGGATCTCTTCGTTCTCTCCACCAGAGTCAGCCTTGTCTTGGGCAGGAGCTCGGGGCGAAGCGGCAGATCCGCGTCCGGTAAACGATACTTCTTCTCGTACGACGAGCCGTTGATGCGCATCTCGCCGGGAATCAGCGGAGGAAGCTCGCCTTGAAACTTACCAAACTGTGGCGTTCTGCTGAGCAAGTCCGAGGTCAGTCTGCCCTTGCCGTCGCGATGCTCGATGTTGGAGATAGACCTGGCCAGGCCGGTGGAATCCTTGAGTTTCTTACCGTCATAAGTGATCAGCACGCCGGAGGAGGAAGGCGATGGTAGCTGCTCGGGTCGCGTCCTCGCGAACGGCGGAAGGTAGTAAGTATCCAGTCTGAGATCGGCTGCCATCTCCATGTCGTCGAGGTCGTCGAACCTTGTTGAGTAACGCGCCGGAGATGTCTTCTTCTTTCGCTTCCTGCCATCGAAGGTGGATGTCGTCGCAACGGGATACGATGGCATAAAGACAGGTGAGAACTTGTCGATTGTCCGATAATCTGGACGCTTCCCGTAGACTTGCTCGTCGTCTTCGTGCCACGTACTTTTATTTGCGTCCGTCTTCTTCTGTGCGACATCAGGCGCGGTGTCTACGACGTTTCTGATAATTGGCTTGAAGCCACCCTCGATGACGATGGAGTCAGGATCAAAGCCGGTGTTGCGTGCGGGTTTCAGAAGCTTCCACGAGGGTGGATCCATAAGATTGTTGGAGATTTCTGCGGTGATGTCCGATGAGCCTATCTTCGCCTCGAGCTTCGCGCGTTGCTTCGTATCGATTTTTTTTGTGGGTTTCTCGACCAGCTGATTAGCCTCTTTGTCGATCGCCGTTTTCGACGACATCGTCGTCGTCGTCGTCGTCGTCGTTGTTGTCGAGATAGCAGGCGGTCGATAAACAGACTTTTTGCGCTCGATGAAGATCGACCGCGGTGGCGACGACAAAGATAAGGATGGCAGTGATGGCAGTGATGGCAGTGATAATGACAACGGGAACGGCAATGACAGGGCGTTCGTTGTGGGTATCATATTAGCTGTTTGTAAAGTCTGCAACATCGGACGGCGCGTTAGTGTCACCGGACTCACCGGTCGGCGTATGATCATCAGTTGGGTCCTCGGAGGTTCGTGTTGATGATGATAACGAGGAAGAGGCGGAGAAAGCTGATGGCGAACGTAGTGATGATTATTGTTCGCGTAATAATGCGGTGCTCGGGAGTATTGTAACTGGCCGTGGTTGTTGCTGGCCACCCCTACGTAAGACAACTTTGTCCCGTGATTCAATGAAGTTGGTCGTTGGTGATCTGCAACGAGGTTAGACAATTGCTGGTTAGTGGAAGTCTGCTGCTGAATCTGCTCCCGTCCAAGCTCCGTGAGATGACCGGCACGAAGGGACGACGACTTCTCGTTAGTTTTCGTGACCGGCCGATGTTGCTCTCGCTGCGAAGCTTCCTCGTCGCGATACGCGTCCTTCAGACGTGCTTCGGACGGTGATGATGATGATGATGATGATGATGATTGTAAGCGATCGTAATTGTTATTGGCATTCGTTAGTAGCTGCGGGTAATGTGAGGCACTTAACTTGCTGTTAGTCGTCGTATGATGGGGATAACGATGACCGTAATCGCGGTGAGAATGATGAACATGCTGTTGATGAAGAAACTCCTCTGGTGGTGTTACCTTGCTTGCTACGGCTATGCTAGCGCCGTATTCTAGATCCTGATCCGCCGGCTCATCCTGACGACCCTTGGCCGGCTCCACGTACACCTCGTGCTTCTCACTGGCTGACGACGATGGCTCGTTGGTGACGTCGCAGCTGTCAAGAACATTGATTTTCCAACCTAAGTAACGATGCGTGAAACACTGAAAAAAAATAATTTCATAAAGTTAGAAATTCATCCAGAGATATTTTATCATATTTTATGTGCGTAACTATATTACCTGATAATACACCGTGTCGGGTGTATTTTCGTCAGGCGTCCATTCCACGATACCCGGCTCACCATGGTCGCATTCAAGGGTCAGAGTGCGCTGATAAGCTCCAAAAGACACAAAGTCATCCGCCTCTGGTTGATTCTGGTCGTGCACCCAATTGCAGAGACGACCTGTGCCGGTGGGGATGACCTTACCACGTTGTCGTCGCACACCGGCAAATATCTTTACTTTCTGTCAAAGTCGAACGAGAAGAGAAGTCGTTACAAATTAATAACTCTGTTTAATCCAAAAATCTTTTTAAATTACGTGTACTTTCATACATCTTTTCTATCTCAAAGATGTTTAGACAAGCTTTTAGATTCTTCACTTAACGGAGAAATTAAAATAAGAAATCATATGGCAAGTTAATTTTTTTTTAGAGAATTTTGTATGCAAGAGGGATCCTTCTTTACCGCTTTCTCCTCGGCCGTTTTGTGCTGGTAACCGCCTATCGGATCATCCGTGATGTAGAACGGGTGATAACGCGCCGGTACCTCCGAATCTGAGCCACCTTCCACGACGAAAGTGTATCTCTTGCCACGAATCACATTAATCTCGGGTATCAACAATCCATTGATGTACCAACAGATTCCCCAACCGACGTGACCTAGAGAGAAAGTGAAGCAAGGACTGGTTTGGACTACAAATACAGATACAGCTTTCTCGCAATACTTTCTCACGGAGCACCTAACGGCTCTAGAGTAAGTTGTACGAATTTTGATCAACTCTGTGAAAGCCTAACTACACCCATTTGAAGAGCTAATCAAAATATCATATAACAAAGAAGGAAAACATGAGATTTTCTAATGCTATAACATTCGCAAGTATAATTCTTTACCAGTAATAGCTGGATAGCCGTGTTTTCCTCCAGTGGGTCCCAACTGCGCATAAAAGACACCATCATCTGGCTCGTGACATTGAATAGGCGGTATCTCCCAAGCGTCATTCGTAGGCGCCGGTGCAGGAGTCGCCGGCAAACGTGGCGGTCTGTGGCTAGCGCTGACAACCTGCTGCTATTTGAAAATATCTTTTTGCAAAGAAAGTATATATGCAACACCCTCTCTAATTATATCGTTTCGATTGCAACAACTTACAAGAGCGTGAGTGTCGCTTTCTGTTTCGCCGTAAGTCGAGGTCTGTTCCTGATCAGGCATAGGACAGTTCCAGACAGGGGGTCTGCTGAACTCGATGAATCGATCGGTCTTCAGGTAGCGGCTGTGAAAACTGACCTCCTGTCGCTCGTTCAATGGTCCGATGGCCCAGATGACGGCCTGGGATCTATTCGTCAATATCGGACGGTCCAATTCATCGCTGGCCTTCAACGGTCTCTGATACGTAACGATGCTGTAGCCATTCACCATCGCCGCGTTCAATAATCGCACCGACTCCGTGTTTTCCTTCGAATGAAAAAAACCAGTTGTTATTTTGCTGCACGACAAAGGGTGCTGTTCCTGTTGACACAAGTAACATTCCATCTCTTTCATTATTCCTGAATGTTAGAAAAGAGAGAATAATGCTTGTGTCGATTTGTGTCAATTTATGTCACTAATAGAAAAGCGCCTAATAACAACTTGAAAACTTTTGAAGCGCAGATCTGTTTGCATGTACCAGGATTCGCGCATCCGGACAACTGCCTCGGCGTCCCGAGCACTGGGATTTGGCGTCCAGGAAGTAATCGACGGCGTATCCTTGCAAGGTCCGCTTGTCGACCCACGCTACGGCGACGTCTCCGCCGATCATCGTGCTCTTTTCCGGATCCGCGGATAATCCGAAGGCCATATATTGTTCGGCATCTATTGGTAATTCAATTTTTATAATTATACATATTTACATATTTCAACTCTACCATATATATATTTTTCAAAAGAAATGTTTTTATTTGCAGAGCGACGACTCGCTTATTAATATATGGAGATTTATATATACCTAATTTCGCTACGAGCTGGACAACTATGCTGTCCCCGGCTACGGCCCATCGCACTTCGAAAGCCAAGCCGTCGTCGAGAACTTCGCAGTTAAGTTTTGACTGAAATCATATAATTATAAATGATCGAAAACTGCAGTTACGACATTTCATGTTGAAAGATGATTTGATTGCTCATATTAAAATATAAAGTTTGAATTGTATGTAAAAAATACGTTTATTTGACGTATAATGTACATGTAGAAAATGAGTACAAAAATATCAAAAATATATAGTACACACATGCGCGCGCGAACGAATATGTGTGCATATGTATATATATATATATATATATATATATATATATATACATACATATATATTATGTGTGTACATGTTAGATATCACTCACAATAGGTATATACATATATAAAATATATACGTATATAAAAAAAAATTATAAGATTTCTCCCACACACGGATAGTGCGAGTGAAATTTTATATATAAAAAGATTAATCAAAGCAAGACTATTTAAGAAATTCCACATTTTCCACGATTATAAAATATAAGCCTACAATATATAATGCATATACGAATAGCAGAGCCTATACGATTAAAAAGAAAAGATAAATAGTTTGTATCTTTTTTCTTCCCAATTAAAATAAAATCTCTTCCTTCTTCATATATGTAATTATATCATTAATAAAATAGATTTTTATATAAAGAATTAAAAGGCTCTGGATATATATATATTAAAACATGTGTATTAATGGGCTAATTAAGAGTCTAACGTAGTAATTAAGAACTCAGCGTAATAATTAATACGCAAATTATTCTTTCTTTTTAAAAATTAAAATTTATTATTGCTTTAATATTTTAATTTAATAATTAATTATATACTGAGGATGGTCCAAAAATAGGACCGAAACGGTCGCTTTAAATAAACAGTTATTTTTACAAAAAAAGAATAATTTGCGTCATAATTACCATGTTAGGCTTTTAATTAACCCATTATTAGTCACTCATATAATTTTATGCGTTTCAGATAATAAAGAAACATCATTGCAAAAGGACAAAAATGTTGGAAAATTGGAAATTTCCTAAATAAGAAGTAAGTAATCTCTTAATAGATTAGGTGCGATAAAAGTGAGTAGGGTATCTTTGCGCGTTCACGAAAATAACACTGAGATACAAGAGATATCCGCGTTTCGGTCGCATTCGCACGGTCAATCATATTCAGTAACGCACGAAGGAGTCGATTCTCCTATCCCCTTGGAAGTGCAAGAGCCTCGCGTACGAATTCTGTTGCGGGTCGGTCAATCGAGGGCGCGAACGCGCGGTCGCGGGTTGCCGGAAGATCGAGGAGGAGGTCGAGGACGGCGACGTTTCGTCGCTCGCGCGATAATAATGGCTCCGATAGCGCGCGTCCTCAGCCGAGGGGGTCTGCGCCTGGGAGCGAAGCTGCTCGAGTGCGTGCGCGTCCTCGACGGCCCGGACTACTTGAATCTGATCGTCTCGACGGAGGAGCGGCCGATAGGTTGTCGGACGTTGCTGTTGTTGCTGCGAGAGCGAGCCCGCGAACGAGACAGCGAAAGGAGTGGGCGACGAGGAAGCGAAAGGGAAGATCTCGTATGCGCTTGTTAGCGCCCCGAACTGTCCCTGCCCTCCGCGATGCACGTTCTGCAACACAAGGACAGAGACAGGGTATTTATTTCCATGAACCAACAAGGAGAGGAAGTGAAATTTGTCGTTTGAAATCGAATTTCTTTGCCATTAAGGCTCCTGTCGCCTCGCCGACTAAGTTGGAATTGTGACGTTAGAGATGAGAAAACACTCGTTAAAAATTCTAAGATGTCATTTCGAAATAAAAAGATATTTCGATGAAATGACACTTAAAATATTGTTTCATCGAAATATCTTTTCATTTAAAAATGGCATCTAAGAATTTTCAATGTGTGCTTTCTCTGACGTCACAAGCTAACATACCCGTGGCGAGGATCCAGGAGGCTTAAATTAATTTATTTATTATTTTGTGAGATTGAAGAATGATATCGCCCCTTGAGATTCGGAGTAAACGAACGAAAAATCTCTTTGCGAAACTTCGGAAGAGCAGAAGACGATCTCACGTTCTCGCAGTCGAAGCAGTCAAAGTCAAGTGGTCGGGGGTAAGAGAAGAGGAACGCGAAATAATAATCGCACGTAATGTACTATAGTGCACACTACAACAGATACGTGCTAACACATTTCTTCATCGCTCCCTTCATCGCACTTGAATCAAAACGTGTCTGACATACCTGTGGCGAAACTCCTAGCATTTTCAGGGACGGCGGTACGTTCAGACTCTGCGGAATTTTCACGTGGCCAAAGTCAACGGCGAATGCCTCGCACCATACTCCGAAATGACCGAACTGATGAACGGTCAGTTCGCCTGGTAACGTCAGGACGATCGTCTTGCGATCGTAACGACGCAACGGCTCCACTTTGCCGTTTTCATCGGGTATTCGGATACCTTGCGATGACGGCGTCGAACCGGTGCCTACCCAAAACTTGGCATCTGCAAAATAATTTTGTTTATTATGTGTGTCAATCTTGTGCGCAACATAAATAATTTATTCATTATAAATAATAAGTATTTTAATTTAATTTTATAACATTATAAAGTTGATAAAGTTATAAATAATGAATTAATTTATTTATAATTATTTTTGAGAAATTAAAAGGATAAGTCATCTCTCATCCATCATTGTAATTAATGATTTAATAAATTATGCAAAACACTGTCTGCCACATAAAATTAAAGAACTCAACTTTTCTCTTGAAAGGGTATTTCTCGATTATGTAAGATGTTAATGTCTTGCAAATGTTTTAAGTTAATTAGTAGTTATTTATTATTAATGTTTGAAATTTAAAACTATTAATGATGATTAAAAATAACTTGCCAGGTGCTTCTCCGTCGTAACTGAAGTTGGGTATCAGAAGAGTCTGAGCATCTACAATGACAACCGGTTCGGAATTGACACCGTGTATGCCACTCAATGACTTTAGTTTCTGCGGTTTCGGAAAATCGAAGCCTCGTGGTATTTTGACGTCACCGAAATTCACCTAAACAGAAAAATAATTTTTTGCAAAAAAAAATTTATCATGTAAAGCAGGATATTCATTATATAATATATATAAATAAAATTAAAACATTCATTCTTTGTTTATCTGTAAGCTTATCAATCTTCAATCATGATCTATTTTTTAATTTATAATATATAATTTAGTTTTAATTTAATATATAATTAAATTAATCAACCAACATAACTCGAAAGGAATAAAATACAATAGCGAGTGACAATAAAAATTTGAAATGCCGAGCTTTTTATTATTTTTTTAATGAAGAGTTTAATAATTATTTATCGGAAAACTCTAAAGTCTAATCCCGGATATATCCTGGCAAAGCCTAGAATTATCAGACGATGCTTGATATATCGGATTGTATATTCCATTCACTTAACGCGCGACGGATCCAAGCGACTGTACGAGTGTGAAAGTTGCACTTCGAGAAAATGATGACCGGTTCCCAGCAACGAGCAAGTACACACAGCTGATATTGCGCGGACCAAGGTCACGAGCATGCGTATCCGTTACTTACCGAGAATTCGTCGCACCAAACCGAAAACCACTTGATATTGTTCAAGGTCTTGCCGTCCGGTAAGGTCAATGTGATGTCCTTCTTGCGGTATCGTTTAAGGACGTTTGTACTGTCGAATAAAATCGAAAGGAAGGTGAACGACTTTGAAGTTAACAAAAAATATGGCTATTATTACTTTATATGTGACAATTAATTACGTTCATCAGCAAGTCATATTTAATTAATATAGCAATATTTTGTTCTAAATGTATTATTTTATTTATATCGGTTTTACTTACGTTCCGCGTTCGTCACGCACCCGGAAGCCACCGTTACCTGGTCCCTTGCTGTTTCCGGCGTAAAAAAACGCGGCTGGAAAGAGAACGATAAACATTTATCGCAACAAGATCCTTAAGGAAAGTTCCCACTGTTAATGATGACGAACAAGGTGGTGCGAGCGAATAGATAAGAAACACGTTACACGGTTTCAGATTGTGAAGCTCTAATAAGCATCTAGATATCTTTATTAATCTAGAGCAGGCATCTCTCAGCTTGTTTGCGCATCAGGAGTACGCGTGCCAGAGAGATTTGGGAAAGTTTTTCCGGCACAGAAAAACTGATCGCGGTCAGTTTATATCAGGTCGAGGGAAAGTTTTCCCCAACAATTTTTCCATCGTCTTTTCAAAAATTAACGAGCAGAGGAAAATCAGTATTATGGTTTACTATAAAATTAATGTTCGAATATGCGTAATCATGTGTGTAACATAATTTTATTAAAATATAAATCAAAATGCGTTATGCAAATTTTCATCACAATTACGCAATAGTGGAATACGACAATTAACGTAATTTCATTTGATAAATAATTAAATACCGATAAAAATAACAATCAAGTTAGCCCTCTTTCCTTCAAAATACGCAAATATTCTTAATGTCGTATTAAAAAAAAATTAGTATGTCTCTTGTCGATACTTGAATTCACGCGATGTACCAACCTGGACCTTCGCCATCGTAAGTGAAGTCCTTGACGAATAGTGTCCTTGCGTCAACCGCGTAAACCTCGCCGCTCACGCCGTGATGAAGTTCAGACAGCTTACCGATCAGTTTCCCATAATACGCTCCGCTGCATATTTCTGTGAAAAAGCGAAATTTATATTAATCGATTTTATTATCAGTAGTATTCAATAATCAAATCAGTAATATTCAATTGGCGTAATTAAATATTAGTTGAATAAGTAAGATATTCCGCGTAAAATGGAAAGTGCAACTCGGTACGCTCTATAATAATTTCCAACATCGCGACAAATTTTTTATCGTGTTGTTTTTTACGTTCTACGAGGATCCGGATTAACGACAACATTAATAAATCACAGAGAATTAGCGTAATTATAGTGGAATTAGCAACAAGTGTAATACAATGTTGTGAGATTGAATAATCGATTAATCAATTATCGAGTTACATACGATATTACACGCATTTGAATAATTGCTAGAAAAAAGAAACTGCACATTTCGCGTTGGACTGTATATGAAATTTAAAAGTACAAAATATTGCAATACATTTTTTATACACATTTACATATGCATGTATTATAAGAAATAAAATTCATACATTTTTTCTTTGATCAAGTATACTTTGATCAATATATCCTTCCACATAAAATATTATTTTTATAAAATACCTATTTGTATAAAAATGCATAAAATTATAGTCAGTCAAAATAAGTAAAAAATATGTATATAAATATATTTTTGTTTTATTTTGACTGACTATAATATATTTATATATGTTTTACACATTTTGATTAACTAAGAGATTAATAAATATTGCAGAAAAAATATAAAATATTGAAACTTGTAATTACATCGAACATAGTTAAAAATAAAATATGCTTCCTTCGGGACATCAAATTGTCGGCAAATAATGATAGTGCAAATTTCAGTCTACGTCTGTTTTTTTTTGCATTTAATTGACGTCTAATTTGTAGAATATAAAAAAATATTCCTCTTATGGACATTATGACAATGACAATACCGTGTACCTCCGCATACCATTGCAGTCGCGTTTATCATCCTACGGACGATCGCAGCTTTATATGCACAGGACGATTGCGGAAAAACCGGTACTATATGTAATAATGCGCGAGTTTATATTGTGAGTTTGTTAGAATAATATATTCCATTCTCTCTCTCTCTCTCTCTCTCTCTCTCTTATTGCTCTCGAGGATGCTGTTGATGGATATGTGTTCCCAAATATGGTAGCCGGATAACGGTAACCGATATACCTCGTCTACGAGAGAATAAATTGGCTGACGATTGATCGAGCACTCGTTACGATTGGTACATCCTCGTGCTCGTACGCAAAACTAGGTTCCGCGGATCCTGCATCCCGGCTCTCACCAAGTGAATCGTTTGTGGTCGCGTCCGATCACGATACGTTGACAGTTCATCTGGAACGGTTGCGATCAGATCGACGTTTCTCAAATTTTTTTGGGATCTTGAATAGAATCTTAAGCAGGACATTTTTTACATGGAACCTCTAGGGAAAGATATCTCGAGAGTAAACGACTAAATGAAATAGCAACAGAGTGCGTTAACAGAGTCAATATTAAAAATTCTACATATCTAATATAAAAGAATAAATATTAAAACACAGAATAGGAAGAAATAGAAAGAGAAAAAGAAGGAGAGACATTGCTTCATGAAGGAACTAATAATGTCGATTCTCGAAACGGCGTATGTTTGTATACTTGTATCACGTGTACTAGATAAGTAATGCCTTGAAACGACGAAGGCCGCACACGTTTCCATTGATAGATCGCGGGACTCGGATACATCGGTTATGTTACCATAGCTCATTAAATCGGGAAACCCTTTGCTCGTCCCGGGTATACCGTTAGAATTCCGTAGAAGGACGGCTGTCATCCATCCATCCAGAAATGTCGACGCACGAACGAAGATTGGCGATTCTACATGCATTAATCAAGGTCGTGCGGTTGCGTTTCCGCAATTCGATTCAACGAACGAGGATTGCAAAATGTTCACGAATGCATTCGAGATGTTAGAATTGATGGACAAGTTGCGGAACGAAACTGCTCGAGGATGATTTAACTCGCAATTTTTTTAGAAACTCTTAGAATGAATTTTGAAATTTAATTCAAAAATTCTAATAGAGAGAGAGAGAGAGAGAGAGAGAGAGAGAATGATGTGTTAATTTTCAGAGTTAAATAATTGATCTGAAATACCAAGTCGATTAAATACTCGACTTTTTACCGGCGTGATTACTGATTTATGTATAAATGTGGGAGCAAAAACGCTTCCGTATGCAAATCATAGGTTCTCCGAATTTCTCGATTATGTATGATGGTATTATAACGATATTCTTCAGCTATTTACAAGATAGTAGAATTAAAATGCTCTTAGTTTCACATTTTATGTAAGCATAACATTATCTACCTAATGAGATAACTAAATTAATAATCCTCGAAGAAAATGATAAATTGACTAAAATTATAACTTCTATCCTAGAGAAAAACAATCAAATGTCACGAATGAAATCAATTAACAAGATTCTTATAAATGAGAAAAAAAGAAACGACGAATATTTAAATATGCATCAAAGTTACTATAAATATACAAAGTACCGCAATCCATTTTCTCATTAGAGCCAAAATAACGCTCGATAATGTAAAGAATATACACACTCTAAGTTATTTATGCAATTTTTTGTGATTTACGAGTTTTGTGATTTACTTTCTTCATTAACACACAATTATATTATAAAACAAGTATAATAACAAATTAATAAATATTTATTTCAATACTGCCTATAATAAATCATTTATTTGAAACAAATAAATATTTATACGTTTTGAAAAAAATTTTCTTATAAATATTTTTCACATCAAATCAATATAATTATTTAGTTTCAAATAAATGATTTATTTGGCAGTATTGAAATAAATACTTATTCAAATTCTATACATTTTTTTCAGTGTTACAGTACTTTGTAAATTTAAGTAACTTTAATATGCATAATTTGCGCGATGAGGAAAGAATTAATTACGGTCGCAAATTTAAGAATAATCTATTGCTCCCAACAGTGTGACTCGAATAAGGTGTCGCCTCGTCTCGAAATACGGAGATTATTTCGCGAATATTTTGGACCAGCGGCAAAATGCTATTGGCATGACACGATTGCGACATCGCGGACTCGGAACTCGTATCATATACACGGATGGCCAATTACGGTTATCCGCCTCCCGCTTTCACCTCCTGGAAGCCTGGAAATGTCAGGGGGTCCGCCGACGCGGTGCGGTGTTATCGCCCTTTCGTTTTCGTTGCCGACCTCGCATACAGAAAGATTCGCATCCTCTTTCCGAGTTTCGGAATTTCACATTTTATATGCGCGGAGATTCCTTCTCGATTTGCAAATCTCACATAATTATCACGCACATATTTTTATACACGTTAACGCACGAGCTCCTATGCATATAATTATCAAAGCCCAGTTACGTTGTTCAATTTCAACTATTCGGACAACGACATTAATTTTAATTTCCAATGCTACTTTGTTTCCTTTACATCTTTGTACATCTTTAAAAATTATATAAGAAATAAAAAAATTTTTTTTAAGTTTGTGATACGTTTTCTACATCATCATTATTGATGTATGTATATATTAGTGTGACTTTAATATACGGATTTGTAGTATAAAACACATTTGGAGCGGTGACTTGTAACTTCCGTCCGGTGATAGGATTACTCCGATTACAGTGACGCGTATTAAAATTCGATTAGATTTCCACATCAAGTATATTATTATTCTATCCATTTCTGACTCGCATAAGAACCTCTTTCTTCCGTGCGCTCGGTTTATTTACTTCTGTCTTTTTTTTAATTATTATTATTACGACACACGAAGGCGCCAGAGCAACATTAGTTTTTAGATCAAGTAATTGCTAATTACAAGTTCGGGTAATCATATGATTTCTCCTTGCTTTCTAAAGTTCGCGCTAAAAATAGCACATGCAGAAAAATGCGGAGCGTGAAGTCGTCTCTTAGGATGCGAGGCCGCACAAGTTAGCGGTGTAAGTAGAGTGGACAGCGAAACAGCCTGCAAAATCGCGTGCGGATATCCCAATTAGCCCGAATAATGCGACAGGGAAGTAATTTTCCGATGGAGAGTTCCAGGTTAAAATTTTGACGGAAACCTATATCGAGAACTATGTCAAAATATGTTATTTTAGACGACGATTTTCTTTCAGAAAAAATATATAGACATATATATATATATATATATATATATATATATATATATATATATATATATTATATAATCCAGTAGCATTGTTGCTTCATGTACGAGAATATATAATATCCTGATGAGGATAACTCGATATCGCGGGGTCTTTAATCTTCTCACTTTTCATCAAGGACAGAGCTCGATGAGCTACACGATGAGAGTCCCGATCTCGAGAGTGTAAGATCTTAATCAACTTTAGCACAATTATGTCAGATCGAAATCTAATACAAGAAATCTCTTTCGAAAAACCTTGACTAAAAATTCAAACAGATTCATTTTATATTTTTAAACGTAATCTATTTTCGTTGATTAAAAATTGAACACATTTGTGCGGCTGCGGTATAATGATCAGATGATCACGATTATAAGGATGACAAGGAGTCACGATTATTTTCAAAATAAAGAATTTCAGAAATTATTAATTGGAGCGATATTCATTCGAGGAAAGACTTACGTGCAGCTACGACGAGGAGGAACGCGACGATTAGACCGACAGTTGGCCGTCGTGTCGAGGACGATGCGAGCGATCGTGTCGTCATGGTGTCCTGGTGGTTACTGGCGAGAAAAGTATCTGTTGTCGATCCAAGTAACTTTGTTGGTCCCACTACGCGATCACCGGCTCGCCTTGCTTCACCGTTCCCGTTCCTTTCTCTCTGTCTTTCTCTTTAATGGGAAAGACTTTTCAGCTTTTCGCACACAGGGTAAAAGTCCCGACGTCCACCTTGCTTGATCCCCGATGACGATTCTCAACGAGAGATCCTGCAATGTTGGCAAACCGATTTACATACATATTCGATATATCATCCTGGAAAGATCGAAGTACGCGATAATGTGCGTGAGAGATTTCATAAACGGGAGATAAAATGACGTATTGTCGTATATTTTTACCCTGAGAAGATACGCGGGCGCGTGAGAATAATCCGCGTAAAAGAGTGAACGCGCGCGCGCAAGTTGCGTTCGCGAACGTGCGGCCGCAATTATGTGACAAATTTTACAGCATTACGTACAATTACAACGTTGTCATCACGACGACGACGACGACGACGACGATATTACCCCATCGCACGGTGGGATGCTTGCCTAGACTCGGTGAATATTTCCAGAGTGAGCGCATCGCGCGTTTGATGCTGCTTTTAACATTACTCGACAGAGTATAATGTCGTAATGCGACGTGTGATTCTTTTTTTCTTCTTTTTTTTTTGCCCCAGGAGTTTGCGTTCTAGATTCTACTCGCGCGTTGATGAACGCGTTTCGCGTCTCGTTAATTAAACCCCTTCTCTCCTTTCTCTCCCACCAAGAATTACAAATGACGAAAATTTAAGGCGAGTCTGATCCTACTAATCTCGACGATTATGACGAGCTACAAGCTGTACACAATAATATGCGGCTCTTCTCGACGATGTAACGCGGTTACCATCGAGATATTCATTTTGCAATACCGCGCGATGAGGCGCAATTTCATCGTTGTAAATGAAGATATTTTCGCAAAAACAATCTTCAATTTCTATCTTTCTTTTCTTTTTCTATTTGTACCACAAACCATTTTTCGATGTTAGTATGCATTAGCGAAGTGATGAGATTTGTTACAATACATTGATTATTTTTTATCTTCTAGATCTTTTATAAACGCACCTTCAAATCTTCTCCGCGAGTTATTGGAGTTGACATGGCAAAAAGTTGCTTTCCATTCCTTCATGGGTGAACTGGTATGCGGGCTATGAGTTGTATTCGTGGCAGAAATCAAGACATTTCGAGCCAACCTGAAAACCACATCTTATTGTCATCGTTTTCGTGTTTTCGTCTCGCCTCTTGCATCGCATCTTATTACGCCGCACTGTCAGGAAGGAAAGAAAAGTCGGGATTAGAATAGAATTAGCTGAGAATATTATACATATATATCACTAAACAAAAATTTTTCGATATACGTAACATCTCGCGTAGATGATCAAAAATAGTTTCAAAGTTTGCAGCTATATATCGCTTTTAAAAACCGGAAATGTTAATGATCTGCAACTTATGACGGCATATTCGCCGTGGAACGTGTTTTTTTTTCTTTTTTTGCCAACACCGAAAGTCGAGACAGTATATATAATAGTAAGAATAACAGATTTACCATTTGAAAAAGAAGAAAAAATTAACGAGCGCTCAAACGCGTGTCCAAGAATATATACAATCCGCGCTGGAATAACGAACGAGCGAAAGTCCTCTTCCTCCTTCTCGTGTAGGTGCTCTCTGGCAGACACTCGATAGTTTCTTATAGAATGACCACAGCTGTCTAATCCCGCACGCACTTTCGCACCACACGTCGCAAAGGTATACATATACATATGTAATGACACGACGTCTTACTGGATGCGTTGTACATATTTTAAGTATTCTTGTATCACACGACGTCCTACCTGGAATCAAGAAAATATTTTTGTTATTGGTTTTATTAAAATGTATGTATATTTAGATTGCATTTTTTAAAAGTAAAAGCCCAAATAGCAAGCACACGTTATTTTGACGTTTAATAACGTCATGATATATGGCTTTATAGCGATGTAAGCTTTTTCTCAAGTGGAAGATTCCACTCATCTAGTGTCTCATTTAAAGTAAAATATTAAAACAATCATCTTGGAAGACTCGTAAACCAACTGTTTTATAAAGTTTCTCGAGAAGAAAAGATACATTTGTATAAAGCATCTAGGATTCACCGTCAAATTTCAAGAGCGATCAAGCGTATCCGAGAGATGTAGATTTGTTTGGATGACTATATCTACCGGTATAATGAGATGAGAATAGTGAAAGTTTGTCGTATAGGGTAAATCGTAAATGCTGAAGCTGAATCATGATTGCTGATCCATCAGCAGTGGTCTACCTTCATGGATCAAGGCAGCTTATACCGTTTCTTATTCAATTCAACTTGCTTCTAATGCTCATCATAATCATCCACGCACAAAACAATCATCTTTTATGGATATTTGATATTAGTGTACAAATTTAGTATATACTAATCAAAGTTGAAATATGAAACATGTACATTTTTCCTTCCTCAAAGAAAACATCTATCAAGAATACATGTATATTTTTTTACTTTATTTGATTTTTATTTTATTTATATTCTTATTTTTATTTTAGTTTTAAAGTTAGTTTTTTATCAAGTTCAACAAAATCTGCAAATTTTTCCTTTTTAAATTTTTTTTTGCAGAAATCGCAAATCATGCTGTTCATTCACATGTCGTACACATTTTAGAAAGTGGCTGATGCTGCAAAAAAAATTATATTGACAGATGACATATCATCTTATTTGTAAAGAATGTCCGTGAAATATAAAGATGTCGTATTGACATATTCGCACAACAAACATATATTGTTAAAAATTAATATTGACAAAGTGCAACTAATATAGTTAGCGTTACGAGGAAAATTAGACAGGAGAGATGGATGCAAAGAGAGAATAGAGGAATGCTGAGAAGGCTATCGCGATTATTAACACTGAATCGAGTGAGGTTTAATGCCTTTAAATAAGAACAAGTGCTCATTCAATAAGAGCAAAAGTCAATTCTCGAGAGCAAATGAGAGGACTTTAATCATTAAAAATATACAAACTGCGTGGCGAATTAAAAATTCCAAACAATAATAATTCGATTGTAGTCTGTATATTTGATTCGGAAGAAGGGATCACAGATTGCTAAAAATCCTTAACTAAGTCGAACCGACACCATTGGCACGACGTTGCAAAAACGGTATCTTTACGCAATAACGTCGCTTCTCTTGCCGCAATGTCGAGAAAAGGACGGGAGATGTGAGAACGAGGTTTCTGCAGAAAGTGCAACGAACAGCCCGATTATTACGTTAAGTTGCAAAAATAAATTATTAAAGAGAGAGAGAGACATTTCTGTTCGCATTAAAATCTACGCTATTATTTTCATCGCAAGTCTCCTCTTGCAGTTTTAGACACAATATAATAGTTCGATAACGCAACTACATACATATATGTATATATAATTGTCTAATTATAAATGAATAATTATGAGGAAATATGTCAGCACGAAGATCAAGTATATAGATAAATGCAGCATCAGTCTGAGGTATTTCAGGAAGTACAGTTCCGAGGTAAAAGGAGATTGTTACAGTTATCAGATGCGTCGAGAGCGATTACACCTCATTGTATGTCTGCGTAATCGCACGTTTGGCGCAATAATTCCATACAAACGTCCGCCCAGCTTCTTATAGAAGATTTATTCAGCGGTTGCTGATATTTCGTACTTTCACTCGAACACCTTGACCCGCGCACAATCGCATCACAATGCATAGACCTGCGTATATAACAAGCTACATGTGTATATATATATATATATATATATATATATATATATATATGTGTGTGTGTGTGTGTGTGTGTGTGTGTGTGTGTGTGTGTGTATGCTCTGTTTATTAATTTTGCATTGCAAATATCGAGCTTTTTTGCGCTGTTATTTAATGGGGATCATATATCAAATGTACATCTTAAACAAAAAAGAATGGTACAAACGTACATATATAATTTAATGGACGTCAAATGTGAAATGAGCTGTGATATTTACATTAGTAATCGAGATATATGTAATAGAAATAGAAAACTGTGAGTCTATCATATCTGAATTTATAAAAAAAATTATCATGAAGACTTGATCTTTATGTACAAAAAATATTTTGTATTAAAAAAGAGAGCGACAATGAGAGAAAGAAAAATTATTATCAATATGAAAACGTATAAAATTTTACATCATATTTTTGTCATCATTTTTTTTCATTTTGAGTTATAAATTAAAAATGTTTTTAAAACTATTTTATATGTATGGAAACCATATCTATTAGAATGCAAAGTGGCGCACACCAAGTTTATCTAAAGTTCGGAGATAATAGAGTTTTCCCGCACACATCCGATCCCATTAATATTGTCGAGCTAAACGTAAATAAACTCTCTTTTCTATGTATGCATGTATATATATAAATACCAAGAGCCATAATAAACTCGACTGGCTTCTGTGACCCCTTCTTTCCGGTCCTTTTAATATTATCGTATCCGGTAATTATATTTACTTTCCACCTGACATTCATTTAATTGATCAGGGTCTCTTATTTTCTTATGATAACTTTATCTATTTTTTTACGATAATTATAATAAATAACGATATTTTTGTGTAATATCTCATATATTACAAAAAGTGCTTGAATATTAAATCGTTTGAATTCTTCCTTATTATATATTAATCATTCTAATCCCCGATTTACATTTATATATAATAATATACGTGTTTGATCAGAATGTATTCACTGAACATATATATGAGATTTAATTCAGTTATAATTATAATACAATATTATATATTTATAATAATTATTATAATTATATCGAGTAATGTATAATAGCTACATAATTAGATTTGTTTTTCATCACAAATTTATTTTTTAAATTTGAAACACTTACCATAATATACGGAAAAATTGTCTTATAATAAGAAACTCTCTCGTAGTCAAAGCTGGAGTCCATCTATGCTGTATTTAAAGATTTATTTATCGCTTCATATATCAATTCGTCATCATCCATTTCCACTTCTTGCATCTATTCTCCCGTAATCTCTACTGTTACGAAAAAAAATTTTGTTCGTTAAAAATCCTATTATTTTATTATTCGTACAGTATATTAAGTCAATATATAATTAATATAATTATACGCTATACGTGAAATGAGTAGTTTATTACTTTATTAATTAACAAAACAGAATTTTTAAAATATATGGCCTTTTATAGCATTAAAAAATAGTTTGTTGTAAAAAACATGAAATATATATAATAATAATAATTAATAATCGAACAAATCGACTTTAAAAATTAATTATATACCTTTTACCTGTGTTTTTGAATATTAGTACATAATTGTATCATCAATACGATCAAAAATATCTATTCTTCTTGCTGCATCTCCGGTATTGTGATTTTTACAATAATCATTAATAACCTTAAAATATTCACCGGATCAAGATAATCTCATCCTCGTTGATGTATCCTTTTGTGCTTCAGTTTTAACACGAGAAGTTTCTACATGGAATTAGATAAGTTATTAACACACACGCAATTAACACACTACTCTCTGTTAATTAAAATAAAACTGAATATTTACCGGGTACAGGTCCTTTTGGTTGCAGATTTGCCGCCGTATGACGTCAGATCTCGCGCATGCGCATTACGTCATCACGTTCCTCGGATTGTTGACACTTCATGCGCGAGGTTATTCACGATGCTTCCGACGATTCTTCCGCGATTTACGATTGACATTTTTACGATTGTTGACTTCACGTCATTTCGCGAAATCGCAATTATTCGGGAGTGAATACGCACCCGGAAGTAAAGGCGTTTATTATTTGACATTTCGTTCTACGTACTTTCGACAGATAATCCTTTTGTAAATACGAACGGCGATATATGTTTGTCCCATAATTGTTTGGAGCAAAACGATTCGAAATGTTTGTAAACGTCAAAAGCGCCACCTCGCAATAATTATTGCAACTCTTAGTGCGACTTGAAGTTTTTCAATTGTTATTCAAATATTGGCGCCAATTGTAAGACTGAACATGAAAAGTTCTTCTGTCGAAAGCACGAGGTCCTTCAAAAATATTTCTTGAGTATAAAATTTAATTTTCACACACAACTATACTCGCTTAATTTAATTATTAATTTATTTATGAAATCAAATTATATTTTTGGAAGATATTTAATACGTTCGCAAAATACTAAATAACAAATATTAAGAAAGGAGTTTTGTGTTATTTTATATGTGTATACAGAAAATAAAATTTATTAAATAATCGCGAGTAACATGTGTACGCCAGCAAAAATAAAAAAATTAGATGAAACAGTGGTGAATAAAATCGCAGCTGGAGAGATAATCCAAAGGCCAGCAAATGCATTAAAAGAATTAATAGAGAATAGGTTAGTAGAAGTTGTGGTCTACATATTTTGAGTACCATATTTTACTAAATATTTACCTTTATGTTCATAGTTTGGATGCTAAAGCGACAAATATACAAATTACTACGAAAGAAGGAGGCTTGAAACTATTACAGGTACTTGACAGAATATATAATTTGTATTAGGCCAATGTTAGTGTATAATAATCAAAATTCACTTTTAGATACAAGATAATGGTACAGGTATTCAAAAGGAAGACATGGACATTGTATGCGAAAGATTTACCACAAGCAAGTTGCAAAAATTCGAAGATCTCAATGAGCTTACAACATTTGGGTTTCGAGGAGAAGCTCTGGCTAGTATCAGTCATATAGCTCTTCTTACTATCACGACAAAAACAGCAGATGAAAATGTGCCTACAAGTATGTAAATTGACCAAAATTGTGTTATAAGAGAAAACAATTTTTCTCTTAATATATAGACATATTAAAATGTAAATTATATTTACTGCGCACTATTGCAGAGCATCATATATTAATAGCAACCTAAAAGCACCTCCAGTACCTTGCGCTGGAAATCAAGGCACCATAATAACTATAGAGAATCTGTTTTATAATGTGGCAACTCGAAGAAAAGCTTTGTCAAATCCATCAGAAGAATTTAATAAGATTACAGAAGTAGTCATGAAATATGCTGTGCATAATCCAATAGTAGGATTTACGTTAAAAAAACATGGCGAGTCAACTACTCAGGTGAATTAAATTATTTACATATATATCTGAAAAATATATGTATATTATAGTCTAAAAGATATTTTAATAGAAATATATTGAATTATTTCAATATAATTATTTTATTATATTCTCACAGGTTCGAACACCCCATAATTCAACAAAACAGAGTAACATAAGAATATTGTATGGCAATCCAGTTGCTCGTGAACTATTGGAAGTTGAACTTAACGATGATTCCTACAAGTTTAAAATGCAAGGTTTTGTGACAAATCCAAATTATACAAATAAACGAATGATGCTGCTCTTATTTATTAACAATCGATTGGTCGACTCTTCTTGTAAGTTTAATCTTACATGTTTTGCTAATTTTCCTATTTTTCAATGTTTTCTAATTTTTAAGTAAAATTTTTATGTTTACTGTTCCAGCCATCCGTAAGATGTTGGAGGAAATATATTCTATGTATCTTCCAAAAAAGGCCCATCCATGGTGTTATATATCTTTGGATATCAATCCACAAAATATTGATGTAAATGTACATCCAACAAAACACGAAGTTCGATTTCTTCATGAAGATGCGATAATTGAAAGAATAAAATATGCCTTAGACGAAAGATTGGCCGGTAACAGTGCATCTAGAACATTTTACCTGCAAGCCAGATTGCCAAAAGCAGACATCACTAAGAATGTCCTAGAAGAAATTTTGCCAGAATATAGTAAAGAAAATCCAGATAAATCGAAAAAGTTCATGCTAGAGAATTGATTAGAACAGATTCGTCCGATCAGAAATTGGACAAATTTAATTTCATCGTACATATTGACAAACATAGCAATACTCTCGTAGAGAAAAAATTAATTAATAATGTAGAATCTGAATCTCTCAGTTTGGAAATTCCTTTAGAAAATAATATATCTAATATTACTGTCGAAAATTCATCCGCTGATAATAAACGTCAAGAGACAGATTCGAACTCGAATTTAAATATTGCAGAACACAATTCTGTGTCATTATGTGGAAGAGAAGTACATGTTGAAGAGATTCCAGTTAATAGTTCAACACAATGGAGTAATATATTAGATGCTACATACTCATCAGAAAACACTTGTAATCCAAGTACATCTACGCAAAAAGATAAGTCAGACGATATTCATACGAAGAATATTACGTACGATGTTAGAGAATTTTTATATGACTCGGATGAAACAATGGATGAGTCTGTGGAAGACAATTCTAGAGATATTATAGCCGATAAAGCTCGTAAGCGAGTGTATCAATACTTCGGGAATAAGGATATTATGGACGAGAGAGAAAAGAATTTAGAAAAAGAAAAAGAACAAACTACATTACAAGATACTGACGATAATAAGAAAGAAGAAGAAGGTTCAACATCTAATACAAATCAATCTGAAAACACTCCTATTGAGGAGACTGCTTCTACTGATGAATCTCCGAAATCTACATTGCAATTTAAATCATATTCTGTAAATAATTTTAGACACGAGGTAAAATTGACTAGTATTTTAAAATTACGCAAGGAAGTTGAGGACGAATGTCATGAAGGATTAAGAAACATTCTCGCTAATTTGACATTTGTCGGCTGCATTGATCAAACTTCGGCTTTAATACAAAGTGGAATGAATTTGTATATATGCAACACTAGAAAATTAGCGTAAGTTAATTATTTTATATTAATATTCTCAAGAAATTAGAAGTTGATTTAAAATGAGCTTTAAGATATTTAAACATATTTATGTTTTAGAGAGGAGCTTTTTTACGAGATCATGCTTTATGATTTTACTAATTTTGGCGTCATTAAATTTTCAGTATGTATTTCAGATTAAGTAAATAAAAAATTTGCTAAAATAACTATCTAATGTAGAATTTAATTTTAGGAACGGATATCGCTGTTTGATTTAGCAATTATTGCTTTAGATTCGGGAGAAACTGGATGGACAGAAGAGGATGGTCCGAAAGATGAACTGGCAACAAGGGTAAAAGAGTTACTTTTGGAAAAAGCAGATATGATGAACGAATATTTTTCAATTGTTATGGATAAAATGGGAAATTTAAGATCATTGCCTGTGATATTAGGTATATATAAATCGGATAACATATTTATAAAAAAAATTAATTGCGTATGTTACTGATATGATAATATTTCAGACAAATATTTTCCATACGAAGCGGAAATTCCATTATATATAATGCGATTAGCAACCGAAGTTGATTGGAGAAAGGAACAAATATGTTTTCAGAATATTTGTCGTGAAACGGCAAAATTTTACAGCTACATTAATCCAAAGCCTCAGACGCACGATTGGAAATATATAACCGAACATATTTTATATCCAGCGATTAAAGAGAGTTTACTTCCACCAAAACACTTTGCTCACGATTCCACAATATTACAAATAGCCAGTTTACCTGATTTGTATAAAGTATTTGAGAGATGTTAAACTACACTATTCTGTATAAAAATGTCTATAATAATTATTGTAACAAGCAAATTGTCAAATATGTTTAACATTAAAATCTTGATATTGTACATTTATAATTTATATTTTAACGATCAATTTTTTTATATCAAAATATTATAAATGACTCAATATACATCATTATTTTCATAATAAAATTTGCATATCTATCATCCTCTAGTTGGTGTGATTAAATTGAGTGTACATAAAAAACATACATTTTAAAATAGAATTTTTTATGTAGCTATTACAAAACAAAAGGTAAGAAAAATCTTCGTGTAAAAGTAACATATTTTTTTCCGCTCACCCTTGTATACAGTTTATAGAAGATTTAACACTAACTTCTATATTATATCTTAAATAAATGTAAAAGAAAATTATACAATTTATATCAACATTTTATATGGAATTTATATAATTTAATCAATTTGTTAGAAAATGAATATTTATCTACCTTTAGATTAGACAATTATCCTTTAGCAACACCTACTAATGCTGGTCTTACTATCCTTTCATGTAATTTATATCCTATTTTTGATACAACTACAATTGTTCCAGGCTCTTTGCCCTCAACTTCCTGAAAATTTTTTCCATTAATTCTAAATTACTATATACTTATTTTTTATTTGTCAAAATGTAAATCTTACTTGTTGAAATAATGCTTCGTGTTCATTAGGATCAAATTTTTCATTTATTGGGTTTAATGAAATTAGGCCATGCTTTTTGAAAACCTAAAATAGAATAAAAGAGTAATAACATTAACAAGAAAGACAATATTATGTATGTTATATATATTTTTGTATTAAACATGTTGGCAACATATATCTTACTTTATGTAATTGGGCTTCCGTCATTATTAATCCTTCATATAAGCTTTTTAAATGTGGATTTTTCTCTGTTATTTCAGCCTTTGGTACGCTCTCCGTAGCTTTCCCCAATATATCTGCTACATCTAAAAGGTCCTTACAGAAACCTTGGATACCAAACAGCTTGGCATCATTAATCTGTTTGGTGAGTCTAATTCGAATATTTTCTCCTTCAGCCAGTGCTCTCTTATATTTATCTTCAAGTGCATCTTTAGATTCTTTAAGTTCAGCAAGCTCTTTGTTGATGAGCTCCAGTTCTGCCTTTATCTTTCTGTAGCTTCTTGCTCTAGAGGTACATTAGCAGCATCTGGTTTCTTCTCCTCTGTTATTGTACCATAATATTGTCTTTGCCAAGAAAATGCAGAAGATATTTGTGGTAACCTGTAATTTCACATTTTATGCGTATAACAAAAATTCAACAATTTTAATTTAATATATTTATTATAAATAATTTAATATAACTATGCAATAAAAAATGTAGATGGATATTTAATCATTTTTTTAACAATCCCAAAAAAGTAATTGTAATTGATCAAATTGCTCCATTTTGAAAAATATTTAGACATTATTAAGAAAAATTATTTTATTAGATTATTAAATAATAAGTCTTAAATTACAAGTTTTTAATTTCTATTATTATATGTATGATTACACCAATGTAAGAAAAGTATATTGGATATTTTGAGAAAATTAAATAATAAAATGTTCAGTAATAATTAATGAGAATGATGTTTGTATTATCGAGAAATATAATATATTAAATAACATAAAACAGTATCCAACAGTTAACCTCAACGTGTATGATTTTCGCAAAGAGGAATTAAATCGAGACTCGCGTGACTAAAAAAATATCATAATTATACCTATGTAAATTCCTATTAATTTGATATAAATTATCAATCGTTAAGCGACTAAATCGCAACACAGGTATAACGATCGACGTCATGATTCACTTCACGAAATTTCATAAAATCTCGAGGAACGGATGATGAAACACGACGATCAAGCATACCACACGATCACGTCCGCGGATCACGCAGCAAGCAAGAAGCGATCGTCGCGATACCATCGAACGAACCAATCGGATCGTTCGACCAATCGGAGATCAGCTGTCGGTAGTTCGGCGGCCGACCTGTGGCGCCGCGCGACCTGTCAAACGTCAGTCGGCGACGCGCATCTGTCAAACGCGCATCTTTCGCGCCGCCGAAGGAGTATACGCCCGCGGGTTGCAGTTGTTGCTGCATAGTTCGCGCTAATCCGCGCCCGTGTGTTGTTCGCGGTGTTCGCGTAGTAGTGCGCAGAGGAACGTGTCCGAATAATCGTCCCAGCTCGAGGGAGGCCGGATACGCCGTCGTCGCGACAGGAAACGGAGGAAGCGCGACGCAGCTGCGTCGTCCTCGGAACTTATCTCCCGCCTCCAGGAGGAAGAGGGAAGGAGAGGGAACTCTCTCCCGCCTTTTCTCGGCGAGTCCTTCCACCAGTGCGTCGTAGTGGTCGGCACGCGCGCGTCGCTTTCGTTGCCGCTCTCGTTCGGCGCGCGCGCGTCTAGGTCGCCGATTCCAGGCAGCCGCGACGCGGCTGGTGGTTATGTGCTCCGCGTCGTCATCGTTGTCGCCGTCGAACGGGAGGAGGATGGTCGTCGAGCCGCCGCGCGACCATCGTCGTCATCGCTCCGCGGCAAGATAGATCGGGGGCAGAGAAAGACTCCTTAACCGGACTGGTGCCAGCCCGGACCTCGTCGTCGTTTGCCGCTCGCGTCGTACTCCGTCTCGGAGTCGGCGAACTATGCGAGTCACCGGGACTCCAAGTGTCATTCACCGCTGACGTGCATCCCGGTGCTGTAAGATACGAGCTCCGCACTGACATATATATATATATATATACATATATATACGTATTATATATATATATACATATATATATATATATATATACACCCATACCACGGGCGGCGGAAGTGTTTTGCTCGATCCTCCTCGTCGCGCGCGCAGTCTGTAGCTCTACGGGGGCCTTTTTAGATCGTCCCTCTCTCTCTCGCTCTCGCGGTGTGTCTCCCTCCCGCCTCCTGCGGCGCCGGCCTACCGAGGAAGGCGATCCGCGGCTTCTCTTCTCGCTCCCCGAGCCGACTCGCTCTTGAACGTCGACCAACGTCCGAGCTCCCGTGTCCCGCCCTGGACACGCCAATTCGTCCGATTTGCCCGCCACATGACGGGTTATGTTTCCTACCTTCATCGGGATCCTAGGTGAGTCACCCCTGCCTTCGTCGCTCGCTAGAGAATAAAAGTCCGGATAATACTCAGTAGAGATTTTTCTTGTTTTTTGTGTGTGTGTTTTATAATATTAAAGAGCGAATAGTTATCAATTGTAAAAATTGATAGCTAAAATTGAAATGGTAATGTAAGTTGAAATAGTGTCAGGTCTTTGTGTAGCAGCAGATGTAATTTTTTATTCTCTTTTCTGTCTCTCTCTCTCTCTCTTTCTTTCTCTCTCTCTCTAGTTTGTATTAGAATCAGAATTCTTTTACTTTTGTACATTCTGTTACGATCCTGAGAGCCTAAATGTTTCAGCTAAAGGAGATACAATTGCGCAGTGCTTTAATGTTTGTGTGGGCTTTATTGAAAGTGTAAAGTGTAAATAGTATCAATTAGATATCTGATTATATTTTTTTATTAGTTTTTTATTATTATAGAAAAGTAGAGAAGAGTTTTGATATGCTCAAAATTATACAAAAATAATTGCAGGAAATTAATCCACAATTCACATAATTAAAATCTTTGTTGTATCTGTATTTTCATGTATTCTTTATAGTTGGAATCAATGAAATGTGTTTTGTGTATGTGTGTGTGTATGAAGTAATGATTTACATTATTATCATAAATGAATGATTGTATTTGAATAAATCAGACCACTGTTATAGATATATAAAGGAGTTATATTAGAAATATTTACAAAGTTGTACAAACAGAGCTGTGATCATGAGATATAATGCATTTCCATTTTATAATTAATTGCTGTCACTTATAATTAGATTTCTAATTTTAGATATATTAGATATTTATTTCTTTTTTTCCATTGTCTAACGAGTTAAATAAATTGTTAAAGTTTTATTTCATTACAGGTGTATTTGTATCAATTATACATAAATAAAAAAATATAGAAATATTTCAAGGAGAAAATTTAACTAGACAAGTAATACTTGAAATTTAAATTCAAACTAAGCATTATATACACTATTGATTAGCTTACGTTGATTATTTTCAGTTCTGTAGGATTAATATGAAGAACCTTTTTTTTAAGATCTCTCCTTTATTTTTTTAGACATTCAATCGTGGTGGAGGTACCAGTATAGCACATTTTTGCTCATTATTTAGAGCTGCCTTTAATCTTCTGGATTTTGATATTGAGGTATCTAACTAATACAAGGCTAACTCTCTCTTATGATAAGCAGTATATATAAGGCCTGTTTAGTATACCGCTTGAGTATTATTTATACAACAAAATAGCTGCCATCGCTTCAGCTTTACTGTTATTGTTTATCCGCTTATACATCGTTTTGCTCTCTTTTAATTTTACTTTGAATACTTAATAAAGAAATGTGTACTGATGTATTAATGTTATTAAATTGTAGGATTTAGAAGAAGCTTTATTAACGGACGGAGGTACCGAAGGACGATTGCTTCAGGAACTTATAGTGAAGTTATTGGAAGGTTGCTTGCCAAATGACACCCGCAATGATATCTCTACTTTTAATTATCAGATGTTTCTACGTAGACTTTTTCGGAAAAAATGTCAAGTAAGTATATGTATATATTATTCAGCCTTGCCTCGCAATGTATAAATTTCTCAACTAACAAAGACACGTGTTCTTGCATATTTATAGGAATACAAATGCGAAAATCCTTTCAATACAGACGTAGATTTGAGTTGTTACCGCTTCGTCAAAAAGTAGAAATATTACGGGCGCTCTGTGACTTCAGGCTAGACGCCGAAGACGTAGTACGTAATTAATTATGCGAGATGTTTTATGCATAAATGATACATCATATATTTAATAATATAATATCGATATAACAGGAGCAGTCTTTAAGTAACTTGGACTCGGATAGCCTGCGAGTCGAACCTTTGGGACATGATCGTAAGAATTCTGCCTATTGGTACTTCTACGGCACTCGATTGTACCGGGAGGACTACATTGATACTTCTAACAGTGCCTCACACAAGCAGAAAAGTAAGCCAAAGGACAAAAAGCGTAAAAAACGACGGAACAGAGTGGCGAAAGAGGAAGAGGAAGAGAAGGAGGAAGTTAGTTTAATAGACGGCGAAAATAAGGGACGAGAGAGCGTTTGGCAAGTTGTGTGTTTTACTCAACAGGATTGGAGCAGACTAGTTGAAAAATTTCGCGATTCGGTAATGATTATTCTTGCCTTAAAAAAAAGTATTTTGTTGGCAATTTTTTGTTGTGAAATAAAGTTCGATATTTCTTTAAAATTTCCAGGAACACGATACCGAGCGCAAACTTTATCGTACATTATCCGAAGACTTTATGCCGGAAATACCAAAATTGTTTGACCTGAAGGAGAAGCAGCAGCGGCGTAAACTATTACAACGTAATAGTTCGCGAGTGCTTCGTAGTCAGGAGCCTACGACGCAGATGGACGCAGACATGGTCAGATCCAAGATTAAGACTAAGACGAACAAAGGAACTAAAAAGGGGACGCAACAAGGTTCAAAATCCACTTATATTAAGGAAGATACCACTCCGCCATTACCGACACCGCCGATTCAGAAGAAAGGACGGCAAACGAACAATTCTTTGGCATCAGCCGTTGGCCAAATCGTAATTCATACTAGGGATGAGGTAGAAGATTTGGAGAAGAAGAAGGGTATCAGTAATCATGGCGATGGTAATTACGTATCTTGTAATTACGGATACAAATACGGCTATTCGTTCAGAATCGAAGAGGAGGAACGTTGTGTCGGAATGCACAAGGTTCTCGAAAGTATTAAAGATCATGTGGATGCCTGGCCATTTATTGAACCTGTGGATGAAGAGTATGCGCCGAGGTATTTAGAATTTTATTTATACAGGGTGTCTGACATAAGGTGTCACACCGAAAATATACAAATAGATCTTGTTATTTGGAGACAATTTTTCCTCAGCAAAATTATTGAGGTATCAATTTTCGAATTATAAGCGATTGAAAATAAAGGGTTTTCGCATTTGGTTAAAGATTTAGTTTAGAAAAATCATCTCCAAATAACAAGATTTACTTGTATATTTTCAGTGTGACACTTTATATCAGACACTCTGTTTATATATTGAATATAAAATTAAATATTGCATCTAATGTGTTAAATCATTAACAATATTGTGTGAATACTTTTTATAGATACTATAGTGTCGTACGCAAGCCTAGGATCTTAGTACTATGGAAGAGAAACTGGAAGGTGGCTCATACAAAAGTTTAAGTCAATTTAAACACGATTTTCGGCTTATCGTTGATAACTGTAGACAGTACAATGGCTCAGATAACGGTTTGTAATTCTTTAAATTGATATATGTCTATTCTAATGATTTATTTTATTATTTACATGTCAATAAATTTAATAACATTACTCTATTACAGAATATACGGATATGGCGATTAATCTTAAGGAAGCTTTTGATAAAGCCGTGAGCCGGTATTTGGAGTCGGAGACGTCCAGCGACGAGGATGCCGCATCTCCTCGATCATTAGCCGGAACACCTACGTCTCCGTCGTATCCTTCGCGTCATTTAGCCTCTTCGAATCATAACGCACGTAAACGTTCAAAGAAATCGACCAAAAAATCTAAATCGTATAAACCCGAAAGTAGAACAAAGTCTAAAAATAACGAAAAAGTGGATGAAGATGAAAAGAGGAGTAAAAGTATTAAGGTTGCAAAGAAGAAGAGAGGGAAAAAGAAGGGCAAGAAAGCGAAAGAGGAAGAACTGGATGTGGACGAGGAAGAACAGGAAGACCAAGAGAGCGAAGGTGCAATATCCGGGACTAGTATTGTAGCGTCGAAAAGAAGAAAAAACGTCGATGTAAATAGTTTACTTAAAACCAAAAAGCTATCTAAGGAATCGGAAGAATTGAAAACGTCTAATAAGAAAGGGAGCAAGGAGCGACATCAATCGAAAAAAGATTCGGAAATTGTACGATCTGCGAAGGAAACGAAAGAAAACAAAAAGCGGAAAGAAGACTTTGAGGAAGATTATGAATCTCCGGTAAAAAGTAAAAGTAGAAAAATTGAAAGAAAGAACTCGAAGAAACTGGAATATTGACAGATAACGCTAAAAAGAGCAAATTTAAAAAGATTGAAATAGAAGAAAACGACGTAGCATTCGAGGAAGATAAGAACAATCTTCCTATGTCAAAACGAAAAAGAATCGTAAGAAAGAGAAGACGAATTCAAAGACTGCAACAAAGGCTGATGAAAAATCCGATAAGATTCATACAAAGCAAAAAGATAAAAAATCAAAACAAAAAAAGAATGAGGAATTAAAGAACGGAGAGTTAAAAAGACAAACAGATTCCAAAGATGTAGGATTAGAAAATACTTTAGACTCAAAACATACTCACACCTCTAAGAAGCTCTCTACGTTAATCGGTAATAAAGACGTAGATTCGCTTGATAGTTTAAAGGATAAGATAAGCGATAGAAGACGTGAGGAAAAATTGAAAAACGAAAAGGAGAAGCAGAGAAAATCGGTAAAGAGCAATCCTCTCACATATTCAGTAAAAGTGCCTTCAAGTAATATTTTCCACGACTGTGACAAAGATGGTGCAAAACGATCAAAGTCGAAGAAAAGTACGAAGGAGGATAAGACCGTGGATACAGACACAATTAAGAAAGAATCTGAAATCGGTGAAAATAAGAAAGCTGTTCATGCTAAACATACCAAAGGAATGGAGAGAATTCTTCGATTCAAGCATTAAATCAAGCAACAGAGAAAACACTTCACGTAAGTTTACAGAGAAAATATCATTTTTTAAACCTTTTATCGAATATATATATATATATATATATATATATATATATATAATATGTATGTATGTATATATAGAGGATATTAATAAATTATAGGTATAAAATTTGAAAGATTAGTATGTTGAAAAAAAAACAAGAGTTTTTGTTAACATATGTGGAAATACTAATAATTTCAGAGTTTATGAGATATTCAATTTTCTTATATATATATATATATATACTCAAAATAATTATGTGTAAAATATTTTATATCCACACTGTAAAAGAACTTATACATATTCACTAATTAATATATTGCATGTTATATAATATGTAAATAACGTATTTATATATATCTTCTCATTTTATTTATATCTTACATATATTAATTTGGCTATTGTGTGCGACAGGATATCAACAAATGGCTCGACGACGCGCCCAAACTCTGCGGATTCTCCTCCGGCAATGACTCTCCGGTACCTCACATTCCACCAACCGAATCCGGTCGATCGGGATCGAAGGCAGAGATCGCTACGCGTAAGAGACCTAGCTCCATGAAAATATTTGGTCCTCACGGACCGAGTCGGCCGAAGAAGATACAGCGCACGATCGATCGTTTGCAACCTGGAAAGAGTAAGGGAAATTTACTCTTGAAAAAACCGTTGAATAATCCTAGCACCAACACGAACGACACCGCGACATATTACGCCGCCAATGATAACGATCAATCGAGCAAGGATCTTGACGAGGAACCGAAGCTCAGTTTAGGTACCGTGTTGAAGAACGTGGATTCTATACACTTGATCTGCAAGAGTTTGGTATCGTCGCCTAATCTTTCCAACGATGACGAGGAGGAGGATCGCGCTCTTACTCCGTCTAACGTTAAAGAGGAGAAACCCGGCGTTAAGGGTACGAAGACGTCGAGCGCGACGGAAGAGAAGGAAACGACTGGAACCAAGAGTACGGAGGAAACGCAGAAACCAAAGTCCGCCACGCCGAATTTGAGTGCCTGGTTCAAAGCCTTCGGGGCGCCAAAATCAAAAAAGAAGGACGAAGAGGTAGAGGAGACCGCGCCGGCGAAGAAGGACGGGGATCTCCAGGAAGTGTTCTGCGGTAGGCAACGACGGCTTAGCACCGGTGGCAGTAGTGTCAGTGAATCGGTGTCCAGTTTCTCTCAGGAATCGCCACCGGCGATTCCGCGCGCGGCACGTTCTCCGCAATGTCAGCCCGCGATGACCCCGACCGAGCCGATAAGAGGCGCGGGATTTTACCAGGACGCCCTCTCGACCGGGAGCAGTCCTTACAACAGCCCTTATTACGCGACGCCACCGAGATACAGCGCGCAGTTGCCACCCACGCCGTCCCCGCAAAATCCTCATCCTCTGTCACCGGCCTATCCGTCGTCCTACGAGCAGCAATCGCCCGTCTATCCTCAGGTGCACGCGCAGCCGCCTTATCAGTCACCGTATCAGAAGTCCTCGCCCCAGGAGAATCCCAACGAAGCGTACTCGCAGATGTCGCCGCAACGTTTTCCGCAACAGTTACCCGCCAACAATCAGAACCAGTCTCCCGTCTATCCGCAACACTCCCCGCAACCTATGCAGCCGGTTTATCCCCAGCCATCTGCTCGCACGCCGCCGTCGAACTACTCGCAATCCTCGCCGCAACAACAACCGCCTACGCCGAATTATTCGCAACCGTCTCCGCAGCAGAACGCGATAGCTAATTACTCTCAGCCCTCTCCTCAGGCGGTCGCCAATTATCCGCAAGCTTCTCCGCAGCAGCACTCGTCCTACTCGCAATCCTCCCCGCAAACGCCGCCGAATTATTCGCAACCTTCCCCGCAGCAGCAGCAGCAACAGCAGCAGCACTCTCCGTACGCTCAATCCTCTCCTCAACAACCCGCCGGATACGGTCGTCTCTCCCCGCAGCCGCCACCAGCCAACTATTCTCAATCCTCGCCTCAACCACCCAGCGCTTACTCGCAGCCGTCTCCTCAGCCGCCGAATTTCTCCCCTTCATCGCCGCAAACACGCTCCTCCAACTACTCGCAGCCGTCACCTTCGCAACCGCTCAACTCCTCGTATCCGACTCCTCCGCAACTCGATCGAAGCTACCCGCAGTCATCGCATCAGCAGCAACAGATGCAGACTTTTCCTCAGCACGCTTCGCCGCAGACACAAACATCCCCGTTCTCCGAACCATCGCCGCAGAACAGCCCCTACACGCAAACGTCCCCGCAATCTCTGACCAATTACTCGCATCAGTCGTCGCCACAGCAGCCGCCACCGACGTACTCGCATCCGCTGCATTCGCCGCAGACGCCGCCAAACTACTCGCAGCTATCGCCGCAACAGACCCCAGGGACAGCCACGGCGGCGAACTATTCGCAACCATCGCCGCAGCAACAGTCTCGTAATTATCCGCAGTCTTCGCCTCAACGGAAGACCACGTGCAACCCGGCGACACCGTCGCAACCTTCGCCCAATTACTCGCAGCCTTCTCCGCAGCAACAACAGACGGCCAATTATCCTCAGCTTCAACCGAAAAGCTCGGACGAGTATCCCGCGGCCGCGGCGCCGCCTGCGGCTGCGAGTTATCCTCAGGATTTCAAGCAAAATCCCACGTACGTTCAGCAGTCGTCTACAATATCGTCATCCGTAAGTGAATCCGATCATCGGACGGAATATCTGAAGTCTAACGCTACCGAGAAACCGACGACTCAACAGAGCGAGACTCAACAGAGGAACTTCCCAGTTCAGTCGGAACCGTCGTTGAACCTAAACGCCGCGAATCATCAGATCTACCAGTCGCCAGGTCAGTATCCGCCAACGTATCCGAACAGTTTCCCCAACGTCGAGCTTCAGAGGTCCGTCTCGAGACACAGCGGCGGCCAGCAACAGGCGCAACAGCAATCGGCGCCGCAGGAGTCGCGGGACTTTATGGAGATCCAACCGCGCGGTGGCTACCTCGGCAAAACAGCGGCATCCAGCAACAGCGGGGAGCAACTGCCCGCACCTTCGCCGAACCAGCTGCGGGCGTACCAGGAGAACCTAACGACGGCCCACGAGTCGCTTTACCCAGGTGGTTTCCAGTCCGGTTATTCATTAGCGCCACCGAATTCGCGGCCGGTGTATCCTAGTCCGCATTATTTTGATGCCGGGTCCAAGTCCGCTGGAGGAGGCGGCGCAGGCGCGTCCGCCAGCCCCACCGCAATCCGCCTCCGATGAAGAAACGCGCGTACGAGCCGCCGTCCACCGCTGGCGGCGGTGACGCGTCGTCCGGCTCGCGCGGTCTGTCGCAGGAGAGCGCGACGGCGCGTCCGAGTCAGGAACAGTTCTCCAGTTTCGACCCGATGATGGCTCTGCCTCAAACGGAGGTCTCCGTCAGCCAGTACGACGGCACGCCGACGTTCATCGGCGGCCTGGCCGACTCCATGGCGGCTAATCCGGCGTACGCGAGACTCAGCCTCGGTCTCGTAGGCCGGACACCTACGTCGGATCGTAAGGAGCAGCAGCAGCAGCAACAACAATTACTGACCATCCCACGACCGTCGCCTGCAACGAAACCGGAACACCTCGCGGCTTACGGTCGCGGTGCCGAGGTTGAACAACTCAATCTGTTACAGAGTCTGGCGCAGAAGAACAGCCAGGGTATCCTGGCGATATCTCGAGGACGTGGCGGCGAGGGCGACGCGCGAACCGCGTCTTCCGCGGCTACGATGATGCCGTCCAACGCGCCGCCGTCCAAGACGAAGAGAAGCCGGAAGAGCAAGCATCCGCAGCAGCAGGAGCAGCAGAACGCGGCCGTCACAGCCGTCACGACGACGTCCACCGTCGTTGCGGCTGATCAACAGCAAGCGGCCGGTATAGCCGCTTTCCCGCAGTACGCCGCCGCCGAGTCAATCGGCGCCCTGAAGACAGCAGCCGGGGTCGCGGTACCCGCTGGCAGTGCCTTCAACTTCGCCGCTTCCACCAGCGGCCCGACCCCGGCGCCGCCGTTCGCCTACGACAAGGACGCGGCGGCCGCGTTCGCCTTCCTCACGGATGAGTTTCGCAATCCTACCAGCTATTACAACATGGCGCTTAGGCAGCAGCAGCAGCAGCAACAGCAACAGCAGCAGCAGCCGCCCTCGGTGGTGCCGCCTACGGTGACGAACGCCTCGGGTCAACCGACCGCCTGCAACAAGTTGGGTAATCAGCCGCCGAGGAACTATCCGCCGCCTCATCCGTTCCTGCATTCGGCCGCGGCTGCTGCGGCCGCGGCTCAGAGATCCTACGTCTCCCCGGTCTCCGCCTACATGACTCCGCACTCCAACCTGACGATGGATCAAACTGCCTATCAGCAGTACCTCCATTCGCTCTACGCTCTTCAGCCACCTCCGCCGCATCATCACAGACCATCCTGGCTTTAGCCGCTGAGATCCTTGGAAGATCGATTCGTGATGATGACAAATTGAACTTTCCCGATCAGATGGACCTCGGAATCGCGGCGTATCGAGAGGAGTAAGCGTTTAGGACGGATTGTCTTGATTGTCGCGCGATACTGAATGTTAATTGAAAGTCTCTTTGGCGAGCACGCGAGAGAGCGGTGTAGCCCCTTTGTTTGTATTCTTTTTTTATTTTATTTTATTTATACAAGGGACATCCTCCTCGCGACTTGTCTTTTTTATTGTTTTTTACGCAACTGACCGTGCGAGAGCTCTTTACGGAAGCTAGATAAGTAATGCCCTTTGTAGATTTCTTTAACTGCAGCTTCCTTTTTTACAAATGACCGACTCATTCGAATGTACCTTTGACATTTTTACACCGTTCGTCCGAAATGGAGGAAGTCTAGCTTCTATACAGTATAAAAAAATAATCTGTACATAAAGGGACAAGTCTACTTTCGATATAGGAATTTTTGATAGTTTTCTAAAAAATATGAGACCGACAGGTTTAATTAAGCTCTAATTAAGTCAAAGTCGCTTACGTCGAGAGTATGTCGATCACACGTCTATCAAAAGTTCCTCCGTGCAAAATGTCGGGTAAAATATATTTGTCAATAACAAGAATAATATACAGGGTGTCCCAGACCTGGTGGAAACGTTTTTAATGTGATTCATGGTATTATTTGGAGATGATTTTTCCATAGGGTTCTAAACTTTGGAAAAAATTAATTATCGCTTTAAATAACCAACTAATTAAAAATTAAAGAACGAGCTTCAAAATATGGGAATACATCCTTTAAATGGTCGTCAGTTTGATAATAAAAAATATTGAAAAACGACGTTTCAATATCTAACATAATGATTCGTACACTGGGTCCTAAAATCTGGAAAAAATAATTATCGCCTTAAATGACTGCAACTAATTAAAAAATGAAAGAGGGAGCTAAAAATGATGGCCTCCTTCAAAAAATGTTGAGGGAAGCCATCATTTTTAGCACATTCCCAATTTTTGGTATTATGTATCTTTATAACTAAGCCTTATATTAAAATTCTATTAAAGCAACTTTATCTAAAATTAACTGAAGAATGTAGTTTTGTTAATATTTTATTTCCACAAGGCTTAGTTTCCAAAAAAGCCTCTAATTTCAATTGCTTATAATTCGAAAATTATTGTTACGACATTTTCGCTGAGGAAAAGTCGTCTCCAAATGATACCAGGAATCTGCCATTAAAAATTTTTCCGCCAGTTCTGGAACACCCTATACACTTATGTATATATACACGAAGCAAACATTTTCGTTAAATTTTATTATAAATTTTATTATAAATGTTTCAATGTTTTTAATAACTTTGAGACAACTTGACATCTATGTAAATATTATATTGCATATGCAGATTATTGCATAGTAAAATTAGTAAAATTAGATTTCTTTATAATATAAATATAGAATATATACTTTTCTAATATATTATTAATGAGCAACAGAAAATATATCGCATATATTGTATTTATAAAATTTACATACGGTATATCTTTCTATTACTACTTCGAATTTGTTCTATTTAGCAAAATAAAACATCACAAGCTCCAACATTTTTCAAAATTAATTTTTATTAATAGATTGTTAAAATTTTACTTTAATAAAATTTACTTAAAAGGTACTTTAATAAAATTTAACCGAATGCATTTAATATTTTATTATAAGTGCATATTGATATATAAAAATTATATATAAAATACTTTAAAATGCCATGATTTTTAGAGTGTTTTAAGATAAAATTTTCTCGTGTATGTATATAAATATATATAAACTATTATTATATATATATAATATATGATATATATAATTATATATAGCAATTTTATATATGTATAAAATGCTTTATATATAGTATATAATATATATGTATGTGTATATATATATATAATACTTGTTTGCATGCAAATGCATTTTGCCCAACACTATTTCTCTTGACAAACGCACGCGCGAACGAATGTATGTCTTGTCGGTATGTGTGTGTGTGTTGAAAAAAAAACGGAATTATGCAATATTCGGATTTACGATTAATTATTAGTGACAAACAAAACCCCTGTAGCTCCGAGGTTCGGGTCCATGATTCGCTGAGTGTCATCTAGCTGTCGATTTTGCGTTGATTCTCTCCGTTCAGTCCGATTTATAGTGATTAATTGTCAATCATAGGAAGCGTATAGAAGAGCGAAACCGAAGAGAATTTTTATGTATAATATAAATATCGGACGCACTCTGTTGCTGGTGTATGTTATGTAGATTACTTAACATTGTAAGGCTAGTATATAAGAATTAGGCTTTCTTTGTATATATAAAACACATATCTCGCATAGGAAATATGCTCGATGTAAAGAGGGAGATTTGCAAAATCTGGGAAGATTTTAGGCTCCGATCGCGACAAAGAAAAAATCGCGAGAAAAAAAGAGATAGAGAGAAACGCATATATAATATAGTATATAACGAGATCACATATATGTATATATGCATATATATATAATATATATATATACAATATATTATATATATGTATACATATGTACAATATGTGTTCAAGCAAAGACACAAAGACAAAATATACACACGCCGCTAATTATCATGATTACATTCATTAAACTCATCTTTACGAATGGAACCACGTGCGGAATATTGCCAGGAAAATAAAAACAAGTGGTATATTGAAACTTATAAATATATACATATATATTGTAAATGTATATTGTAAATGTATCGATGACACAAATTAAAACACAGTTTGTTACAAAATATCGTAAAATTAATTCTGTGATAAGCCGACAAGCGCATTCTTTATGTTGAGAAAAAATTTGATATCATTTTTTTTATAGCGACGATTTATTTACATTTTATTAATATATGTTTATATGTTTTATATCTAGTTAATGTATTTCAATTTTCATATATCTTATATATACATTTCACAAAAAAACGAAGCTCTTGACATATTAAATAACATTTTTTTTATTTTTTCAATATTTTCTGTATTCAAAACAAGTGCATATTCAAGTTTCATAGGACGAATAAAAATTCTGAAAGTGCATTAAAAATTAAAAAAAGGTGAACAGATTTCTTTTCTTATATATTTGTATTATTTTTGGTTTTGTTTTGTATTTATTTTATATGCATCTATAAGGTAGTCAGAATACTCATCTATTTTATTTTAAACGCGTAAATAAATGCAAAAACCAGTCTTTTTTTTGTAGCCATTTATTATATATATTATGTAAAGAAATAAAAATAATTTTTGCATATTTTTTACACATCTTTAACTCGCAGGACATCGCACTCTTATCCTTTATCGCATAATTAAAGCTTATTCATCCCGAAAATTTATATATATATATATATTTTGGTAAATTTCCAGTCTGTGGTAATCTATAATTTATACGTATATTACATGTAATTGATGATAACAGACGGAAAATCCAGCTTAGTAACAATATAATAATCAGCTGACGGCGAGTAATGCGAGTAACACGTAATTGAAGAATCTGCAATCAAGACGCATTATTATGCGAGAAGACTAGCTATATAAATCGCGTTTAAATATGTCGCAATAAAGTCTCAATGAATCTTCGAACAGGTTCATAAATCTAATCAAGACATACATCTATAGTATATGAAGTATAATCCTATAGATAAAATTGCGTAACAGGCCGATAAAACGAAAACGAAAAAAGACCGCCAAAGTGCCTGTATCTATTCTATTCCTTATCTCCGTCTCGTGATTCGTCGAGAGAGTGACACAGTGACAGTATCTCGATTCTCGATTCTCGAGTGGCGGGTGACAGGTCGGTGAGCAAAGTGCGCGGAGAGGATCTTGGTTAAGCAACGTCTCGCGCGCGTGAGATGGTGAATATTATCGCGTACTCGATTAGCCCCGATTAGCCCGATTATTTGTCAGCACGAGGTAAAATTCGCCTTCTGGCTCTTCCTTATTTTTACGCGCGAACATCCATCGATAAATGAATGGCTTTACATCTTGACATGCAATTCCTACGTTGACACGTATATTGTATATAATATGCTGCATAATTCGTTGCTTATATAAATCGAAATTAATTATCTAGTTCTAGTCTTGAGAATATAGAAAATCTTGTTGCGAGAATTTTTCACGTGCATGATTAAGTGAATTTGTTCCTATTTCTTATTTTGACATATATACATAATATGGTTACACAATTTCTTTTTGTTCAAAAAACAGTACAAATTATAAATCAAGGACATTACTGACTGATCGTATACGAGCTGCAACATGTTGGAAAACGTAAATAAGGAATTGGCGCCTATGAAGTCGCATTATTTTCTTTACAATGCTGGTGAGTCATTTCTCCATTTTTATTTTTATAAATGCCTCTTGTATTTTGGATTTATTGTTTTTTTTTATTTGCAGCAACTGCACCAATGGTACAATTTTTGCCAACGATTGGAAAACAATTGGGCTTCTCTGGGACATTAGTCGGCACAATATACACAGTATTACCTATCTCTGGTCTGATTGCAAAACCATTGTTTGGTGGCTTAGCTGACAAATTCAGATTGCACAAGACTTTCTTTTTGATATTCCAAGTTTTATTGACAATAGCTTTCTTCTCTATTTATTTTATCCCTGAGGTGGACAGGATCGCAAGCGTGACTCTTATCTGTGACAGTACTATACCGTTTCTGAAGATTTGTCCACGGACCAAATTCTCACAGAAAACATTGAGCGCCGTAATAGTAGAAAATATCCATACTAATTCAGTTTGTGAGGTGTGTATGAATTGAATATAATTTTTCATTGCTTTCTTTCACATTAAATATATAACAAAAGTTAATAGTTCTTTTTATTTCTTTATAGTTATCCTGTGAAGGAATATCTCATGGTTACATAGAATTATCTGGCAAGAATGTTTCAATGAACAGCACATTTGATTTTAGTGCACAATTTGATATATATCAAGATTTACTTGTAAGAGATATTTGCTACAGAATATTTCATGTTGTTCTGGAGAAATAACATTAATAATCTTGATTCAAAAAATTTACAGACTAATGTTTGTGTAGATGTAAAGGTAAATATGTTTCTGGACAGTGTCACACATGTTCCAGTATGCGGGGACAATTTGAAAACTAGATGCATGGCAACCTGTCACAACAACAGTGCATTTAATCATCTTTTACAAGAAGCCAAAGATTCACACAACGATGCAAAACAATCTACTTACCAATTTCATCTATTTTTGTGGGCAGCCATAATAAGTTGGGTCGGAATGGCTGTTGTAGTCAGTATAGGAGATGCCATTTGTTTTGATCTTCTTGGTTTGTATTCATAACATTGCATAAATAATACTGATTTTGTGAAATGGCTTCTTTTATATCAAATATACTTCAGGTTACGAGAGGAGGAATGATTATGGGAAGCAGAAAATGTGGGGCAGCATTGGTTTTGGCTGGTTTGGTATAGGTGCGGGCTATCTGGTGGACCTTTCGAGTCAAGGACAGCACGAAAAAGATTACACTTGTATATTTTACATTATGCTGATAGCTATGTTGGCCGATATCCTTGTAGTATCTCTGACATTGAGAAAGGTACAAGAGTCTTGGATATATTTAGTTACACGATCAGATTAAAATTAAGATAATGCAGAAGTTTGGTATACTTCTTACTTATCAAGAGAATCCGAAATTGGCAGGTAATGGGAGAAAGCAGTATCGTTACAGAAAAATCCAGAATGCTCTACGGATGAACCGTCACTATTGCGGGAACTATTGAACGTTGTCAAAGAAGGGAGAGTATTGGTGTTTGCCTGGTGGTGCATAGGCGCCGGGATGTGTACAGCAGTCATTTGGAACTTTCTGTTTTGGTACAGCGAAGATCTAGCAACCAGCTCTCACATTGAATGGATTAAAACTCTACAGGGTCTTATGACCGGTGTTCAGTGTTTCTTAGGAGAATTACCTTTCAACTTTGTATCAGGCAGCGTATTGAAGAAACTCGGCCACATGAACGTCATGAGTCTGGTGTTGCTCATTTATGCAATCAGGTGAGTAATTAAAATATCTTGATATCTTATTATGTATAATTTATTATTTGTACATTGCGCTATGATAAAAATATCGATGTAATTGTCGCAGATTTATGGCATACAGCATTATATCAAATCCTTGGCTGTTTTTAATTCTTGAATTGCTCCATGGACCCTCGTTTGGTCTATGTTGGCCAACAATGGTGTCTTATGGTGATAAAGTGACACCATCTGGTACCAAAGCTACTATGCAAGGCTTTGTTGGTGCTGTCTTTGAAGGAATTGGTAAGTCGTTAACTCCTCGTGTAAATTTTTTTTTTTTTTTTAATATGCCCGAGTATAATTCTTTTTTTATTTTAGGAGTGGCAAGCGGTAGCTTCATATGTGGTTGGTTGATGGACACATTTGGAGGTGTTACACTACTAAGAACGTTCTCAGTAGGTGCACTCATATGGTTGAGCGTATTTTGGTTGCTGGAACTCTTACTGAGGAAGATGAAAGCCAATCCATTACAGCAAGGCCATAGTCGTGAGTAACGATTATGTGGATATGTAACAAAGTACATAGAGTTAGCATATTTTTTTAGTTCAAGATTCATAATTAAAACATCATATCGTATTCGTAAATATTTTAAAAAGTTAGATAAATGCATTAAGGAATCTGTCATCAAAATTATGAATTTTGAGAATATTCTATATATCGCATGTGTTAAAATAAATTTGCACTTTAATTAATATTTCTTATATCCGTTTTTCTCTTGCATATTTCACAATGTTTTTTTCTGTTTTCTTTTTTTCAGATTTAGCAAATTATGCCAATCCAGACGACGCTATTCTTATGACGATAAGTCAAGAATTGCAAACCTATTAATAGAGTAATTTTGCATGGGATGAAAATATTATTGCTCAATTGATAACTGAGCAAAATTAATCTTTCACTGCATATGCACTGCATGCTGAAAGAAATATTTGTCTTGTCGTAATATTTTGTCTTTTTATAATCACAAGAAATTTTAATATATCATTCAGTATTATATCATAAGTGTAATTTATGTCGCGCACACATACAATCATCTCTATTGTAATATATTTTTCTAAATTATCTTTTTCATTTATTTACCTTTGTATTTTCACACGCGCCAAAGATGATACCAAATTAAAATTTTGCTGAGATAAAAGTATTACAAATTGATAGTTTTGTGTGTGTATGAAATATAAAAATATAAATTGTAAAATTAATGCGTATCATGTGATGTTTAGATTTTGAGCATTAGAATTCGACAATTTTATCACATTGATTTCTTATTATTTATACGGAGTGCCTATTCAGAAAAATAGTTAATAGTAAAACTTATAAAACACTGTGACACCTTTACTTAAAAAATTTAGTCAATGAAAAAAACGAAGACTGAAAAACTACGAGAGAAAAAGAGAAAGAAATTAAAATTATCAAAGTTGGTCAGCAAAATATCTCAACCATTTATTTTCATCCATGTGAGTGAATCCATTTTCCATGAGTGGAGATATACCGAATAACAAATTGTTATAGAGCGTGTCTGTTCGATCGCAATCAGTCGATTAGCAACTTTCGAATCTCGCCTAAAATCTATCGATAAAAAGCTACAAATAACTTTTCTCGTACTGTTCTCGTATCGCGACATATTTCCAGTAAGTCGCAAACGTATATATATAATTTTATATATATAATCTTTGTAAATTCTGCTTTCATCGAGACGATATACAAAACTGTTGATGCCTTTCAGTGGTATCATTTAGTCCTGTTTCGGCATCGATAATCGTTGAGTGAGAGTACGCGATGGCGAAGTGGCTCGACCGTTGCTACTCGACGGTTCTATCATAGCTTGCAGATTAGAGATCTCGCCTGTCGCGGTTTCGCAACAATCGTTCATGATAATCCCGCCGCCTGGATGGATGAACGCGAGGCTACCCTCGCTGGACGAGGCCAGACTGGTCGAGAGAGGCGGCGACCGTTCCTTGGGCGATGCCGAGGAAGCAGGATTAGCCATAGGCGAAGCGTTCAAGCACGTAGCGGTCTCCAATTTGCCGTGAAGTTCGAGTATACGACCTTCCAGTAGCAGATTGATCTCCACCTGCGCCCGATATTTCGACTCGACAGCCTCCAACTCAGACGCGTGTTGCTCCTTCGTTTCTTGCAGGAATCGTTGCAGATCCACCAACTGTGTCTCCTTCCGTGCGTCTTTATTTTCTAACTCGCTCAGACGTGCCTTCAGCGCTTCCAGGTGTGATGTTCGCGATTCCAATTGTCGCCGAATATCTGGAAAAAATTTGATAAACGTGTAATTTTGTCCTAGCGTGTAAAAATGTCGTTTTAATTTTTTATTTTCGTATTCGAACACTTACTATTCAATTCTTCCGTATATGATTTCTGAACTTGCGCCGCTTCTTGTTTAACCGTCGGTGACAGAGTACTTGTATTTTCTTCAAGTCTTAATTGTGCCTGTGCAAAAATAAGAAAGATGTATTCAATTATATCCTGTAATAATATCTTTTACAGATAAATTCGACTTAAATTTTTTTATAACTAATTTTGCTAAAATTTTTTTAATTCGAAATTTGTGGAATGCGTACCTCTCCTAAAAGCACGAATTTTTTCTGCATAACATCCACAGTGCGTTCCAATTCTTTACTGCGATCCGCAGCCTTTAGAGCTGCTTTTAATTGATGTCCTGCAGTGAATAATTCCGCCTCGGTAGAACGAAGTTGTTGCTGTATTTCAGCTGCCTTTTTTTGTTCGCTTTTCAATTCCAATTCAAGACACTCTAAACGTTCCTTGAATGCATGACTTTGTCGTTGTTCCTCGACGCACTGTACACATAACAAAAAAATAAGTTAGTCTTTTAATCTTGTATAATTTCTTGCAGTATCGTAAAATGAAATTAATATATGTTTAAAAAAGTCATACTTTAGTTTGCCAATGATGCACTGTTTCTTTATATTGTTCCTCAGCTTGATGCGCTTCCTTTTTATTATGTTCTAGTTGCGCTTTCAATGCTTCTACTTCTCTTTCTACCATTTTTAACCGATCGGTCTACAAGAAACAATATCAAATTTATAAATAATTGTACATAAGAATGTGATAAATATTATTGCATGAAAAGAATTATGAACGGACCAAAGCAAGATTATTCTCTTCCGAAGCTCTCAAGTCCCTCGATTTACCGAGCAAACGTCGATTACGTTCCGCATGAACTTCTCGTCTTTGCCTTTCAAATTGCAGTTGCATTTGCATTAATTGAAGTAATTGATTGGCGCAGCTTGGATCTATGCCATCATCGTCTCCTCCGTCCTCTTCCACATCATCATCTCCTTTCTTCTTTTGCTTCAGCCTGGCGCCGTTTGTTTCTGTAAAAAAACCTGGTGTTTCACTTTGCTTGTCAGAAATATTCCCATCCTTACACGTTATAAATATGGTATTTTATATTTACTCGTTTTGCTAGAGAAGCTATTCACTCTTGTACAAGTCTCGATATACCGATCGAGCATGCTAATTGGTGACAGTCTTGAGTCGGAACCTTCTTGGTTACAGTTTTGGCTATTCTGATCTAACAGTCCCAGGAACAGATATTCATACGGAAATAATTCACACGTTTGAATGCTAACATCCTCGCGTTTGGTCGTCCCTATTAATTTCGGTTCATCTGTTACGTCTTCGCTGTATTTTTTCTGCATTTCCATATCCGGACAAGATTTAGAATGCCGAATCTGCGTGAGAACGTAAGCATTTGTTTCCATCCATTATAATCGTTGCAATGCAAATACATTTTTCCAAGTTCTTTTAGTCTCACCTTGTGCGTTACGTGTGAATCCGAGTCCTCCGACGGGAAATGACGTTGAGAATACAGTCGAAGTTTATAAATCTGCGATATCGAATCAGTTAGGGCGTTGACTGTATTCTTCTCATTTCGTGTTTCGGACTTCAATTCGACGTATTTTGGCATTTCAATTGTTCCATTTCCATGTGAACTAACTATCTCCAGTATCTGCATTACAAAATTATATGTATATATGATTTCACTTAATTTTTTATATAGAAATCCATCAGATAAATTGGAATTACCTCTTGATCTTCTTGCTCAGAATCATTCTTCCCGTTTTGACTTATCGCCATTTCTAAGAGCCTTCCATTTTCTTCGCTATTACTCACTGATCTTTGCTGTTGTAGAACACTTTGTCTATCGGTCATAATCTTATTTAGCCTATTCGACAGAAATCCATGTGTATTCCCTGCAACATCCATACTTCTCACTGCAGAAGAGGAATTTACGGAAGTGGGCGTTGATGGCCGAGAAGATGCACTGTTGCTCAATGCATTTAGAGCACGAACCGCGCTGGATCCCAAAGGCGCTTGTCTTGTTGTTAATTTTCGTAGATCCTGCATAAGATGATAGAAAATGATAAGAAATGTCTCTTTTTTTAGAATACATGTATCACAAGATTATTTCCATATACCTTGACAGGAGTCGTTTCAGGAGTAGCTTCGATAGCAGCCTCGGGCGGTGAAGTACCACTTCTATTATTATTAGGCGTCGGCGGGGCAGAACGTGGCTCGTGAGATGTATTTTGAAACGGCGGACTATGCGGCGGTACCGCCATACTGGGTGACCAGAACGTATCATCCTCCCCATTACTTATCTCCACAGTTGTTACTCCTCCACAGATGTTGATTGGTGCACAAGTAATGGAAGATTGATCTGCAGAGGTAAATAAGATACATAAATAAGTAAAATGTAATTTTTTATTTGCATTTTTAGACATGAAGATGATCATGCTGACCTAGAGGTGGAGTGCATCGAGAGTTAACTAAAATTTCCTCTCGACATTTGTCTAATGTAAAACGGCCACATTCAATCACGATATCGTGATGTTCCATCTTTTTCCATCTATTAAATGGAACAAAAGAAACAACATACAACTCAGTAATTTAAACATTACATGAGATATATTATTTCTCATATATAGCGAAAATATATACCTAGTGGCTGAAATTTCTGCATCCTTGGATGCCGTAACAAGCAAAGGATGCATACGCACAGAATCCAACATAGGTCTAATAGTATGAGTAAACGTAGCCAATTGATCGCGTTGTATTGCGTGCTTCAGGTATGATATAAAATTGCAAGGATACATCGCATACAGTCTATTAAATAAGTTGTTTAATCCTACCTACAATAGTAGGGTAGTAAGTGAAATTTTTGTTAGCTTCTCTATATATCTTATTTATAAATGGTTGTTAAATATTCACCTGCAAATGTATGAGGTACAAATGGTCCTTGTCGATGACATTCGGTACTGCAGTCGAAGTAAAAGGGGTAGAAGAAGAAAGTAAAGATGACTGATAATAATAATAAGAGGCCAAGCGGCCGAATACCTCAAATATTTCTGGTAGATATGGCCCTAGGGCAGCAGGTAACATTGGTAACAACATTACTAATAAAAGTAGGGCACTCATAAGTGGTAATATATCTGCCTCCACCTTGAAAAATAATCTTGCAAAACTATCTATCTAATTCTTTCCAATATTTATAAACTTATTTCTAAAAATAAATCTTTAATATTATATGACTTAACATTTAAATTTAATTTTAATTGTGATTTGTATCAAATATCATTTAGTAAATAATTATATAAAAGTTATATATAAATTAACTCTAAGTAAATTATATATAAGTGAAATAATTTGTAACAATAACTAAAGGCACATGTGATCGAATTAATAAAAAATAAAATTAATGTGTATACATGTAAATGTTTATATCTAATAAAAAAAGAGGAAAGAGATATATTATTACCTTAAGTAATTTAAGTAGATCTCTGAATAAAGCATGACTGGCTAGCTTGTACAACCAAGTAGGTTGACGTCTGGCTATATGGCCGAGCAATGTGAGCGCTTGTATTCTCTGTCCGCTATTACCACTTTTTGAAAGGATGTCTGATAAACGATCTAACAAATGCTTGTCATGTGGATCTCGAACTCCTGCTAATACTTCGGCAGTTCTCAAGGAATTTGTGGAGAGATAATAATCAAATAATCCATTTACCAACCAATTATCTTTTGCTGCAAATGTGATCCAAGTTAAGTAAGAGAGTACTATGTAATTACTCTAATGAAGTAAGTATATAAGAATATTACTAACTGCATAAGAAATGATCATGGAATACTTTCTTGATCTCCTCCACTTCTCCGAGTTTATTGGATTCAAGTAGGTAGAACAACTCAGCAGCACTGGTACTCATTTCGATAGTGGTTTTCAATGGTGGCTCGGTTCTAAAAGTGCTATTCTATCATGATCCTTCGATCAGGCGGTAGAAATCGGTCTGATAACGTCGCTTCGAGGCATTCGCCGCCTATCATGCAAGACAGACATCGTATGGAGTGATGATGCTGAAGTACCTACAGAAAAAAACAAAAATTACATATACATATAAAAAACAAACAAAATTCAGCAGGTCACCAGAATATCAGAAAACAATCCTAATTCTTCGTACTACAGTTAATTATTTGCAATATTATACCGGAGTACTCAAACGGGGGGAGGGGACGAAATATCAATCGCGAGACTTAAAAGCGAGCTAGGTAATCGTGTCCTGGGCAAGAACGATAATCCTGCGAGTTCAGAATCGCCTATAAATAATGATCAAATTTATATAACGAACTGTCAGCGGAAAAATTCCATCTCCTTTTTTCCCCCAAGACAAAACGGAGAAGAGTTACGGGGGTCCCACGGTGTAACCGCAAAACTGTCATTCGCGTTAACCGGTCGATGATCCTCGCGAAACTCCACGAGACGGGTTCGTCGAGGTGTCGAGTAATCGGATCGTAAATTCACGCTTATCCAAAGACGAATTATTAACAGAATAACTCACCCGAATCTCATCGAGTATCCCGAGCAGATTTCTGTGGGTTCTATGGCGACTGGTGACTACGACGAGGAGGTGGAGGAAGGGGAGGAACTTCCATATATCTCTTCCTCTAGGCCGCCTCCGCGCTGCCATCTGGTCGCTGCGTGTCGAGCATTGATCGTTCGATGGACCTAGATGGGACTTCGTTCGTTCGAAATGGAACTGTCAAACGAACTGTCAAACCGACCAATGGCGATCGACGTTTCTAGGCTTTTTCCCTAGACCGACCAATCGGGAGACCTCGTGGACAATCAGCTGTTTCGTCGGTCTCGGCTGGGAAAAAAGCGGAGTCACGTCCCTATATACATAGGTATATAGTTTCGGGCGAAGTATCATATGTGATCGCGATCGGATCATATGATTCGCACACGCGCGAATTGCGCTGCCGTGCGCGAATTTCTCTGCAATTTTTTTATCTCCGAAATTTGAAATTATGCAGAGTCTGACCAGGTGCTCGAGGCGGCACTATGTTGCATTCAGCCGGATATTTAATTTTCCACCGAAAAATGTTTATCTCCCGAGGGAGAGGAGCCTGCTTGACGTCAAGCACTCGAGTTGCGCGCATAGGTTATCTCTCCCCGTGTCTTATCACGCAAGTATCCGATGGTTTGTGATACCTTCTTCCGACTCCTATTTACATTTCACATTTAATTAGATTTCCTTTTAATTTTGATCAAAATTTAAAATTAAAAATTTTTATTAAAAATTCTTATTAAAAAATGTTAACTTTTATTAATTTAATTTTATTTTAATAAATTTAATTTTTATTAAAAATTTGTCATTAAGCTTGATTAACAATTAATTTTTAATTCATAACATTGTTCTTCATATGATGTATTGCTGATGAACTGAATGGTTATGAGATTTTATAAGGAAATGTCATTGATGAAAATGTGTTTGTTTTCAGGCCTACAAGAAGATACGTAAGGAAATTCATGCCATACAAACTGCTTTTTTGCGTGGCAGCAGATTTACCTTTTCTCCAAGATTTGATAATGTCAGATATTTTAATACAACGTGTAGTAAGTTCAATAAGCAATCTTCAAAGGAATCAGGTCCTGAAAAGTCGGATAAGGAGCCTGGTAATGATGAAGAGATGAAAGCATTTCTTCGTAAGCTCTCCATGTGGTTTATACTATTATATGTTTTCTTAATCGCATTGAGGTATCAGATAGACACATCAAGTACAGAAGTGAGTTTTTGTCAATTGCTGTTTTACACAAAAATCATTACAAATTGAAGATGTGAGATTTTTATTTACTACTTCTTTGTGAATAGCCTGCAGCTTCTGTCTCCTGGAATGAATTTGTGTATCATATGCTGAGTAAAGGAGAAGTTGAAGCAATTATTGTGAATCCCAATATTGATTTTGTTATAATTGTGGTACATGATGGTGCCATTATCAAGGGAAGAAGGAGTCCATATAAAAGATATCATATGGTTGTTCCAAACATTGAACATTTCGAAGAAAAGTTGAGGAAAGTGGAGAAAGGTCTTGGTATCAGGGCTGGTGGGTAAAATTTGCAATGTGATAATAAGCAGTGTACATTGGAGAGATTCCATTTTTTACAATATTTTTTTAAATTTTTTAGGTCAAGGCGTACAAGTGATTTACGAAAGGAAAATAGGATATATAGCGAGTATCCTAAGTTTCTTGCTTTTCTCGTTGCTGGCTTTTGGTATCTTCGCTTTCATGAGAAAACGTTTCTCTTTCAAACCCTTTGAGATTATTTCGCAGATGAAACAAGCAAAGTTCACGTTGGTCGAGCCGTTAATGGGAAAGGGCAAGGGTGTACACTTCTCGGATGTAGCAGGATTAAAGGAAGCTAAGATAGAAGTGATGGAATTTGTTGATTATCTAAAACATCCAGAACGTTACAAGGTACTTGGTGCTAAAGTGCCACAAGGTATGCTTAAATATGTATATGGAAAATTATCAGCGTTTTTATCATTTATGCTATAAAATCGGATATAAATGCATTTTCAGGTGCCTTGCTTCTGGGACCTCCTGGTTGCGGTAAAACGTTATTAGCTAAAGCTGTGGCGACTGAAGCAAGTGTTCCCTTCCTATCCATGAATGGTTCTGAATTTATCGAAGTTTTCGGTGGTTTGGGTGCGGCTCGAGTTAGAGATCTATTCAAGGAGGCGAAAAAAAGGTTTGATGCTCTATTGTGTATTTTTTTAATATATGTATTTTAACAATATTAATATTTGCACCTTAATGAAACTTTCCACAGAGCACCCAGTATTATATACATCGACGAGATTGATGCAATTGGCAGAAAACGTTCAGACAGCGCGCTTGGAATTTCCAACAGCGAGTCCGAACGAACGTTGAATCAGCTTTTAGTAGAAATGGATGGAATGATAGCAAAGGAGGATGTTATTATATTGGCTTCGACGAACAGGGCGGACGTACTGGATAAGGCGTTACTAAGACCTGGTAGATTTGACAGACACATTCTGATCGATCTTCCTACTTTAGAGGAGAGGCAACAAATCTTTGAGACTCACCTCAAGAAGATATCTTTACGAAGCGACCCTTCGAAATATTCGGGATACTTGGCTTATCTTACACCGGGATTTAGCGGTATTCTTTTAATCAATTCAACGGACAATATTTTATTAATTCGGCATAATATATACAGCGTTTGACCGAAAAAAAGTGTCACCGAAAATATGCAAGTAGATCTCGTTATTGGAGATTTTTCCTCAACAAAAGTGTCGAAGGAGCTCATCATTTTTTGCATGTTCCCAATTTTTGACATCATGTATCTTTATTTATAATTAAATTTTAAATTAAAATTTTATTAAAGTAAACTCTACTTGAAATTTATTGGAGAATGTGGTTTTATTAATATTTTATTTCCAGTTTGCGAAAAACTCTTTATTTTTAATCGCTTATGATTTGAAAATGATTGATGCCTTAATATTTTTAAGGAAAAATGTCTCCAAATAATAAGATCTACTTGTATACTTATTTATACCTTATGTCAGATATCCTGTATATGAAATTTTTTATTTCCAGGTGCTGATATCGCGAACGTTTGCAACGAAGCAGCGTTGCACGCCGCGAGGGACAAGAAAAAGCAGGTCGACAGCAGCGATCTCATGTACGCGATCGACAGAACGATCGGTGGCTTGACGAAGAGAAACAATCCGTTGACTCCATCCACGAAACGTGTCGTCGCCTACCACGAGGCCGGTCACGCGCTAGTAGGCTGGTTGCTGGAACACACAGACGCGTTGCTCAAAGTAACGATAGTACCGCGAACTAATCTCAGTCTGGGATTCGCGCAATACACTCAATCCGATCAGAAGCTCCACAGTGAAGAGGAGCTCTTCGAGCGAATGTGCATGATGCTGGGTGGTCGAGTAGCAGAATACATAACGTTCGACAAGATCTCGACGGGCGCCGAAAACGACTTGAAGAAGGTGACGAAAACGGCGTATCTTCAGGTCCAACAATTTGGCATGAGTCCGGCCGTGGGTTTGGTTTCTTTCAATGAAGAAGCTACTGACCCGGTACGTATATTAAATAATTTCGCAAGTCATTTGTCACGTTTGAATATGTATATTCACAATTTCCTTCTTCTTCTAGAAAAATAAAAAACCATATAGTAGAAAGTTGGCGAATCTAATGGATGCGGAAGTGAGGAGAATAATAGGAGAAGCATACGAACGAACTCGACAATTACTTTTGGACAACAAAGATAAATTAGATAAAGTATATATATTTTATCAAAGTATATACTTATATATGGATCTATTCTCTAAAATATTCTATAATGCTGTATCTCTATAAACTATCTATCACAGTAAAGCAAAAGAGAAAGAGCTACAGAGCTTATAGAACGAAAATAAAATATAAAATATTTCTATCGATTTTCAGCTCGCGGAAGCTCTCTTAGAAAAGGAAACATTAACATATGATGACGTAGAGAAGTTAATCGGGCCGCCGCCGTTTGGGAAGAAACGACTTATAGAACCAGCAGAATTTGAAAAATCTGGTCCAGAGAATCCTAGAGAATCCCCGTCGATAGACAGAGCAACAGTATAGTGAAATACTATATTAAAATATGTTTTTGTAGATATTTATACTGTACAAAGGTTGATATAATATAAAATATCAATATTGACAATTCAATTTTTTTTCGTAAGTTATTTACAACACTTGTAAATTTTTTGTTATTATACCCATAGGTATCTTATTTCCAATTTATGTATATTTCATATTATTATTCATTATTATGTTTCATAATTTATATCGGAATAGGAATAAACAAAATTACACGAATGGAAGAAGAATACCTTTTATTTAGACATTTAAGTAAAAACACACAAAAATTTGCTAAGACGCGCAGCCTGTGAAAAACATATAAAATTTTAATTTGTTAAATCACAATTATACTTTTTTTATTTTGTTAGTATTATCTTTTTCAATAAAAAATAGATATGCGCTTTTCTATGTTAATATATTCATATTTAAAAAAATCAGAATAACATTATTTCTTGTACTCTATAGGCATCTTTGTTCTTTTTGTTACAAAGATAATCGTCTTTCATTACAAAGATAGTTGCAAGAATACAAATGTGCAACAAGTTGATACATTGAGTACTTGGCATATATGCATTTGATTTGCTCTTATATGGAAGGGAATATCATGCAATCTCAAATATGCAGTCATATATCAGGAATTACATCGCGCAATGTAATTGTGTTTGTGGTCCTCATCGATCAATAATCAATCTGCATCTTAAATCTCTTGTTATCTCTTGTTATTTGACTTTTTAAAAAAAATTATAGAAATCTAATAAACTTTCTAGATTGTTTAACAACCTATGCTAATATGACAGCGGCAATTATAATATCATATAATATTTAATTAATTATAACAGAGAAACTTAAAAAAAAATCTATGGCAAACTATTATATGATATATACAAATCGATTTTGTCAAGTTAAAATTATATTATTTATGCCGCGATTGCACTCCGTAATACATATACTATATATTACATAGTAAATGTATACTATATATAATATATAGTATATATAATTTAGAGTGTATTACATAGTTATATATGTATATATATATAATGAACCAAAATCAATAAAATATAGAATGTACTTAAAAATATAAGAAAGAACGATAAAGATATATCGACAAAGAATATATATATATGTTTCTTTACGTCGCAAATATTAATACGATCAGATGTGTAGCGCTTTAATAAGCGTGACAATATCACATACTCGATATTGGCGCCACGTAAATTCTAGGAACAATTATTACTCGAAGTTTTTCAAATTATGGACAATTTTGATTTTTTTCTGCCCTTTTGTCTTAATTATTTGAGCAGGAGTCTTCGAGTTTTTTTTTGTATCACATTTAACGTTAATACTTACTGTTTAACGATTAAATCTTTGATAACGCCATTAAGAGCTCGCTCCAAATGCGAACCATCCCAATAGATCTTTCCGCAGTGCTCGCAGATATAAAAGACCTGTACGTTCTTCAGGACATTCGGCGGAACCTTGTCAATTTGTATTCGCATTTGATATCTCGTAGTACATGTGGCGATGTCAATGGTGTCTACAGACAGACGCCACGTGCGATGCTCGCTGTTTGTGCAATAACTGTTCGGATTCAGAGCGAATTCGATCTCGTCGGTCGAGCTATAGCCGTCGATGCCGACATTTCCTGCGCCGTTGGCTTGATTGGGCAGCACTCGATAATTGTTCTTCCTTATAATTTTTACAAAGCTAAAACGAAAACAAAATGATTGCTTTTGTTACATATAACATATTAAAAGAAAACAGGATTGTGACAACAAAAACGAAGCGATATATGTAGATCGAAAGTAGCATACCTTTGCACAAGATCGTCCATTAATTGCTTCGGGACTTTGACGAATTCGTCGCAATTACAAATTTGACATCGACTGAAAATGTCATTCTGTGTGACGATGACACCGAAACAACGTAAGACTTCGCGCAATTGATTGTCAGGTGTATCTGCCAATACCCTGTAGCAGTTCTCTAGTGGTAGATACTGCTTAAACTGCAATATATAATAAAAGAATTATAATAAAATATGATAAATTAATCATTACAACTATTATATTATTTAAGTATTATTACTATTAATATTATATCTATTATAAATAGAACTGTTATATATTATAACTATTATAATAGCTATAATTATAACTATTAATATATATTATATTAATATAATATATTACTATTAATATAAACTATAAATATATTATAATTATTATAAGGCAAACGTGTAAAGCGGATCTTACTCTTTCATAGTTTTTGTTACGCGTCAGTAAAATCCTATTTTCACGCATTGCCAATCTGGCGGAATCGTCTCCACCCTGATCAAACAAGACGTGAACGCAGTCTACGCCGCACATCCGTAATTTGCTGCTCAAGCCACCCAGCATGGAATCGCATACAACGCGCCATGTATGCGCGGCGACTGGGTCCTCGTGATGTCGCCGTTGCACCCTGGGTTCCGGTTCATTCATCCCAAACTTGTCTCGAAATCTACTCTGAACATCCTCCCGTCTATCGACTTGTTTGTCGTATTTATTATAATTATAGTTATCGCGTCTACTTTGATTACCGTATCTGTTCGGCTGATCGTATCTATTGTGATTCTCGTAATTGTCGAATCTATTCTCATAATTATCGTATCTCTTTGGATTTTCGTATCTTTCATCGTTAGTTGCTCGCGTCATTCCAACATGTGCATATCTAGTGTGATTATAATTATCGTAGTCGTCATATCTCCTTTGGTTACCGGACCTTGGATTATCATTAGTTATTCGAATTACCCCAACACGCGCGTATCTGTCCCGATTCTGATTATCATGATTGTCATATCTCTTTTGGTTATTGTGTCTTCCATCATTAGCTACTTTAAGTATTCCAACATTTGTAGATTTATTCTGCTTGTTATGATATCCCTGTTTGGGCGCAGGTTTATATTTAGGCGCTGTTTCATATTTTGGTAAAGCTCCTGTGTTCGCGCGATAATTCTCGTTGCCTCTATCAGGCATCGTTGGATTTGAATACATAGGTTTCTGTAAAATAGTTGGATCTCTAGATACATATAATACATAAGGAGTACATAACTGAATTTCAATATGTATATAGTATTTCAAACAATATTTATTCTCATAAATAATCACACAACAGCACATCCAAATGCTGTTATATAATATATAAAAATAATATATAAAAATAATATATAAAAATAATATATAAAAATAATATACAAAATAATATACAAAATAATATATAAAAAATTATATAAAATGTCCTCTTTCATTAACAAAAAAAAGCAGTTTATTATATTTTCCAAATAACAATATTAAATAATTAATAAGTATTAATATTAAAAATCATTTTCTGTTATTTTTTTACCTTATGTGTGGTTTTACTCATATTGTGTTTTTTATGTGCCTGCGGAATATGCTGTATTTCAGCACAAATATCTTCAAATGGTATATCCAAAGCTGCTGAATAATCTGCTAATACTTTATATATTTCCAATAAACAGTAAGCATCCAATGCTATCATATAAAACATATATATATTAACACACACACATATATATATACACACACACACACACACACACACACACACACACACACACACACACACATATATATATATATATATATATAATATATACATAAAGATATATATACATTACATAATTAGAAAAAAAAAGAGATTACTAACCAGCATATATTATTTGACTTTCCCTAAGAGGTCTTAGCTCCCAATTTGAAAATTGATCAGATTTGTCCAATCTTTGTCCAAAACATAATTCTACAAGTTTACTTAAACTCTTGCTCGTGAAGTTTGGATCACCGTTGTATGGAAAAATAAAATTGTAATCTTCTGCTAATTTTCTCCACAAAATCATCAAATCGAGATATCCTTGACCATGTGTTTTAATAGATGATAGTATAGGTATACTATTGCGTATCACTGTCATGTCGTGTGCTATTCCAAATCCTGTGATAATGTATAATTTTAATTTCAATACTAACATTTATACTGTTTTTAGTGATCATAAAATCTATCATAGTAATATTAATTGTCTGATTTGAATGTAAAATATTTAAAAAATATATATATTAAAAAAAATGTGTATCACACATAACTATATAAAATAATATAAACAATACTGTTTCAAATATTTAAAAAAGCACTTACCAATTTTAACAATATTTTTATTTCCGAATAACATAAGACCAAGTGCAGCCCAAAGTTCAGATAATTCATTACCAAGCGTAGTTACGTCCAGAATATAAACATTATCCTCAGTAGCTACCTGAATAAGCGCTAATTCTGGTTGCTTAGTTCCTATGCATAAAAACACATAAAAATGATTTACATAAAAATATATCGCAAATTATTTCTTGCTTTTGTTTTGTGTTCTCAAATTTTATTACCAAAGCTAGGTTTCCACTCCAAGTCAATTCCAACTACAGCAACATTTCTCAATCCATTATCAAGAAATTCTTCAAATAAACGTCCATTATCTACTACAGTAATGCATTCTCTTGGTAATTTTAAGACATGATAATTTATATTATCATCAGCTGGTTCCCAATTTTCATCTCTACTTGTAGAAGCTCCATCATTTATTCCTATAAAATAAAATATAATAATCAAAAAAATATGCAAAAGCAATTAAATGTCGAATGTATACTCAAATGACTTAAACAAGATTTAAATATTAATAATTTTAAATTTAAGTAGCCAATAAGAATTAAACGCAGAGAAATTAATCTCAATTTTTAATTTCTTCGTATCACAAATAATCAGTTTTAACGAAAATTAATTTCTTGAAACAACCGCGTTTGGTTCTTATTAGTCGTTTAGTTTATTGAGAAGCTTAAATTTTAACTGACAAGATTGATGTTCACAGTATAAAAACTTCGAGACTCTTCCTCGCTCGTAAAAACTTATAATATTGTAGATATTTCTCAAAACGCAAATGTAAAAACAAATTGTAGAGCATTACCTTGCGCACCTTCTTCTTTTTCTGCATCCATTATCAACCATGGCCATTCCTGTTTAGGTATTTTATATTCCTTTGCCCAATATAAACCTTCTTGTGCATCATTGACATTAATTAACATAAGAAGCAATTCCCTTTGTAATTTGTCATCATTTCCTATTGCCTCTCTTACCATCTCTCTCCAACTAGCAACATCTGTGATAAAAGAAGCAATTATATAAAAGATATTAATGTTTCCACAAGATAATGACTTTAAATAATTGTAAAGACTGGATACTTACTTAAGCTACCATCCACATAATGTTTATGTATAAGAAACTGCAATGCTCCCTCGTTTCGTTTTGTATTTAAATGTGGACATACATCAGGCGACAAATTGTACTGTTTTATTAGACGTGCAACAAGCTTAGTTATCGGACGAACTTGTGTTAACGATATTTTAACTTCCGGAATATCATTATCTCTGAAAAGATTTATTTTCATGAAAATCTCGATTAACTAATGATAAGATTAAAATTTCGTATATGCGAATGACTAAATAATCACTCACTCGATAAATCGTTCTAGTATGATTTGTACATTTTTTCCTGGTGCTATCAAATTATCTAAGTAAGTCGTCAAGGCTTTCTGAACTTCTGGGCAGTCAACTAGAAATTCGTCAACTACTTGTAACTTATTTTGTAATATAAGTGGTAATAACAATATTTCTGGATTCATAAAATGACTCTGCAATTGTAACATTGCAGCATATTGTGCAGCCTCCTTATATTCTTTCTCTTGTATCATTTCCTACAAAAAATATATATATCCAATATACACACACATATACATATAAGTATTGCACAAAATTATTAATTTTTGATAACATACTTTTATTGTTTGTAAAAACATATCTTTATGTTCCACAAAATCATATATGGTAGACACCTTCTTAATTAGTAGCATCTGTTTCATATTTTTTTGCTTTATTAATTTGAAAGCTGCTAGTTTCAAATCAGGAACAAGAAATTCTGTATAACCTTCTTTTCTCTCTTCTATCCAATTTGAAAATTCTTCTATCACTGTAACATGAACAAAATAATTTAGTTTCAGAAAATATACAATATACAAAATATACAGTATAAAGTTACAAAATAGTTTAATTTCAAAGAAATTTTAATCTTTAAAAACAAACTTGGAAATATTGTTTCAAACTATTATTTCAGAAAATAATTTGATAATTATTTACAGAATGTACCTCCTTGACTTTGATATATATTGTACAGATCAAAATAATTAACTTTATTTTTAATCTGCTTATCTGCATATATTGTTTTAGGAATTATACAATTATTAAGCTCAAAATCATTGGAGGTGTATCTGTTAATACAAATATAAATATATCAAATATTTGGTTTCTATATTATGTAAATATATTTTAAATAAAGAAATTAACAATCATATACATTGCAAAAAGAATTAATTAAAAGATAAAAACCTGCAAATGCAAGAGATTTGCTATTTGTCATGTGATCAAAATCAGTGGTGTTGACGAGGATTCTCAGAGTGCTGAGATATGGATTTGGTGCTGTTTCAAAGTAGTCCGTTAATGTTTTGCTAACACCATCGCACTTCTTCCCTATAATTGATTCAATTACCAATTAATGCATGTGTTAAGTGATTATATAATCAGGAAAAATTAATTAAAAGTTAGGTATTTTAAACAAAATGCATATTCCTATTCTTTTAATGACATTTATTGATTATTTGAAATCATTTTAGTCTCTTGATTGTAGATTATCAGCAGCTATTAAAGATGTATAATATTAAATAATAGTTCAACGATATATTTAAATATATACATAAATAAATTTAAAGAATGCCTGTGTCCTTCCATGACCTCAGCAATCTTTGTGCTTATTATTAAGAGTATCCTAACAAAAGAATGTTGGCAGTGCTCATGTTTGTTGACACATATAATGTCATGTAATCAATGTCAAGTACTTTCTAATTAACTGTCAGTTATATTTCAATTTGTACGACTCTAGATATCTTTGGATGAGTGTGCTAAGTCACCTGCTCTTAAAACTTTAGTTCAAATAATGTTTTCTTCAATACTGGACGTTAGCTTCTATTTCACGCAATCTGTCAAATTTCAGTGACATACTTCCACTGCTATATAATTCTTTCCTTGAAATCCACTTGCAATCATCTACAAATTGCTGAAGTCTCTTAAGGACGAGTGCACTCTTTTAAATTAATTTACGTATGTATTATGATATATATGTCAACTATTTTATATCCTACATTTTATTGTTTTACACTTTGTTTAATAGTTGCTGTTGACAGTTCACCAAGAAATTATATACATTTACCTAAATAATCAATAAATCTCAGGAAGGTAAGAAAAAGCATCTGCACTTTGTTTATCTCGCGCTTGGTTAATTATAATCAATTTTTCGAATTATACGGATGTTAAATACGAGCCTTTGGCTTCGTTTTTTGCCATAAAAATATGTACGAAAAAAAATGTCCTTACATAGCGCCCACATCCGATGCAGAGTGTCGAGCCACGCTTTCGTGGCATCGTCTATAGACGAGAAGAACAATAAATCCATGTCGACGTCCCGATGACGAAGCTTACTTTGACAGGTCGTGTGATTTTATTTCTCGGCCACTGGTCGTATTCAGAGCTCGTTCTGGTCAGGAATATCGCGCGGCTGTCGCGTTTTAAATGACCCAGAGAATCGACGTCAACGAGAACGAAAATTCGGCGCGGATCCTCCTCGTGATGCGAGAAACAATGGAAGAACAGCAACGTAATCGCATTCGCCGTAACGTCACAATTCACAATAGCACCAACGAGAAAAAAAAAACGTTGACAAAAATTGACCGGGACTTTACCTAGAGCTCGTATCGTCTGAAGTTTGCGCCACTTCACGCGTCGCGACAGTCACGAATTACGAGACGAAATAGATCGCGGACTCGTCTTGTGACGTCATAATCTCTATATTGTGCGCGCATTTATTAGGATAAAAAAGAAAAAGGGAAATTTAGAAAAAATAATTATGATTTATTTCGCGCATTTTATTTTTAATTTATTATTGAAATTTTTTGACATTAATGTATAAGTCATTTTTAAAAATGTTTGAGGATGCGTTCTAAGCGGTTCTAGTACATACATAACCACAAAAGAAGGAGGATATATATCTCGTGTCACTATACTGAGATTTTTTTAATCACTTTATTTTTACATATTTTTAATTACTTTTTTGATACACATGTAAGTGCATAATTTTTGTTGAAAATGTGTTTACAATTACAAATGAAAAAATCGAGCACACTGCATCAGTAGAAAGTAATTTATGTAAAACTTAAAATATTTTTATTCTACACAATTATTTGCTCATTTTGTAAATTAAATACATATTTCTAAATTATTGTAATTTATTACTGTATATAATGCAATTTTAATAAGTGTTTTTTATTTGAATAATGCAATAATTAAAACTGTTTTAATGTATATATATATATATATATAATATATATACATTAAATATTATATAATATAATAAATTATTATATTATAATATATTATTATGTTATAATAAATTATATATATTATAATAAATATATAAATATTATAACATATTAAATATATTATATATATAATTATATATTTCTTAATGTAAATTAAGACAAATGAGCAAACAATATGTTAAACTGTAATAAAAAGACAGGAAAAAATATATTAAAAAATATAATAAACTATAGAAACATTTAGGAATGTTACAGTTTTTATCATAAAATGTGCAAGTTTTCTTGATAATTTAAAAATTTATTATATACAAAATCAAGAAAGAGATTGCTGAAATTTTTTTATAAATCACTTTTTCAATATGAAAAAGGCAGTTTTTTATTATTTAAATTTAACAATTTAAAAAAAAATCTGTAACACAGCAGTTAATTTATAACTGTATAAACTAGCTTCACAATAAAATGGAATAACTGACAGCAGGTCGAAAATAAATTTATTATTACTATCTGATATAGATAATAAAGGGAAAATAGAAACATTAGTTCAAAATTCACATACAAAGCTACCTAGTCAAAATGGAATAACTAGCTTCACAATCTCCGCTTAACTTAAGCATCCAATTAAAGATTAAGAATTGCCAAAATTGCAAGAATTTAAAACTAATCAACTTTACATTTATAATAATATTTATAATAAACTATGTTTTGCAATTTTGATTTATTTTATAAATTTAATTAGTCGATTAAGATAATCAGAGATGTGATCACAAATTATTACGATGTAAAGGTAGTTTGTATCTATATGTTGATGTGTCTAAATATACTATTAACGGATTATATTGAGATGTCAACATTAATATGATTGTGATTATTCATCTCCATTCAGGTGTAGTGTGATATTTTGTTGGACCATTTGATTGATGATTATATTATGACTTTTTGATTTTTGCTCGTCTTGATTGTTTGGCTTACAGGCAGAATCTGTAGTGTCACCATTTTCATTGCTATTAGAAGTATAAAGTTCACTAATAGATAAATCAGCTTCTTCTCTTTCTGTATTCCTGTGATTTTCCTCAATAGCCGGGATAGGAATAGCCACGTCTCTGTAATGTTTTATGATTTATCAAAAAATATGTTAAGCTACGTGTAAATCTATTAATTTGATAGTAATTTGATATAATTGTTGGACAATTAATAAAAAATAAGGGCGAAAAAAGTTAAAGATAGAATTGATTTATTATCGATCATATCGAAATGAACAACGAATTTATTTACTTACCTACAAATCGGTTGATTAATGTTGTAATTATTGATAACCTCATTGATTGGTCTATTCTGAGGCTCAATTAGGAACGGAAAACTTTTTTGATATTGGTTAGTTTCTTTTATGCCTTCATTATTGTTTTGTGGTACGTAATCACATCTTTTTTTACCAAATCCAATGAACGGTTCTGGAAACAAACAGTGACAAATTATTTATGCAAAGTTGCTGCATATTATTAGATTATTATTGATACATGATAACATATAACTTTGCAGAGAAATTACCGCGTTTATCGCACTTGTTCTTCGCACTTTCAATTCACCATGCAAATAACATAGATAAACTATAGATGTACTGTAATACAATATTGACATTTTTCATTAACATGTACTTTTAAATTTACTTTTTTATGTGCACTTATTTGTTTATAAAATACTATAAAAGCATGCGATTACAGAAAGTGCAAATTACTTTTGTAACTTTTGATTACTCAATTTATTAGTTCATGTTTGGAAAAAATGTGTATTTTCCACGTGTGTTCTATGCATTTTATTTTAAAGACCATTTTTTTTTTTAAATTTCATTAATTAAACAGTCATACAGAAACAAAATTTTCTTTCGCGCAGATTAAATTATTGATTGATCGCTCACAATCTTGTTTATATAACATGAAATAATTTAGAGATGCAAAACGAGTGCATTATCTTAAAACAAAGCTAATTTGGACAATTTAATGCAGTTTTTTGCAAACTATATTATGCTAATCTGTTATAACCGATAAATTACAGTGCTATATTAACATATTATCTTTATCCTTGCAAATATTATTTTCACATACAAATGACAAAAGTTATATCTGACGCTCAATTTATTAGGAATTTAAATTCTTATCAGATCTCTCGCATGGGAATGTTTTTTACTATTAGAATGTTTCATAAATATGGCAGATTGCAGAATATTATAATATTAAATTTCAAATTATCATTTTAGTATTAAACTTTTTGTTTCTAATCATTCAAACAAAATTTTATTGCAATAGAATTAATAAAGAAATATTCTATATATTAAGACAGTACGACAAAAATCTATAACCAAAAGTTGTGACAGTGATAATATATACATTGTATACCTATATAAGTATATACACAAATTGTACATGTTTACCTTGCTCTTCTTCTGGTGCACTGGCGACTACCATACCATTAAAATTATTTGATGTTACTTCCGGTATATCTGATGAATTATTTGAATTAGAGTTGCGTGTAAAAATCCTTCGAATACAGTCTGAAAATAATATTTAATATTTAAACTTTTTACTGTGATTCAACATTAAATTATGTGAATATTTTTTGTAAAAATATAACAGAGTTACACACCAACAATAATTGTAATTTTACATATTTTTTTCACAGTATACTTAGTCTGTTTTTTATTTTGTAAATTTATTATAAACATAAAATTACGCAAATAGTCGGATGTAACTTTTATTATCTTTATTTATAATTTATTTATATATTTATCTTTATATATATATATATATATATATATATATATATATATTTATGATAAAATGTAATATTCTCTTTTTGACATATATAGATATGACAACACAAATTTTGATTTTATACATTATATTCATATCATGTGTAAAAAGTTTGTAAATTCGAAAAAAAGAATTATACAAAATATAGCACATTTATAAAGAAATGAAAAATTTCTGGTTAAAAACTTACTGCGATAAGCATACAAAAGGTAGATGATACTAATCACTGCCAGAATTATCCCTACAATTATCCATATAATACCCGTAGTATTAAGTTCAACTGCAAATAAAATTAATAAAGCAAACAATTATGTAACATATTTAAGATATACCAATACATAAATATCATACTTAAATATCTTATATCGATGTTTCATTTCAACATAAAAGAATAGCAAATAAAAATCAACAATGGAACATATGAACAATTATTTTCTATTTATTTAACGAAACCCATTTGTTTCACGAAATAAGAGACTCCCTTACCTTGATCTTTCGTATAGTAGCATAATAGGTTCTCTTTGTCAGTAGCGAGAATCTCTGTTGAGTATCTATAAACCAAAAAAAAATAGGTAATTTTGTAAAAAGGATAGAAGGCGATTTTTCTATATTCCGTAAATATATGTATGTCAAATAGGTGAAAAAATTAAGTAATTTTATTAAAATTAAATATTATTAAAAAGTATTTATTAAAAGCTTTTGTATTTTAAAGCACATTAATAAGAAAATGTTGAACACAATATTCTTAGTTAAAATTTACTCCAATATACTGAATATTAAAAGTTAATTATACTACGCGTGCAAGTGCAAGAAATTGTAATAGAACTTACAGTATTGCATAATATTTATATAAAATTTATTGGTAATACGCATATATATAATGTCGGTACAATCGAATAAAGTCTGTGGAAGTGTTGATCAATAGAAAGAGAGTAAAATATAAAAAAAGAGAGAATATTGATATATTTTCTTACTCTTTCATGCATGGACCACATTGCGATGGCTCCCGTGCAGGGATCTCTCCTTTCATGCGATTGTATTTGCTACAATCCAAAATGTTCACGCATCGTCCGGAGATATCATAACAATATTGTTTGTCAAGACAATCATTGTCATTTTTGCACGTTTCAAACTTGTTTGGGGCCTGCAAAAAGATTGAAATAATTATTTTATTTTAGTTGTCTGCATGTTACTTATATTTTTGACTATTAGTTACATTCCACAATGACAAAAAGGCAGAAAAATTTTGGTGGTTCGGATAAGAACAAATATTAATTTTATAAAATGTTATAATATTTAGTTTAACATAATTATCATCAGTAAAATGTAAACATTTAATTATTTTCTACCCTTGGTAACATTAATTTTATCTGTCTCTGCTGTTTATAAGCCTACATAAAAATAGAATCCCCAATGATTTTGTATTTACAATAAGATAAATTGAATTTTGACTATATAACAAAAAACCAATACAAAGAACTAGACATAAAGATTTCTTATTTTTAGAGATGTATTTTAAAAATATAAAAGATTCTTTTTTTCTATATCTGAACTCTATAGGCACTTTTGTTACAAATTACAAAAGAAATTCTCTACAGGTACTTTCGTTACAAATTACAAAAGAAATTCTCTACAGGCACTTTTGTTATAAATTACAAAAGAAATTCCAAAAGTATAATAGACAAAAATAAAGTAGTTTGAAATTCCTCGAAAGAATAATGAACAATAGTTCACTCGAAATATTTTATAAGCTCAATCTATTCTATAAAGTGTTACCTATTAAAGATTAAGGATGTGATTCATTATCGTATCGTTCGTAGTCAACAAATGCGTATATAAGCACTGAGAGAATTTTTCGTTATATTTTACCGCAAAATTCATTACAAATTTTATCAGGTTTGATAATAAGCAGAAACTTACTGCTTGTTAAAATTATCGGGAAGCTCGATTAAAAATATACTGCATTGTTGTGTAAAATTTATTAAATATATTAAATGTTATATATATTTTCTAGTATTTATTCTATATTTGAAACACTTAAAAAGAATCTTAATATATTTTCAAATGATTGAAATTTTACTATATATTTTAGTAAAATTAATCAAACATTTTATATCTTATTATGGTAGATATTAATATTTTTTGTTATGGTAAATATTAATCACAGAAACTCTTATAAAATTCTTTCAATACCATCATATTGTCCCACGATTATCATGATTTCAAGGTAAATTCTAAGAAAAAATACATGTACACTGAAAAAAAAAATTATTTAATTAATTTAATTATTCAAATAAATTATTTAATTAAATTATTTAATATATAAATAAATATTTATTTCAATACTCCTTTATACATCATTTATTTGAAACTAATAATATATGATTATAATAATAAAATAATTTGCCGTGTGAAAAAATATTTATTTGTTATAAAAGAAATCCTTTTTCAAAGCAGATATTTATTTGTTTCAAACAAATGTGTAAAGAAAACTTATTTATTAAAATAAATATTTATTTGAACTTGAAAGTTTTTTTTCAGTGTATACACGACCGAATGCGAATCTTGGAGCACTTGATCGCTCCTGAATGTGTGTTGCCAAGATGGCTCAGCTTCGAAAAGATCGGAGCCGACAGGTTGTGAATTCTGATGACTCATGCAGATGGCCATTATGAAACGAACCCCAGAGAGCCCTGACTTGCCTACTTTATTTCTACTCGATACATCAATTGCCAATCCCGCTCGTTTCCGTTTCAGCTATTTTTACGCGATACGATTCCATTTTTTATTCTCGATCTGTCCGATTTTTGTTACAAACAGGAAACATAATCGTAACGCACTGCATTCCTCGAAAGCATGCCAATTTTTTTCACAGCATTCCACCACATCCGGTCGGTGGAACGATATCGAGAAATTAATTAAATGACGCATTTATTGTTTCATTAAACTACAATTCGGAGAACCTGTTTACGCATTTCTTTTGTTAATACTTTCGCCGATTTCTCTTTCTTCTCGAAAGATGATGCAATCGCTCGTCTAATTATGTTATATACGATATATTATTTCATCGTACAATTTCTTCCTCCTAATTGTTTTCTTCTGATCGTGAGTTTTTTTATTCCGGAAAGTAATCCTTTAACTCGATTTAAAGAACTTTAGATCATTTCTTAACAAATAATTATCATATACTATATGTACTATTAAAATTTGTGAAAGAAGACTGTTTTAACGCAACCATGATATGCAAATTTTTTGGAGCAACGAAATTATTATAAATAAAAATTACATATGACAATAAAAATATATTTTATAAATTTATTATTTATTATACTTATTTGTTAAAAAATTTGTTAAGAAATTTGTATACTATTTTTAATAGTTACAAAATAATTTTTTCATAAAGTATTTAAAATACAATATAATTTATTGCAAATTTGATCTTTAATCCAAAATAAGTCTCGTTACAAAATTTGATGATTGCGGAGCAAATCTTATTGTTAGAAAGATGCTGTGTTATTTCTTTGAACTCATCAAAAAATCATTAGGTGATTGAGACCCGATTATATTAGGCAGACTCGATTACATAAACTTGACAAAACGAGATTTGCCGTATCTTTTATTATAGTGAAAATTGATATTAGTACATAATTTTGGCAAATATTTGGTATTCGTGAATATTTGGTGCTTGCGACAAATACAGGAATGTTTTTCATACAAAATGGTGATAGTCCGCCATTTGCAACAAGTACAAGAATTTCTTTCATACAAAATGGCGATAGTCCGCCATTTGTTAAATTTTATGAATAAAAATAAAATTTATCTCTTTCCATAATATGTATCATTGAAAAATTTAGATTCGTCGAATTTATGCTGAATGATTTATTCACGTGCATTTAATGAGAGAAAGAGAGAGAGAGAGAGAGAGAGAGAGAGAGAGAGAGGGGGGGGGGGAGAGAGAGAGAGAGAGAGAGAGGAAAATAGAAAACAAAATTTACATAAGTAAAAAATCAATCTTTAAGCTAACTTTATGCAATCAATTTTAAAAATCGTAATTTGTATATATGAATTATTATATTTTAAAATTAATCTTGTTTTTCTGCAAAATTTATTTGTTCATGTAAAAAAAAGTAGATTTTTATATGTATAAAATAGCAGAATATAATCTTGAAAATAATAATCGCTAATTTAAAATAAATAAATCACTCGGTTCATATATTTAATTAATCACAAAAAAGATTAGTCCTGTCTTGTCTATGGTTAATTACTCGCAAAAAAATATCCAGCATTTAATAATAAAGAAGTCATCTCATATCAGTTTATTAATATATACATGTAGCCGAAATCCCTTATTCGTTCTCGAATAGTTTATTCACGATTGTCATCATGGCGCACGCGTTAATTCTCTCGTTCGTCCTGATTCTTTGTGAATTTCATCGATTCTCACGATCAATTTTAGATCGAAAAACCGTCCCACGTTCATCTCTTCTCTATTCACGATTTATCTTATTTCAAATCGTGGCAATTTCGAGCTTCTCATAGTCAAGGATGGTTGCTCAAAATCACAATGATTGAAGGGGTGATCTAACATGATCAACACGTCACAGGTGAACACGTGTGCGTGTCATTTCGTCTCGATTATTTCGTACAATAAATAAAACATTTATCTCTACCGGACCTTTAACAGACCCCTTTTATCGATCTATTTTATCGATTGCGATTACAGAATCGCGTTCGAAATAATTATGTTGCTTATTTGTGTTGTACAAAAGTACTCACCATTTCAACGATATTGATATGTCACTATTAAACGGGTCTTCTTCTTCTTATTTTTCTTCTATTATGACTGCTTGGGCGTCCGATAATAAACGGGTGATTGTAGAATCTAAAGTTAATCGTCCTAGTAATCGGTACGCTCATTCGATCGATTGCTTTCAGCTACCGCTGACACTTTAGTGACTGTGTGTGAAATAATTCACCTGTCACTGAACTTGTCCGACTGTAGGGTTGACGTCTACTGAATGCACTGACTGAACGTGTTCGTTCCTGCACGCAGGGTCCCGGTCGTCGGACCCCGACGTCATCTGACAGTTCCGTGGAAGGGGAGAGATGGACCAGGGCCGTATTATAGAACGGACCATAAGTGCCATTAATTCTCACAATGGGAGAAACAGTTCTGTATAACATAAATTGACCATATAAATTTACATCCTTATGTACATTTATATAAAAATATAAAATATAATTATATAAATATATCAAAGATAAATTTATGAAACAAAAAATATTTGAACAAATATAGTCGCACTCGAGTGTGCAATTACTAAATAAAATATAAATTAATAATTTATTTAACGAAGCGAAAATTATTATCTCTTGGAGGAGAAATATTAAACGGATCTTTTTGTTTCTCTTGTTTGCTATGTAATTTCTTTCGATTCGATTTTTTGTTTCTCTTCTCTTTCCAGGTATCTTTAATACTTGATTATATATTTTATTTTTATCGTATCTTATTGTTTTATATTTTGCAGAGTAGTGTGTTTAGGTCGTGCAATTAGAAAGATAAGATTTCTAGTGTGAATGCGAGCCTGCACATAATAGATAAGCGATTGGAAGTTAAATATAATTTTTGCTATGCTAAACTATACTTTTTCATGTTTATAATATAATAGTATATAGCACTGCAATTATTTGAATATAATGTCTAAAATTAAATGCGATCAGTATATAGTATTATAAAAAAAAGAATAAATATATCGCGACATATATGTATATAAAATTAATAATACTCATTTAAATTAAATTTGCGATTTTTGTTGAGTAATAAATGATCAAATATAAATATACAGGAGAAATGAATTAAAAATTTAATCTTTTTGCTCCAACTCAGATTTATAGATTTTGTAGATGTGTTTTATACACTCTCTTTTTAGATCTTCTAGAAAGATCTCTGCACCCTCGAATCCTCAAAATTGATCCGCTACTGATGCGACAATATTTCATATTGTATTCCTATAGGAAGCAAATCTTTGTGTGCTCAAAATGCATCTTCATGAAATTAAATCTGGAAATATAATCTATTATTGAAATACATAGATTAAATTTTATTTATTGTGATGAAGTAATTTTTTCACACAATTATATTATGCAATCCATCAAATATCTTATTCTATTAAATAATGATAGAGATAACTGATGAAATGTCAAATTCTTTAACTTTTTTTTAAATATTTCTACCTTTTAATTCTCTCATTGAAAAATTTATGTCAAATAATCTTTTTATTTTTCTATATATTGTAACTATAATGTAAAACATTAATAATAAAGAAATAAAGTTATGTACTTGTACATTTATATAATTTACATTATATAATTATTTGATTAAGCAGGAGGTGCCGCAGGAACGTTTGTGAATATTGCATATTATTTCCGCTAGAAAACTCGATTGCAGAATGGACAAGTATTTTTAAGGACTAGAGGTTTTACAGGAATCTTTATAAAGGAATCTATCCAGTCATAGTTGGTTCAGTACCAACAGGTATGTGCATGCAATGCCAAATATAAAATTTGTATACATATAATTTATGTACATATACATTTCTTTTTCTCATATTTTAGCTGCATTATTCTTATTTTTAACATATGAAGAAATTAAAACTATAATACAACCAAAGATTTCTGATGATAATGAAGATTCTGATAAAGATTAAAATAAATAAGCAAAGTTACTTTTAATAAGTTGTATTTTTAATAATTAAAAATCAATAAGAAATTATTTAATCACTAAATATTTTTCGACCGATACAGGCCAATTGATATTTATTTAATTAATCACACAACGTTGCGTTCATATATAATTTTTGTCCTCAACTGTACTGTCAAGGGTCAAAATAATATGGTCAAAACATCGTGGTCGAAACGTTGTGTGATTAATTAAATAAACATCAATTGGCCAATATTAGTCGAAAAATATTTGGTCTTAATTTTTGGCAGCCGAAAATTAAAAATTCTTATTAGTATATTATTTAATGTTTAGATTCCAAATAAACACATATATATATATATATATATATATATATATATATATATGTTTATTTGGAATCTAAACATTAAATAATATACTAATAAGATTTTTTAATTTTCGGCTTATATCTTATATATATATATATATATATTTGATTTATATAATATAATAAATGCCAATACTCATAAAAATACAAATTGTTTCTATAAACATAATAGAAATTGAAGTAAATATAAATAAAAGTATAAATTTTTAAAGAAAAAGAATACATTTTTAATTGCAATTTATTAAATAATAAATGACGAGCGTATAGTATGCGTATGAAAATACAAATAGATGTGGACTGAATAAAATAAAGGGATTTTAAATTCGGAGAACATTGTGAAGAATTGTATCTTACTTCTTCAAGTAAAAAACATAATATGTATTTTTTATATCTTAGTATATGTATATACATTAATAAAAAATGGAAACTGTCTTATAATCTATATGCAACGTGATATTATAATAAGCAATAATAATATAATACTTAAAGTTACTCAACATATCTTTTAGCTTCCAAGTAAAACTTTAAACTTTAAAGTATAGGCTACCGAAACACAGTAATTTTAAAACAATATTGTATTACAGAGCATTGTCTAATAATCCGTTGCATTACATTAAAACAATTTGCAATTAATCACTTATTATATTTAATTTATTTGTAGATGGTGTTTAATAATTAATTGTAACCTTTTTCAGAAATTATGCCATTTTAAGATAATAGAATTCATAATTCAGTACAATTATTTAATGGAAAGAAACAAGACACTAACTATTCCACAAACGATCCTCTCTTTTGTTCAGGTTTAAGATTTTCACATTACCAACACACAGTTTCATTTTTCAAAATATACAAACTTGTTAAATCTTATGGAAGAAAAACATTGATAATTATATGAAAAGATATTTTGCGCAATTTTGCGAATTATCTAAATATATGTACGGAGTGTGTACTTCCATCTTCTTTTTCTTTTCCAGGTACTACTTTATCGTTTAAATTACTGTATTAATGCTAGTTCACCAAACTTATTCTTATCAGCAGCAAATCATTTTTCACATTACTTCCATTCCACCATTCTGTGTATTCTCCGTAAAGCCTAATGTGGACGTAGGTGCATCCTGCGATGTATCTTCTAACACTGGTGCTTCCATGCCTTCTGGAAGATTATTCGCCGTTCCAGTTGGACAATCGTCCCAGTTGATTTTAAATCTAGTGACACGTGGTTTGTCTCCTAATATATTCCTTTGAACTTTATCAAATTGTGGCTGAGGAGGTGGATTCTCCCGAAGTTCCGGATCCGTATATTCGTTATTTATAAAATAGCCCACTCGAACAAATTCGTGACCCCTGTAGGAACAAGTCAGCAATACAACAGTTACACCTAAAGCATCGTTGACTGGAATCCTACTGACGTCCGGTGGATCAGCCTGAAAGTATAAGATATACAATATTAGTAAGAGAATATTAAAATCCCCTTCAAGTTGGATAAGTCGCAAAATTTATATATATATATATATATAATTTATAATAAGCTTTGTGACGCTGTACCTGAAATACAAACATATGTCTTCCTTCTGGAATTGGACCGACATAAATGGTATCTAGAACTTGATCAAATTCCTCCGACTCTGCACTGCCTACATATATCATCTTCCATTCCAAATCTGAAACATCACCTGTATTATTCTCATTGTATAAGAATCAACAAGACAAATGCATTACATACAAATTTGGCCACTAAAAGTTTCATATTATTACATTGGACCAAATCTATCATGTAATAAGTTCGAGATTTCGCAATATTGATTAATATATTATGGGATAATCGCAATTTCGCGTTCTCGGAGAATAAAACTGCGTATGACATCACTATCGTAAAGGTAACCTAAAGATGGATGCGCGCGCTCGAAGGTTGCGTGATATTTCGAAATACCGAGTACTCTCGGTACTCGTACCTTCCTTGAGTTCCTCGATGCACTCGAAGGTGACCTCAAACTGGAACGGGTTCAGAAACGGCGAGGGATTGTCGAGAACGGCGACGTTCGCTAGTTGAACCTTTGCCATGGTACTTGGATCCGAAAATCTTACGGACTTTTTCTGAGACAACGAGGATCGATTCCGACGAGCATTCACTCCGGAGAAGATCCTGGATCTCCTAGATTCTTCGCGCAGCCGGTGACAGCCAAATTCGACCGCGTGCGCGAAAAATCAGACACGACCGTTCACACTGCCGTGTTCGAGTGTCAACGGATAAACAACTCCATCATGCTGGGGTAAGTTTGGCGGCAAACGGAGTCACGCAGTCAACGCTTCCGGTGAAGACGTCGAGCGACCAACGGAAAAAAAAAAAAAAGCGACTGTTCGTCCTTGAAACGCGACCTTCTTGGAGCTGGAGAATCCGACGAACGCGTGGACAAGAGATTCGCGAATTTTCAGAATTTTATAGAGTGACGAGAAACAGTCGGCGGCTACATTTTCGCATCGTTCTGTCGCGGGACATGATATGACGTTTGTTTATCATGCACCGCTCGTCACGCGCGTTCGAGAATTCCTCGTAGTGAAGAGGCCTCGCAAGCCTCGTGTATTCGATGACGATCGTCGATAGATTCGTCTCGCGTTTGCAAAAGCATCCCGGGTAGATTTTACGACGCGTTTATTTCGCATTTCCGCGAAATTATCTCGCAAACTCGAGAGCGAGTCGTTTGACTTCGAATTCTTCGAAGCGAAATTCGCGCCGACCAATCAAAAACGCGGGAAACTCTCGCGAGTCTAGGGATACTCCAGTTACTAGCCAATCCGTTACTATATATATAAATATAAAACGTAAATAAAAATAATAAATAAATAATGATAATAAATAAACAATAAATGATAATAATAATAATATATAACTTGAATGAGTCGCGGGTTGAAGCCAAAGGCGGGACTATGTATATCTAGTGACTTTATCCGGTGCATCGCGATTGGTCGGCGACTTAGGGATCTCGCCGCGAGCGGCCAATCGGACGCGTCCGGCCGACAGCGCGGTTGACAGATGGCGCTGCGGCGCAACTCGGCGGCGCACGCACAGCGCGAGCTCGCTCAGTTCGGAAAAGGAGGGAACGCGTGACAGAGCGAGACGGAACGTCCGCGCGGAGGGCCTGCGAGCAGAAGACAACGGCCGCCATTTTCTCGTGACATTACCGTGTAGCTGTTCTCGCGGTGTTGTTCGTCGACGTGGGGGGATTCGCGATTATTTATCGTCCTCTACCCGTCTCTCTCCCTCCTCCTTCTCTCTCTCTTTCTCTCTCTGTCCGTCTCGCTCCAAGTTGAACCGACGACGACGTCGATAACGAGGAGAAGGGAGCGACGACGGGGCGGCAACGACGAGGACGACGACGACGACGACGGAGGTGGTGGTACCCGGACGATACTCCGTCTTTGTGTGTAGTGAGAATCGTGGAGATAAAAGCCCGAGTGCAGAGATAACGATAAGACGTCAGTGATAGATCGTGTCTGCTCTCTCTCTCATCGTCGGGGGAGACGGAAGAGAAGGAGAAGCAGCAGCTGTGACGAGGTTTCTCTCGTCAGTCGTACACGTTCGATCGGAGCGAAGAGGGAATTTGTCGGCGACGACGTTCTTCTCTCCGAGGAGGCTCCACCGTGTAGAGGCATCGGCGAGGAACGCAAAAGAAGTCCATCCGTGAAAGGACGGCTCTCCTTTCGCTCCCCCGTGGAACGACGAGGTGGAACATCATCGTCGACCTGCTCCTCGCAGTTGATATTGTATTGTCGGACGGTCACGCGCCACCGCGTACAGCATCGGCAGCAGCGCCACCGGGATGGAGAGGCGAGCCGCTTTTGTGCTGCTGGGGCTGCTATATTTAGCGGTGGGCACCCTCGTCACGGTCCAGGCAGGTGAGTCTCTCACTTTTATTCGTCTTTTTAGCAGCCTTCTAGCAGCTCTGCCTCTCCTCGCGATTTCTCTCTGTCCGATTAGCCTGTCCGCTGTCTTCGTCCGTCTATCCTTTCCTCCGGACAAGTTCAACCGCTCCGAGTTACGGTGACCATGATTTCGAAAATTAAAGAGAAACCTGGAAATGTTAAGGCTTCGTTTTTTAGGCGGGTTTTCAAATGTTTGGTGACCAAAAAAAATTTGTAAATATCAGACGTTAAAACGTTAAGTAACAATAAAGGACAAAATTGAGGTTTGGAAGGATTGGAGATTGGTGACCAAAAAAATTTTGGAAATATTAGACATTGAAAGGTTAAATAAAAATTAAGGACAAAATTGAGGTTTGGATAAATGAATAAATCTTTTAAAGGATATAGCTTGAAATAAAGAATTGTTCTTGAGAATAAAGGACGAATGTGGTCACCGTAGTTATGAGTAATCCTATGAGATTTTTTTCTTTTGATAAGATCGCGTGATGTGTGATTTGCATAAAACTGATACTAATTGACAATGATTAACCGGTATTTATTTCTAGTTAATTTATTTTATCGATATATTACTGGGTGACAAAATTATTTAAGGATGATACACCTAAGATTAGAGCAACTGTTAATTGGTGACGATACTTTTGATTCTTGGTCGTCCCTTCATCGATTAGGCACTTTTTTGTGTAGTATAGCTAATGATGTAGGAATTTAAAAGTATGATGTAAACATTGATTTAAAAGAACATGTGACTCAAGTTCCCTTAAATCATATATGAGTTATAGATTGATTTCTCTTACACTTATCAATGTCTGACTCATGTGACAACTAGATTTAATTAATTCTGCAATAGTGATATATTTTCTCTAAAAATTATGATAAAAAACTATTAAATAATTAATCACCTGGAACGATATAGATGCCTTAAAATTAAAATTTTTTTCACATGAACCTTAAAAAGTGTCTTAAAAAACGTTGTCCTATTGTATTTAATTTTTTAGTTTTCGCCAAAGGAGAAAAGTATCTCCCGCTCTTTTATCAATAATTAAAAAAATATATTTTAATATTTTTTATCGCGAGAGAAGAAATGAAATTTTATCCTACGTGTTTTAGGATAAATACACCTATTTTAAATCGATTGTTATATTTTCCTGTATTAAAGAGCTTACTTTGATATACGAGAAGGACAGCTTTAAATGTATACGTATAAGAGAATATCGCCTTTTCAGTTCTATATACGAAAATGGAACATCTCTATTGAGGCTTCTGGAGAGAGAGAGAATAAAGTTACGCGCGCGGAATAATTGTACAAGTTGATCTGTCATTGAATACATTTCATTAAGACCGTATATATACCTACATTGTGAGAAAAATATGTAAGATTAGATAAAAAAATATGTAAAACTATACATAAATAATAAGTGTAAAATGTATACATTTTCATTATTTATTGTGTAATTTTACATTTAATTATTTTTTTCATTTTACATATTTGTATGTAATACATTGTATATTTTTTACAGTTTACATACGTTTGCTATATATTGTGTAAACTTTATCCCGAAAGATTAGATTGCCCGTTTGATAACAATAATCACGTGATTTCCATATTTTTAATCTAACGGTGAGCAAAATTAACGCGCAAATTAGAAAAATTCGATTTGTTACGTCTTCATTATTTTTCGAAATTACAATCTTACTAATTCGTCGCTAATTATTTACGTTTTTCTTGAACAAAATTCTCATCACATCAACATTATTATTGTACAAATTTAGTGAAATAAGAATCAGAAATTAGACGCAGTAAACTTAAATAAAGAAATTAAATTAATAATTGAAATAATTAAATAATAATAATAATAACAAAAAGAAAAAAAAATTGTATCTGGCTCTTATTAGATCGTTTTCTGAATTTATATATATTTTGTCTTATTATTATATTTATTATTGTAATAATTGGAAAAAACTCAAACGATATAAACACGCGATATAAATCGTGAAATTCAGATGTTAATCAATAACATTTTTTTCGTCGACACACGAGGCTATCCATATATGCAGTTTCATCGCATAAGGATGTTATTAACTATAAAAACCAATGTATGTTTATGCACAGCAAAAACTATGTGTGTATACTATATATTTGCTCTTTCGATGTAATTTCAGGTCGTTTTGTTCTTGGAAATTGATTTCGTGTTTACGAAATATAACATATATACAATATTTCATCGATATATACGATCCTTTTCGCGGGAAGCTAATATTTACAACGTTACACCGATGCTTCTCGTCGAAACGATCGAAGAAACACCCACATTCGACAGGAGAGGAAACTTTTCGCGTTTAATGAAACCGAAAGTTTTTACTCTTGTGGGAAATCATTCCTCTAACACGTGTTTGGACAGACACAGAGCCGCATTAACACACAATCGCGCATTAAAAATACACACAATGAAGATAAATGACAGATACTTTTTATGGAGCACGCACGTGCGAAGAGAGAAGTTTACACACACATTTATTATTTGATAAGTAAGAGGAAAATCTCTTGTTCTCCATTACTTATTACTCCGGTTACCATATTTTCTGAGAGAAAATAAAGGAAAGTTTTAGGACTTTGTTTCAACGTGTTTCCAAATTAGTTTCCGAACAAAAAAATAATTCTGTGGTAATCGTGGGACAATATAATATTGGAAGAATTTTACAAGAGTTTCTCTCTGATTAAATATTTATCGCAATAAAAAATATTAATATGTATATAGTAAAATAAATCGAATTTATTTTATATCTTATTGTGATAGATAAAAAAATTCTTTCAATTTCTATCATATTATCCCATATGATTACCACATGACTTTTAGGGTAAATTCTAAGGGAAAATTCTTTCTGTATAGATATTAGATGTTAAAACGCTAAATAAAAAATAAAGGACAACATTTTAAAAATGGAGGACAAAATTGAGTTTTAGAATGAATAAATCTAAGGACAGCTACTTGAAATAAAGGATTATCCCCTGAAATAAAGGATCACTTACTTATTACAAAAATTATTTTTGCGAGGAAGATATAGTAATTTTTTTCCTTTGACAGCTTCAGTAATTATCCTTTGAAACAGACGTTTATAGATCGCAATGATAAGATTTTAACGACGGATGACCGGAAAGAATCTTCGGAAATGAAGGATGCATCTCGACGAGCAGAGTGTCTAGTGGAATCTGGAAAACTAGGCATTGTCAGGGAATTTTATAAATTTGGAATTGTCAGGGAAAAAAGTCAGAAAATTTTACTATTTATCTGGATTTTTTCATATTATTCTATATTTGTCTCAATAATTTGAAATTTTAATTAAATAAACTTTTAGCACACTAATTTTCTGTGTTGTTAAAAATCGATTTATCTACAGCGTGTTCGTTAATTTATATTTTTATCGTCGTGTTACTTTATTTCAATGTGTTTGATAGAGACAAAACTAAAAAATGTGATATAATATAAATAAAAAAGTTGATTATTTAAATAATTTTTATAGTGACATTTGTTTCGATTATCGTACATAATGCAGATTGTACAATTGATTTAAATTTTGTTTTAACTTCCGAACCTTTTCATTGTTGACAAAAATATCTCAAGGTTTTCATGATTTAATATTTAATTGATTTATCATACATATATATGCAAATTATATATATATTTGGAAAAAATAATACTAAAAAGTCAGGGAAAAATAAATTTCTGGTCTTGAAAAATCTGAAAAAGTCAGGGAATTTTTTTCATTGACTGCTGGACACCCTGACGAAGCGTTTATGAATCTGCGGTTTGTCGAGTAATCTCGTGGTTCTAAAGTCGCTTTCTAGGTCATTTAATGAGTCTTATCGACACCGTCGGGACGCGTTCTAAAAAAGTTTAGTCGATAATGCTGCAACTGTGTGCATCCTCGCGAGATAGTGATAGAGAAAAAGGGGCGATAGGGTGGGGAAGGGAATCAAGACATGCTGCATCGCACGCGCTTCTCTTTAATCTTTACATCTTCTTCTTCATCGCAGTTTATTAAAAAAAAAAATTAAAAAAGTAATAAAATTTATGATCGATAAATATAATGGGCTGTACAACGATGATGTACTTTTTACGATACAAATAGATGTAAATATAATATATACAATATATATGTATTGATTTTCGTGATACGCAATTATCAACCCTACATCAATTGTCTGAGCATTAATATCAAATTAATTACGTTAATTACGAGCGATTTCGAGAGTTCAGCGCTCAGCTGTCGTCGAGTATAAAATTAAACGCCATATACGTACATTGATATTTAAATACTCGTTAATATTTTTTTTTTTTAAGAATGGCTGAATGTTTTGTCGAGCTCCTCGTGTTTTTTCTTCGCGATGTTTCGTAACGAAGCGTTTAAATATCAAACGAACTTACCTTTAGTTTGTAAAAGACTATTTTTTTCAAGTCGAATATGCAACAGTTTAAAGTGCGAAAATATATCAGTCATATATCAGTCATTTTTATCGTTTATTACTGATACTTAATTTATTATAATATATATGTATTTTTTTAATTTTATATATATATATATATATATATATTATAATTTATTATATAATATAATTTATTATATACATATACATTTATGAAATGTTATGAAATCTTGTCGTGTCGTAAGAAAATTATAAATTCATTTGAGCGATGAATCAGCTTATGAAATCAAATTTATTATATATAGAAAAAATATATAATACATATTTTCTACATATAATTAATATTATATAGGAAACGAAAAATAAAATATCTTAATCGAATAGGATAGAATTTTCTTTGAGATCTTATATTGAAAAGCACTATTACATCGAATCTTTTTTAAGCCTTTACATCGGTGAGACTAATAAATGCTTTTTATCGTTGTTAATAATCGATACGGCAACAAATGGCCGTCATCGCGACAAGTTACCTTCTCAACCGAAGGACTCG